TAAAAGGACTGTTCCCAAGCCAGGGGAAACGTGGCAAGAACGCGCTGCCTTATGGCAACGTGCCATTGAAGCGATAGATTTTTACATTCTGCCGGAAATTCAAGTACTATCCGCTGTACAATTATTATGCAGATTTCTAAATTTTCATCATTTAAGTTCGTGTAATTTGGCTTACATTTTAATTTGTTTTACATTTTAAAATGGTTTTCGTTTGTGCATATCTTTGGAGTGTTGACCTAAAATGCAACTCATTCATTATTTGTAGTTTTTGATTTTTATGTTTCTTTCTGAATAATAAATGATAAATTTTCGAAGGAGGAAGCGCCAAAAACGGTCATCACTGGAACAGGAAAGCCTGAAAAATCCGAAGGCGGAATCCCTGAGTTCATTCGCACAGACAATGAGCAGCACTTGCCTACTTCTCCGTCTGGTGATGCGAGACACGGTGCACAACCGCATGGAAAATGCGGATCGGACTCTGCAGTCACTGCTGGTTTTGCATCCTCCGGGAAAACCGCACCGGTAAATTGCAGTCAGACATGCTTGTTCCCCGGTGAATGACATTTATGTGGCAAAGCATCCGTCGTTCATGTCGTTTATGGGCCTGGAATACTAGACCAGATGCGCACAGGCGCTTCGGGGACTTACTTACAAGGAATCTCAGCGTGCACTTACATACAAAGTAGGCAAAACCGCGCCCTTTTGCACGGCTTGTGTGTAAGTCTATCTGTGTTAAGCCGGACTGCATGCGCAAACGGCTGCACATACTTACATGCAAGAGCACGTGTTCAACTCAAAGTGACAACGTAAATACTAAATAGTTCCCCGTGGTTCAGAATTTGAAACATTTCATCTCTGCTGTTTTGAATTGTCAGCTTATGACATTAGACTAGCTCAGTGACTAATTTGTCGCCTGGAACTCAATAAAGATAAGTTGCCCTAACGTAAATATGGTTGAAAAACATAAACTGCTCCTCGACCCTTAATGCTGAGCCGCGCTTCCAGCATGGCCGATCTGTCTCGCTCATCCAGCTTTAGCGTGTTAGCGCCAGAGGAGGGAGTTCAGCAAGAACTGCTGGAAGGACTGAAGAAAATCGAGACAGGTAAATACACCTTCTGTTGTTTTGGTATATTTATTCAGTACTTGTGTAAAGTGAAACAAATAAATTTGCAGCGCTTGGCCATGTTCTGGCTATCCAGAAGATCGCTGGGAATCCAGCTGAAACTGCCGTCAAATCAGTAAACGGTGAGTCTGCTACTAAGTACTGTACTGCAGCACTGGCTACAAATGAGAAAGTTTTTTGTAGATGGGCTGCATATTTCCGCGAATATTTTTGCTGGCAACCCAGCTGGAAATGCTGGCTATCCAGCAGGCCGCAACGGCGGAGAAGAGCTGAACGGTGAGAGCACTTCTAACACAATGGCAAAATAGTTTTGGCGAATTGTGTACCTTCTAGAACCTGACGAAAGCGCCCACGCACCCGAAAGAGCTGGCAACACAGCTGGTGCTGGCTACCCAGCAGGAACGCTCAATTCGCTGAACAGAGTAAGAAAACAATTAACCACATATTAAAAATGATACTCATCGAATCTGCTTACTATTATTAGACAACAACATGCAGCGCGATGGGTTGCCAGCCGTAAACGATGAAAATACGCCGCGCTTCGGACGGTTGCGTCGGCGTCCTACTCGTCGGGATGGTGATCGCTCGCGCGGCTTCAGGAGTTCCTTCACATGAAAATGCCGAGCAGCGTCGTATCCGCGAAGCCCGCGCTGTCGAAGACGACGCTTGCCGTCGTGGTCGTGACGAAGAGCGCGCTGCTCGTGATCTCCGCCGCCGTCAGGAAGATATCAACTTGCAGCTGACTCGTGCTGCTGAAGACGCTGCCATGGATGCCCGCTGGCAACGCGAGGACAATCGGGTAGAAACGGAGCGTGCCCGCGAAGATCTGCGGAAAGCCGAAGAATGGGACGAAGCCGTGCGCACTATGCGTAACCAAAGTAGCATCCGCAGGGTAGCCTGCGCCGTCGGGTAGCCGACTGTGGGTTTTGATATTCTGAGGTTGTCATGATGTCGACAGAAACATCGGAATTTTCTGTTGTAACCAACATGTGTCTCATTCGTTTATCTCTTTTGTTTTGATCTACTTGTCCGTCGCGTTTTTTTTTACAGAATTAAAGTAATAGCTTTTTTAAAATTGTTTTGTTACAACAAGATAAATTCGTTTTGATAGCATTTACCAAATCACAAGAAACTATTTACGGCAGAACGAACGTAACTGCCACCCTACTTAATATCAAAGAGCGCAAATTTATTCACGTCTATTGAAATTATCACATTTTTTCAGCAGAAACCGAACTAAAACAGAAGTTTTGTTGATTTTGTCTCGAACGGGTAGCCGTCAGGATGTTTCCCTGGGTAGCCAGGAGGCAGTTTCGTAGCAGCAAAGTTGTTATAAAAAAGCGGAAGAAATTTAAGAAGAGCGCGGTGCGTTCTATGGTTTATGCTTCCGCTCTTTATTTTGCGGATGAATTGGATCGGGAGCTTGAGAAATTTTATGTACGGCATGAACTAGACTTGAAAACTATGCCGCGCGATCGTCTGCGCCACTTTTCCGAATAAAATCCTACGAAGATTTTCAACGCCTGTCTCAGTGTCTTCAAATTCCGGACACAATAAGCTGTGATAACCGGTGCCAAGTATCTGGAGAATTTGCACTTGCTGTGGTTCTGCGTCGCCTTGCTTACCCAAATCGCTGGCGTGACTGCGCCGATTTACTTGGAAGAGAAGCAACTCAGTTATCGAGGATATTTAATGCAACCATAAATTTTCTTTATGATAAACACGGCCATTTGTTGCGATCTCTTGGACAACCTTGGCTGGGCGCTGATAACATCGCGGCATATGCAGCAGCTGTTCATCGGGCGTCGGGCGGAAGATACGGTAACCATTTTCTATAAATGGTAAGCAGGGATGCCTGCTCATCTGGCTAGCCAGATTTTGTGTTATTATTTAGATAACTGTTGGGCATTTGTGGACGGAACTGCACGTGCGATTTGTCGCCCAGGAAGACTGCAGAGAGTATTATTCTGGACATTACCGCGGACATGATATCAAATTTCAGAGCTTAGTTGCTCCGGATGGCTTAATTGTAAATATGTATGGCCCTTGCGAAGGACGGCGGCACGATATGTACATGCTCGGTGCATCAAAATTACGACACCGATTACGTTTGCGGAATCTTATTTGGGGAAAAGATTACTGTATTTTTTGGGGACAAAGGGTACAGTATAAGTGCTGAGGTCCAGAGCCCATACAAAGGCGGCAATATAAGCGAAGCGGAGATTGCCTTCAACCTCGTCATGTCAAAATGCCGATTGATCGTGGAATTAGGTTTTCAGCGTATATGCACGCAGTTTGCATTTGGAAATTACCGCGAAAATCAGAAACTGTTTTGGCAGCAATCTGCAAAAGCATATTTGGTCTCAGCAGTTCTAGCAAACTGCTTGACTTGCATGTACGGCTTTGAACTTGTTTTTCAAAAGTTTGGCCTTCAGCCGCCGTCTTTAGAAACATACTTGCGCTTTTAAATTTAATAAAAGGTGTAGGCTTCCCTACAACAACTGGGTAGCCAGTATCAAATCGTAAATGCAGGTAAAAGCACTGCAAAAATAATTAATTTTTGCTGACAAACTTCTCCATCATATCTAACATTCTTTCCTGCTGTTTGTTGCGGCCCTCAATTTCAAGCTTCTGTAGTTGAAACTGTTGATCTCGACTTTCTTTGCGTTCGAGTCTGTCTTCTTCTTCTTTCTTGATGCGCTCCAGGCGGTCTTTTTCCTTGATTTCCGCCTCTTGTTGCGCCAACTTCCATTGAAGAGCGCGGTCTTCTTGTCGCGATTCCCGTTCGGCTTCCCTGTCCTTTGTACGCTCTTCGCGCTCAAACCGGCGCTCTTCGGAGTCACCATGTTCCATCCGAGCCACAGTTTTATTCAAGCTTGTAAATGTCTGTACGATTTGTTGACGACTGGTTACTATTCGCTCTTGACGCAATTTTTCTGACAATTTCTTTTGATGAGTCTTTCTTGCTGCTGCAGCTTCGTCTGGCAGACAGTTTTTTTCGCAACGAAGTTGCTGTTTGCGACTTTCTTAGTGACATCACTACCAGCAGCAGAGGGCTCGTCCTCACTTGCAGGGATGCAGGTTCAATACGCTTGACCGTTCTCCGGGTAGCCGTGCGTCATGGGTTGCCGGTGTTTGCTTTTCGGGAAATTGTGCCTGTCCATCTACTGCAACAACTGTTTCTCCTCTGGTTCCGCTATGGGGTACCCCATTCTTGCGGCTAGCCGTAAAACCGCAACCGTACCATCTTCGTTGAAATCTGCTAACTCGTCAACTGCAAAATATTTAGGTAATAAATTTTTTTAAGATCTTTCAAACAAGAACCAATATGTCAGGAGATAATTAATTTACTTTCTGCGTACAAAATCCAAAAACGAATTCACATTTCTTAGCGAGAAGATAAATTTGAACTTACTTTTACCGTCAAAGCGAAGATTCCCGGCCAAATCATCGGGATGATCCGTCAATCCCATATCAAACTCCAAATCTTCTCGAGCTTGGTCTTCGTCCGCAGCGTCCCAGGACTCTTTGGTTGTTCCACTTTTCATACCCAATTGAGTAGCGCGGATTCGCGCCTGTAGGCCGGCTTCCCTGGCTGCTTTCGGGATCCCGAGTAGACAATGGCACACATTCAGAATACTCTTTTATCTGCTCCATCAGTTTGTCCCATTCTTCCCATTCCTCCTCAGTGCCGGTGATTCGCACATGACGTTCGTTAAATTTTGTTGAATTCCGACGAACCAAAGCTTTCAGGCTCTGAATCTCTTTGAAAAGAACGGGACTTGCATCCACCAGTAAGTCCCCCGCGTCGTTTCTTATCCGCTCGCGACTGAGCAGCACAACCTCGCACCAAGCGTCGTGGCTGTCCTTCACGCTATGGCTGTAGGGATTAACCTCCACAACGTTTCGCAGCTTCTTGAGCGTATCTTCGTTGGGTGGCTGTGGCCTGCGGGATGGCCTGTCTTTACTCTGGTCGTCATCAGCATTAGGCCGTTTCTTCCCTTTAGGCTTCCGATACGCATTGTTTACAGCGTACTGCTTAGCCACTGTGGAACGGATGGCCGCTTGTAAACTACTGGTAGTTTCGTTAGCTTCAGTATCAGCTGGCTTGCCAGCGGAAAGCAGGAACCCTGCGCAGGTAAACCGTTGGTGCTGATGGGATTAACACGGAAGGCACTAAGCTACTGCTCGTGCCTGCAGCTTCGATCTGAACCTGTCCGCTCATGGCCGGTTACCACCAGCAGTTATCCCGATAAGAAAGACAAATTCAGGAGATCCTAATTTAAAGCCGAAACTCAACTTTTAGGATAGACTAACAAAACTTTTATTCAAAAAACCGAAAACAGTGGTTCAATTAAAACTTGAAGTATTGCAGCAGTACCACGTGGTTTGGAATTTTGCTATTGGCGGTGGGCAGCCTCGATCTAACTCAGAATGTTGACCCACCAATAAAAATCGCGGAAACACGAAGTTTGTAAGTACCTGGGCGTCGCTTAGACCCGTTACAAGGTACGCCCATGTTCGTAACGGTTTTCGTCGACGCCCACCGACAGACATCGAGCAAAAAGCGACTTACATCGAAGCCCAGCCAATTGGGACTTGAAACGCCTATTTCTCGTTTCGATGTAAGTCGCAGATGCTCGATGTAAGTCCGCGTTTTGACTCTGCGCATCCTCTGGACTATTGGCGATGAAGATGGCGCAGCAATTGTGGCAAAGAATATTATTCCTGTGTCGAATAAGGATTCGGTGGAAACTGTCCAGCCGGCATTCGGGTCCCTTAAGCGCCCAGTTGAGGCGGCGGCTGAGGAAGACAGCGAGAAGTGTGAAAGCGCTAGAAAACGGCAGGCCAGCCTGCTTGATCCAGAATCAGCTGCACGTGGTATGGAGTGGAAAGACAATGAAATCTTGCGTAAGTGAGGATGAACGTGTTCGAAAATGTTTAAATATAAGCAACGCGGCCAATGGCATGCAGATGCAGAAGAGCTATATGAATAAAACGACAGCACCAAGACCAAGTGGTAAGTTAGATTTGCACCAAATAATCCAGTATTTTGGTATTAATTTAAATATATAGAACGGTAAAAACATAATTTCTTGTCATAGACGCGCTTAGATCCATCCCCATTTGATGACCTACCTGCAGATTTACGTCGTCGAAATTCCCTAGTGGCTACACGAACAAATGTGTGCATGTTTAAAACGGCCAAATCCCGGATCGTTGTCTTCATTGGGCAAAGCATCCCTGATCCAGTCGGCGGAAGAGTTGCGATTCAGCCGTTTGTCGAAGTGGAGCGCCCACGCGATGGTAGCATCCTTTTTCGGCTTATTCCGATCAGGCCTTTTCTCGTTTCACTGTGGAAACTGCAAATAGTTTCCTTAACTTCTCGACAAGAAGCGCATCCCGTGTTCCTTTTTCATCGTCACGGTTTTACAGATAGGCTTGTGGATGTTTTGTTCTGGCTGCAAATCGTGGAAGTTCGATGGGGACCAGGCCAGACCAAGCTACACGACAGTATTACCAATGAGGTGATACGCTCACTGGAACGGCTGGACGCGCAACCTCAACCACAGCCGCTGATTAAGGCAGCACCACGCCCATCAGTACCACCGCCGATCATCATATCGGTGCAGTCCAGTGTAGTTCAAAACGTTGCGCCGGCAGTTAACCATTTCCCGTCGCCTGGGACCACCAGACCGCTACCACTGTGCCCACAAACTGTTATGGTTTCCCGGCACTCTTTGCCGCCAATCTTCATTCGGCCCAGTACCGGGATTGTGCCCACAGGAGGACCAGCGACAGCCAATCAGTTTCGGTGACACGGTATTCTGCATTCCCTCTGACCCGACCGCTCAATCCGGTAGTGTCTACCGGATCAGGTAATCATCAGTCACCAGGAAACAACGGCGGCACCGGACAAAATACTAGCCTTTCCAATATTCGGCCAACCATCAGCCGCCCACTGACCACTGAGTCCCGTTTATGGTCTTTTTACTACTGGACTCAATACGAATTCAAAACAAGTCAAACACCGGGTCAAATTATCGCCTTAACCATTAGGCCACGCGGCCAACAGACTTGTAGTTACAAAAAATTAAATAATATGGGGCTGCGAAGTAGTGCTATCTCATAATCGCATGTTGACTGTATGTCAATAGAAGTACTGCACATACTCTACAAGCGTGTGTCAAAATAATGGTATAATATAGATAAAAAATATATGTCTCCGTCAAATTTGTTTAATTTTCTCTGAAATAAATTTTAACCATTAGCAAAATGAATTTTAACCTTAACCATTAGGCCACGCGGCCATTGTATACGTTCAGAGACCACTCAATCGAAGCACTGCTACAATGTGAACTGTAATCAGCTATTGAACTATGCTTATATTCATTTCCGGTGCTCGCTGTTCAGCGTTGGGGAACTGCGCCAGATACGTCATCATGCTCTGATCGTCAGTGTGGGGGTTGATCATGTCCTCCGGGCTGAGCAGCTGTGGCACACCAAACCATTTCTCCGCCAGGGTCATTGCCACAGTTGCACTGTGTTCTGCATCAGACGGCGCCCAGTTCTGCCAGTCCTCGCAGAGATCTAACAAAGACAAGGCAGTTAAAGCGAGTATTAAGGCGAAATGGCGTGCTTGGGGTACTCCGTAACGATTTTTGAAAAAATTACCATTGATACAGTAACACGTAAGCTACAGGATGGCGTATCGGAAATAACAATCGGCCGTCTCCACTTAAAACAGTGAATTTTTTTCAACAACCGGTGGGTGAAAGAAAACAGTGAATTAAACCTGCCTTGATGCAGTTGTTTCTCTGTTCAGTAAAAGCTGCCGCTGTTTAGTAGCTTTGTTATTTACACAGATGACCACTGTAAGTACACAGATGACCACTCCCGGTCGTCCATATGCGGGCTAGCTGGCCAGTGGCCACTCTTGTATACCCGGTCACCGCACCAAACGAAAAACCACCATAACCAGTAAAAAGGTGCCTACCTACTGGACTGCCGGACAATAGCAGTACAAAAAATATATCATGCAAATAAGTACATACAACAAGGTCAAAGGGAATGTCAAAGTACTCGTACCTGCTTTCATGGCGTTGACTAGCGCGTCAAACACCATGCCGTCCGCCCAGTCGGAACTGAAATTACTAATCGACAAATTCGGCACTTTTTTGTTAATCCACGTAAGGAGACGCTGTTTGGGCGTACGTTTCTTCTCCTGCCCTTCACTATCCGCATCGCCTTCCCAGTTCGGCTTGGACAGGGAATAATGCGATATCAAATTCCACATTAATACTAAAATTTGATCTGGTCTCCCGTCAAGGATGTCACTACAATCTACACAAAATACAGCAGTCAATTGTCAATGTAGCGTAACACTGTCAGTCGATGCTAGATTGTCGGAAACTGCTCGAGAATCTTATGATGGATAACTGGCAATTTCATATAAGTTACTGTTGACGAACACTTTTCCCGCCAACACCATATAAGAAAGTGTTAAAACGACGAGACAATTACGTCTATTAACACCCTGTTTTACCGTACCAATAACTCCGAGATCCACGCCTTCCTCCTCGAGAAATGCCAGGGCTAGTCTGATATTCGCCAATTTTTTGGAGCGTATCACAGCCTTTTCTGTGTGTTGTGGTAAAGAGCGGCCGCTAATGACTTTCAGTAGAGCAATAAGGCGGTGCCCGTCACTAAAGTCCTTCTCTAGATCATTCACACACAGTTGCACCTTCTTCAGCTGCTCATTGGCCCAACGCACAAAGGTTTTCTTTTGATAAAACTTCCACATGGGAGACGGGAACGACTGAGTGGTTCGGCTTCCCTTTTGCTCCAGCTCCTGTGTTCGACGACGGTCCATCTCGCGTTCACTCCGCAGTTCGTCAACCTGACTCTGCAACTTCTGCATGGCGTCAGTCATCTGGTCCCTCTCTTGTTTGGTAGTCTGGAGCAACTTGGAGAGGCGAGTAACTTCCGCCGCGGACTGGTCTCGCTCTTGGCTGGCTTTTCGGAGCTGCTCATCGTGCACTGAACAGAGCGCCCGTAGGGAAGCGGCTTCACCAGACGTCTGCTGTTGCTTGCTGGTTTTGGAGGCCAGTTCCTGCTCCAGTAGCGTTATACGGTGCTGGGATTCCGCGTCCACTTTGAGCCGGTCGCGTTTGGCTTCCTCCAGTTGCTCTTGAGCATGATCGCGGGCGGTTCGGAACTCGCCACTCTCTTTGCGCAGAGTTTCAATCTGCTCTTCGCAAGCCGCAATCTTCTGTTCCAGATCCCGCCTGTCGACGGTATCATGGCTCGGCTCTATATCCGTCTGACACTGGACACAGGTTTTTTCCTTACTCAATCCGTCAAGCTTCTGTTTCAGAAGACCTTCATTCAGCAGTCCTTCATTCTCCACACTCCGCTTACCGATGTCGTCCTGAAATTAAAATTTTCATTTCAAAAACTTTTTTTGAAGGAATATGCTTACGGCTTTGCACAGTGTATTAAATATTTTTGTAAACGGTATCACCGACTACTACTTTGTTTATTTCGTATACACTCTGTATTTCGTATGATGTGGTGACTTGATAGCATATCACATAAAAACTTGTTAGCTGCATACACGTACTATAAGACGAGGTTTGCAGATGAGTTCTAACAACTCCCGGGTCATAATCGATGGTTGTTCACTAGAAAACTTTTGGAGAATCTCTTCGGGGGACATTGTAGGCACTCGCTGATAAAATGCCGAATATGGCGATTGTTTGCCAGTTTTCAAGAAGCGCAAAACTGCCGTTCTATATTCCGCTACCAATATCTGATCATCAAAAACTCCGGTGTGATGTGGCTCATGGTCGATGCGGGTGGCTGCGTCTTCCAGCAACGGCGTATCAGTTGATACGCGAACCGGCTCCTCACTATCGCAACTGGCGTTGGATACGGAGGAATTCATACTTCCGTATGCAGTTGCTGCGGTCGAAAAAAGTTCTCCTTCAACGGCATCTGCATCTTGGGCAGCAGTTTGAAAAAATCCCCGCAGCTCAGCGTACTTCGGCTCTTCATCGTATTTCAAACTTTGGATGGATCTGAAGAAATTCATAATCTCAACAGGGGCGCTAGTAGGGAAGGTCACACGGAAGAAGTCATCTTGACTGGCTATAAACCTGAAAATTCCAGTAACATCAAATCAAATCCGTATACATACTTGTACAGACCGTAAAATCGCAACAGCATCAAGAAATCACCACATACCCTATTTTCAAATTGTGCACAACAGCGGCATCCTCACAGCGCGACCATGGCAGTGCTCCAGTGAGCCATTTGACCAGATTAAATCCCAGTATCTGCATATCACCTCGCCGAGATGGAACTAGAAAAACATCAGCCTACTGTAGTGGCAAATTTGAATATTAAACTTACAGCTTACACAAAAAGTGTTTAGTGGTCCCTGCATCTATATGCCGCTGGCCATTTGTACAAGTACCGACTAAATTATTTTAACTTCTGGAGATAGCATTCCCTTACCCGCTCTCTTGTGAGCATCACAACTGGTCAGCTCAAGAGTTCCGGCCAGTGGAGCATCCGGCTTTTCAGCATAGGAAATGTGCTTGTTATCGTCCATAAACCGTTTGACCATTCCGAAATCAATCAGATACACTTGCAAAGCGTCCGCGGGACTGAGACCAGTCATCAGATTGGTGGCCTTCAAATCCGCATGCGCATATCCCTGATTATGGATATATTCCAGCGTATCCAACTGCAAAAATAGTGCAAAAAAAGTTGTCAGAGGAGAAACTTCGCAAACACAAAAGTGTACAATACAAATCGTACAATACAAATGTACAATGCAATACAATACAATACAAAAGTGTATCGTACAATACAAAAGTATAATACAATACAAAAGTACACAATCTTAAATAAAACCACCGCAAAAGAATGTTTTAAGGGTTCTCGTACCAGCTGTAAGGCCAACAATATCACGCATTTCCGTGAAAGCATTCCGTGACGTTCATCCAAAATCTGCTGAACGCTCCGGTCTAAACGGGGTAAAATAAGCCATCGCAAATTTTTCCCACGGACTTCCACAACACCACTAGAAATGTATTCCATGATGCCGACAGATTTGATGCTGCGTTCACGCCGGAATGTAGCAACTGTAAATTCCATCGCGATATGTGAGAACAACCATTGGTATCCCATTATTCATTACAAGACGCCGATAACCGGTCGTTTCTAATTACTTTTAAACTAATTTCCTATATATTCGTTTATCATACAAGCGATGCCACTCCTTAATCAATAAGCCCTTAATTGTGCTGATGCAGCTTATGACTAGCAGATAAAAGCTTACTTGACTCAGGTTTCGCAACTGCCCTGTAGAAAGCCTCCTCATTACGCGATACATCATCCACCCGATTCTAAAGCAGCAAAAACCTGCAAATATGTCATATCTAATGTTGCTGCATCGCCAGTACCAGTTTCAGGACATATTTCGCCGCTCCATCTGCAACTGATCCGGTTGTCATGTCGGAAACTATAAAATACCGAAATTACAGATTGGCTGTCGTTAACAAAAGGACAATGTATTTCCAACTGTGTATCCAAGTAGTCAAGAAGAACCGTGCTCACCTAGATACACATCCGCAAAGCATCCCTGCCTAACAGCAGATCCCGTACGCCAAGTTTTATTTCCCGGTTTGTCCTCGATGATGTGTCCATCCTCCAGCCGTTCATCTTGTTCACATCCACGAGCCGTAGTACCTAAGCCACATGTTCTTTAATGATTTTTTTTATCAAACTAGCGCACTTTCAGTGCTTCCGATTTGTATACAACAGAAAAGGAAAAAAGTTGGCAAGCAACACTAAGCTTTTGTTTTGTTGCATATTTCGTCCTGAAACAACCGCCAATTACTTGCCTACGATCCCAGCAGCTGATTGTGCTAATCCGACCGATCTGGATGCGCACTCGGATCCCGGTAGATTACTGAGATGACACTCAAAAGGAAATGTTGCAACGGGAGAAAGCGAATTCTGGATAAATGCTGAGATTTGAGCAGGGTCCAGAGATATACTTGTATCACTTGCTGAGCAGGGTAACACCACCTGCAGTTACAGTTTAATCAGCATAGATTATCTTTCGCACAAGGGCAGACATTACGTTCGAAAGAGGCATGCGTAGTTTTATGTAACATCGGTTCTGGTGAAAAGTATGCACTACGTAAACAACAGGACGGATCATAGAAAATCGTTACGGAATTTTGGGATTCATATTTGTTTGGACAACTAGTAATCAGCTTATAAATTCAGCTCTTTTACATAGAATACTTTACAAGATAACGCTCAACAGCACTAACCTGCCCGTTATCATCTGCATCTACGAGGCCCGTGACGGGCGTTGTGGTGTCTGAATCGACCGGCTTGATTCGCAGACGTCGTTTCACAGGGCTGTGCGCCACGGGGGAAGGGCGTTTGAATGAAGTATCGTCCAAATGTGAGTCGATGTTTTTCTTACTACGCAGCGAATATTTACTGGTAGATCTCTTCTCTTCGCTATTTGCGACCGACTACCAAAAAACAAACACATCCAGTAAAATTCAAGTTTTTAATGGGCGGTGCGGGAAAAAGTTTAACGCAGACAATGCTCTCATATAAGAACCCCACCCGTGTCAGCTGCGAGACAAACGACGACACTGTATCCGGACGCTTGCGTTTTTTCGTCGCAGCAGAACTAGACGGGATTGAAGAGCTAGACAGGACCGACGAGCCAGACGGAAACGCCGAGTTTCCGGGGACGCGCGGGTCGACACTGTACCATTTTCGCGTCGGCTGCCGCATGTCCTCCGTAGCCGACACTGGCACAGCACCCCGCTCACAATCTCTCAAAGTCCATGGTGACTTCTTCCAAGGGCCCATTATGCCATCGTCATCGCATCGTTGGAATATCATAAAGCGCTGTGGCATAAAACCTTGAGGCAAAATTATCAGGTGATTAATTAACGATAACCTTGGTTAATCGGACACCAGCAGGTAACCACCGTTGGTTATACCATCTAAAAAATTGTCGACGAAGCGTAGCCTTATAACGTAGATATGGCTTGAAAACATTGGTAGCTTTAACTCACTAATATAGCAAAGTCGAGCATTATTACCCTTTTCGTAGTCCGCCTTCTCCAAGCCATCACTCCATGCTGCACAAGGATATTGATAGTTATTTCCTGTCTTGCCTAACAAGTGGTTCTTGCAGGCATCACGATTCCATCCCCACGCAACCTTTCCACGTTTGCCGCAATAGGGGCATTGATAAAAGTAATGCCCATCTTTGTACAGACGCCATTTGAGCAATTCTGCTTTTGAAAGGTTTGCCTGCAACAAAATTGCCCGGCTGACACTGACAGCGATTAACCAAGTTTTAAGGGACTAGACAATACCCTGGATTTCTTGCTGCTGTTGCTGATGTCAACAGATTTCTTGCGGATGACTTTCCGGTTGCCTGTTGGTACGGGAGACTTGCTGCTGTTGTTCCGTTTTCTCTGTTTAGACTGACGCTTTCCGATACCATCATTATCCTCGGGACTCGCCGGGTGGTGTCCCACACGGGGCGATGATCTAGTAACCTGGTCAAATTTTACGCCATCGGCGACATTCAGGATGGACGTGCCGTATTCCATAACACCCGCGTCGGCTCCAGGTGAAGCGTTACTCGAAATTCGACGATTAGTGGCCATATTTTCAACGTTATTGTTACCGTAATGTTATGATATAGTAAAAAAACCATTGACGGTCATTTTATTCGTTCATTTCTGTCCAGAAAGAGTTTAAAAGGCAAACTGTTACAGACTACAGTACAGAATGTGAGACAGGAAAAAAGAGAGGGAGTGTGCACAAAAGCAAGAGAGAGTGTGATACTGCAAGTGCAAGACAGACAAAGAAAGCAGAGGGAAACAGCTCTTTATCACCTACCCTACAGGGGGCTTACGAACTCAGTACGTAGTGCTCACCAGGTCCGCTGCCCGATTATTGCACTTTCAGGTTCACATTACTGTTACAGTAAGGGTATAACGGTGCTCCAAATTCAGAAAATTCTTAATATTTGTAGAAGATGTGATTAAAAAATGTTTTCATCTGCTGTGGTCAATTGGGCGTGGCCAATCAAAAAATTAAAGTGTACAGTTCGAATCTGTTCGATAGTTCTGTGCGGCGGCACTGGCGTCTGGTAACGCGCGGCTAACGGGAAAATTGCTCCTCGTAGACCTAACGCTATAACGAACCGCGCCCACAGCCAATGAGCAGTTTCTTAGCCAACGAATCGTAATTACCTACAGAATTAGAAGGAACATTGCAAAAATGTACTAGTACTATGCAGAACTTATCGGTAGCGGCTATACAAAAAGTTAATGTGCAATATAAAACTTTTAATCAAAGCTTCAGTTCTCTTTTTTATTTATATAAAATAATTTTACGTTTTGGTTTCTGCTAATTACGTTTTTGCTGAATTTCATTAAAGATTTTGATATCGATGGACAGTTTCATCAAGAATAAAGTCGTGTCATTATATGTAAACTGATGTCGTGGCAGTCGTGCTTTTCATGTAAATGAAATAGCTTACGCCACAAGATTTGTTCAATGGTTTTTAAAATTAAACACCGATGTACAAAAAAATCAAAAAGTTAAAGATCGCAACAAAAAAATGCATTTTTGTTGCAAAAATAAAATGGCATACAAAAACCAGAAATTCTAAGCTACTTCTCATAACTGTAAAAAAAATACAGAAATTATACGAAATACAAAATTCTAAGCTACTTCTCATAACCGCCCCATCAGGATGTACAGTACTACAAATTTTACATCAAGTTGTACAGGATGTACATGTACATAATAAGGTACATGTACTAAGGATGTACATCAAGGTGTACTACTGGATGTACATTAGGTTGTACTACAGGGTGTGCTGCAGAGCGTTTATTTAATAACAAACGATATCTTAATGTAATTAAAATTAAAGGGAAATACTAAAATTTAAAATAACAAATATTGTTACATATGTATTAAATATACATGAGAAAAAAATTAATATAAGAAATTACTACATATACAAAAACTTTCGGCACTACTCTATACGTTTTTAAGATAGGAAGTTATCGTTAACCCCGACATGCACAGTTTTCTGGTGCGTTTTAATGTAGGCTAACCTTTCAGTACGACTGTAGTATGCTGCCCTGCAATGCTACAAAAAAACCTCATCATAAATTTAAGACGCCACAAATTTATTTGTGGATTTCGCAAACAAACTTTTTAGAATGTAGCATTTAGGATTGCTAACTTACCCGTACCGGCAAAGCGGAATTGTTTAGGTAACGTTGAAGATATAACTAAAACGCAATTTTTACAAACATAATCTGGACAAGCTAAAAAAAATTTTACTTTTAAAAGATAATTAATAATACAGAAACTAATTGTGCGATGATGCATATAACAATAATGTACTCCGTACCAGAAACTTTGCTCATGCCCTAAAAACGCAGTACCGAAGTTTTTGTAGTGGTTTTTCATGTTAATTTTTATCTCGTGTTTTCTTTAATATAGATATGACAGTACTTATTATTTCAAATTTTAGCATTGATATATTTAAATAAATGAACGTCCTGTAGCACATCCTGTAGTACATCGTGATGTACATCCTGCAGTACAGCCTGAAGTACATCCTGTAGTACAACCTGATGTAAAACCTGTAGTACACCCTGATGTACAGTCTGCAGTGCTCCCTGTTGGGAAAGGCTACGAGAAATAGCTTTGAATTTCTGTATTTTGCCACTATTTGCATTTGTAAACTAGTTTTTTGTGACAAAATACTTGTTTTTATTGTGAACAATAAAATTGTTTATTTTTTTCAATTTTAAAAACGGTCGAGTGAATTTTGTGACCCAGTAAAAGTTATCAATAACTTGTTATTTACAAGGAAAGAACGACGACAACAAGACTTCCAGTCAAATAATTCAGTAACAACATGAACAGGAGTAGTGAAATTCAGCGATACCGTTATCGACGGTAAAAAACGTGAAAATGAATCTTTCTTGTAAGGAAAACGAAAAATCTGACGCTGGGATTTAAAAAGGTTTAATATCGCATGTACGGTTACTTTTAAATGCTATGGCTTTGTAATGATTTGAATCGGAGAAAATTTCTCTCAAGTTCTGTGTGCAATTAGGATTCGTTGGCTAAGGAACTGCTCATTGGCTGTGGGTGGGGTTCGTTGTAGCGTTAGGTCTACGAGGAGCAATTTTCCCGTTAGCCGCGCGTGGCACTGGTATAGTTGGTCAGGCAAAATGCCCCACAATTTATTAAATTTGTGGGCCACAAATACGAAAAGCGTCTGCCGACTACTGCCTAGTAGAAGAAGATGAACGGTTGGAGTCCCACCAGTAGTTTTTTTATTTTCGTCATTATATAGTATCGAAACACATTTTGTCGAAACTGGACACGATGCGAAAAATTATCGGCGTAACCATTAGGCCACGCGGGCATTGTATACATTCAGGGACCAATCAATCGAAGCACTGCTACGATGTAAAATGTAATGAGCTATTAAACTATGGCTATATCCATTTCCGGTACAAAGCGTTTACACTGGACCGAAAAGTTCCGAACAGTCCGCGCTTTCGCTTCTTATGTTCCACTAGCTGTTCCAGAGAACGTGCTTTCTCATTCAGTAGCTCGTACTCCCGTGTGCCGACAAGAGTCGGGTGCGTAGCATGGTGAGCTAACCCGGCCTTGATGAGGTACAAATTGAGATTGCTGAACATTAAAGGGAACTAAGGTAAGTACAAAGAAAGTATTAATTGATTAATTTCTTGGATCCAAATATAAATATTGAAAACGAAAGACAAACGTCGTACTCGTTGCCATTTCACCCTGCTCAGAATTTCTCCGTCTCCGGCAGTGCCCAACAGCTGGAAAAATATCGGTCTACCAACAAGATTCGTTTGTAACCATTTTAGGGACGGGGGAGTGTGTGCTACTACAGCAAGCCGGACTCGAAGCTGAGAATCTGTAACAGAGATTAAGTGTTTTGAAACATTGATTATCAGTGTACTAGCCACTAGGAGCTTTCCATATTCCTGTGCATTTTTATTTCGATGGCGACTGCCTATCACACTTTTACTACTGTTCAGATTTTTCTGTCAAACAATGCTGTGGATTTTTCTATTTTTAATCTGATTTTAAGGTTTACACAAAAAGCACCTTAACAACGGCGTTACAACGCGTAATGGTACAAATAACCAAATAAAGTAAGTAACATTTACGAAGTAATTTAAAATTAATATTAGCAGTAGACATTAGGTACAGTACTACTTTACGAAATAGGTAAATCACTAATCAGTGACTAATCACAGTGCCTTCACACCCACTGTCATCTACCGGTTCTGTGACTCCAAGGGGTCCGAATTATGGGAATGTGGTCAACAAAAAGGATCCCATTGTCATCCACATTTTTAACTCTTCCGTGCAATGATATATTAGACATAAAAAATCCAGGAGGGATGTTTTTTGCATCGGTAAATTTCGTCACCTAAATAAAAGAGGTAGCTGGTAGCAGAATTAGATTCATATTATTTTCATAGTGACATATTTCGAGTATCAGCGCAGCTCCAAACTCAGCGGGCCTTACAATTCGGACACTGCGGGCAATAACAATCAGCCCAGCAACTCCAATTCCCGCAATGCCCCACTACACAGACAACAGAAGCACTTATTTATTAATGGTCTTAAAGGAGATAATTACGCGCTATCCGTCAATATTACGCCAAGACTGCAAGGGAATCATGAGAAGCAATAACAAAATCGTCAATCATGCAATCATACGCGTACCCGAACATACTGGATATTCCGATCAATAAGCTTAGAGAACTCATCAACACTCATGGAAAATCTTTGCAGGCGCACCTTGATCCGTGCTGCAATAAAGTTTTTATAAAACTTTTTAGAAGAAAGAATATCTGCTACTAGTTACTCGTAGTCGTACTCAACATAAAATGATGGTAGATCCTTACAAGGTAAACTGTAAACAACACCTAAAATTTGCCAACACTGACAATATTTATGGTTCACTGTAAACTTTACAGTGTAAACTGTAAAGTGTCCAGTTAATTTTAATTTTCTAATTTTAAAGTGCTTCTTATTTCGCTTTTTATTTCCAAATTCTAACGATCAGTGCGAAAATTCAAAAGTAGTTCACTCTATGTACTACTCGTAGTACTCTTATTCTATTAATTTTGTAAATTTTAAAGATGAACAGATTCTGGTGGAGTCTGTCGTGGTGTAGCCGCTCTGTTGGCAGCTGCTTTTACTGAATTTGAGGACACACGTGACGCCACCGGAAATGGCTGTGGATGCTGTGAAGTGTGCCCGTCTCTTTCACAGTGAAGTGAAAGTCCAAAACTCCAAATGCCCTTTTAAACGTTTGTCTTCTTGGCCCAAGAATCTTGGGATCTGTTTTTAACAGTTGTTACTTTACGGATTACACTTCCTACCTCGTTACTTTATTGAAAAATATCTGATTATCTTTAAGAATACTTAATACTGTACTGTTTGTAAGCAGCCGTATACTGCGTATAAATACAGTGTACAGTCAACAGCGGGATCTAACCATAAGTGGGCTTGTTAGTTGTTACCGTTTGCAGTGCATACTGCATAGAGGGCTTCGTTATAAGGCAAAACCAACCTTGAGAACCTGAGCAGCAACGTTTTGCTCCGTAATATTTAAACCGAGCGAAATAATCATGGACATCAAAAGTCCCATTATGGAACAGCTTCCAAATATTCCGCTGGCTGATGAAGATGCCCCTGGTGAAGCTCCATTATTTCGTGCCGAAACGAATGGGTACTGATGAAATTTGATCTTTCAGAGATTCCTGAAGCTGAGGAAGGAGAGGATGGTGTCCAGGAAGAGCACGATGCCCAAAGCGTCATTGACGATGGTAGCAAAAGCGTTGATTCTTTCAGCTTCCAGAACGATGGTACAACAAATAAACAAATAAAATCTAATTACTAATGCACTGCAAATTTAATGTGATAGCTACAAAACATAGACAACATAGAAGTATCCCAGGAATTTCTTTACGGGAATGGCCATATTTGACTGCTTTGTAGATGCAAGTTTGGACGAAGCGGAGGAAAAAGCACGATTGATTGCACAAGTACTGGAACTGCAAAACACTCTTGACGGTATGGAATTGGCTTGACTTAAATACTTTGATTCGTTCCAACTGGACTGAACTAGTATAAAGTAGTATGATATTCTAACTTATATTTTTAAGTAATTCTAGCTGGAGAAGAGTTTTCCAGTAGAGATATTTTTAGTTTAGTTGTTTGGTAATTTTTCTGTGCGATTTTCTTGTGTAACATGTAACATATGTACAGATAACACAGCGAAGTCGAACGCTTCCATTCTCGATCTGTATTGAGTCGACACACTTGTGTAAACTTATTACATTTGTCATTCACCTCTTTTTGTTAGATTTGTCACAAAAAGTGGACAGCGTGAAGGAAGAAAATTTGAAACTGAAGTCGGAGAACCAGGTTCTGGGACAGTATATCGAAAATCTAATGAATGCCAGCAACATTTTCCAGTCGACTTCCCGCAACGTGAAGAAGAAGTAAAAATTCTACAGTCCACTACAATGTTTTCAAATAAATTACCAATCATACTCGTATCGATCACTGCAGTGACTGCACCAGTTCGTCAATACAGATAATCCTACTAATTGTGCAAGCAGAAATTCAAAAATTGAAGTTTTATTTGCGCAGTGCTTCACTGTGCTTGTGTTAAATTGGCTTAAAATCAGTGTGACAATAGGTACTACAGAGTATATCTATATTATCTATATATATATACTGTACTTGCATGCAGATGCAGTAATAGCAGTCAGATTAAAAAGGTTACAATTATATAGATATTATACAATGCAGTACTGTTTGTTAATGCGTACATATCTTCTTTTACTAAATTTTTTGTTTCCTTTCCGTCGTACTCAGATAATTGATTTTGGCAGTTTCTACATATTATGATTGTACAAGGCAGTTTTAATGGTAACCTGGTTTTAATATGTAACCTGGTCGTGTTGTTGTAACTTGTCTTATCCAATTTATCCGCGAGTGCTTTCGCTTTTGCAAACGTAATTCGGTAAGTTTTAGGTGAGTATCTGTAGAGTAAATATCTATTTTAGGCAGAGTATCTATCTCGAAGTTTTTTGGATATGGTTAAGTTTTATGAAGTTGTTATTTCATTCGTAGGTCTCTTAAGGGTCGTCCAAAACCTGCACCATAGTTTCGGCCACGCTCCTGCAGTGGATGGAATGAAGCTAGAATGCCGCTGTTGTTACATTTCTCCCTGGCATGACTTCATGGCGCATGGACATGAAAATTCTTCCTTTCTGTTTTTGCAGTATAGTACTTGCTTTTATCCTTGAATTCGGCTTTCTGATTTTTGTCTAGTCAGTGTGTAGATATATGCTTGGTTTGATATTTCGATTTCTGCTTTATACGTGGTCTCTTATTAATATTTTACAAGGTTGTAAAGTTACTTACTTTATACGTGCGTATACTCGTACAGATGTACAATTGAACATTTATTGCGGCGTTTTGCGCACCTGAACAGCTGATCCTTTCCATTTGAATTTGTAGCAGCGTGAACAATTTCATTGGTGTAGTTACGTATTTAAATTACTCAGTAGGTGAACGAATGGTAATAAATGCTCTGGAATCTGGATTCTTGGTCTCTTAAGTTCTTAACAGCAATACCGTAATTCAAATGGTTCAAAACATTAATATAAGTAATCAAAATGAAAACAGTGTCGACAGCCGCCTAAGAAGGCAGCTACAGTTACGTATTTCTGTCACGGCTCGACATGTTTCAACCTTACATATGTACAGTACACGGTGGTTAAAATTTGGAACAAAGCAGTTGCCTGGAAGTTTAAAGCAAGCCGCAAGCCGTTTAAAGCAAGCTACAGTAGCTGCGCTGAATGTCATTTCATCGTCGGAAGTCGACTTACACTACGAAGTTAGAAACACGGAGCGCTACTTCTACCGCAGAGGACTTGGGTCTACTCCTGTGGAATCTCTAAGTTGCCGAAATGGCGAACTGCGGTGGCAAAACTAATTCAATTGTTCTGAAGAGCCCTATCGGGAACGTGCTTGTGGAATACTGTGGACGAGGAGTTCATGCTCTAAACTTGGATGACAAAGTTCGGGATGATTCATTTTTGCCTGGCCCAAAGCAAAGGTAAATTACCGCATTCCATAACCTATTGTTAACTGAGTTATTGTTGTTATAAATAATAAATAGTGTGCAACTTATGTAGAGTCGTCGTTGAAGGAAAAGAGAACCAGAAAGCGAGTAAAGATAACATAAGGGACGCTTGCATTACTTGGCTGGATACTTATTTCCATGAGCCATCCAAACTGTCGCAAATCGCTCGGCCCACTTTGTGCCTAGATGGTGAGCCGAATTACTTACAAAAGAGCAGGATAAACGCACAAAATATGTTGTTCAAAATTACCTGTACTATGTAGATGAAGATAGTCCATTTATTAAGTTAGTTCGGTAGACGGACTTCCGCTGTATGTAACGCTTCGTAACGCGTCGATAACAGCTGTTTTGCTGTAGACACACATGCATGTGCTGTATCATGTATTGTATGTACTATGTACCTTCCCTCAGTTCCCTGCTATTATTTTTACAAGATGTGCTCTTATAGAATTGGCAAATTTATAGGCACGACGTTCTCAAACAACTGTTGGGTTACGCTTCCGGAACTAGCCGATTTTGGAAAAGTGGTTTCGTACACGGAATTGGCCGCTGCTGCTGGAAACGAGAAGGCCATTCGCGCTGCAGGGGGGAGCGATGCGTAAAAATCCGTGCATGCTGTTGGTTCCATGTCACCGTGTTGTCACCAAGGATGGGATGTTGGGTAAGTTTTCGGGTGGAACGCGTCAACGGGTCAAGGAATGGCTGCTGCGCCATGAAGGTCACACGCGTTTCTCTGTGTAAGGAGGTCCGCGGGCCCAGTTACGGAGTGGCCATGTGCACAATCCCACCAAAATCTGCCATACCGGCCCATACGTCGGCATGGGGTTTTTGAGTACAGTAGTTTTTCTCTTATGTCTTGGTTGGCGCTTAGCAGTCGGCGATGTTTGTGTACAAATGTTTCATGAAATCTCGATTATGGACCAATCTTACTTAAGCTTTCAATTTTAATCATCAGCTTTGTACATATTATGCTCGACTGCTTTTTTGACGATAGTTGTGAATTGTGAAGCTGTAAACTGATTTGATTTCGATGCTGTCCTATAATTCATGAATGGACAAGATAAATTTATTTCTACTTTCCGAAACTAAATTTAACAATAGAACTCTGTGGGCGATATTGTTTGACAGGCATTAGCATACTTCTGCAAAACAGTACAATGACATTATCCAATCCGGTGGAATCAAAAACCTCTTCTCTCGATCTTTGCCATACATATGCAAATATGCACGTTCATTAATGCACATTCCAGCTATCCTAGTCAAGTTAAATAGGACCCATTTTAGCGTGTTCCTTTAAAGGATAATGCTCGGGATGCGACCTGACATGTTCCATCATTTCCCTTTTTTGCTTCTGTAGATGCCAGGGTAGTTCGTCATACACGTCATTAAACAGTTCTTCCGGTGCCGGTTTAACTTTTTTCTCTGCTTTCTGAAAAGCCGTCATAACTTGCCGCTTTGCCTGATCTTTCCATTGCGTTTCCTTTTCATCGTTCCATAGTCCACGGTTAACCATGTACTTCCTGAAACGTATGATGGGATTATCTTCCTTGTCCCAGTAGCGAATCTCGTCCACAGATCTGTACGCTGAACTATCGTCGGACGTCGAGTGGTGTCCTATGCGATACGTCATCGCCTCTATTAAGACAGGCCGGTTCTGCGCCAGGCACACTTCACGGGCTGCCTTGACGGCATTGTAAACAGCCCATGTATCGTTGCCGTCCACGCGGATTGTGGCGATTCCATATCCAGGTCCACGCGAGGCGATACCATCACCGCGGAACTGTTGCGAAGTCGGAGTACTAATGGCGTAGCCATTGTTCCGGCACAAGAATATAATCGGGCAGTCCAAAGTAGCCGAGAAGTTAAGAGCAGCATGAGCGTCACCTTCGCTTGCAGCACCTGAAAACGGAAAATTAACCGCAGATTAGAGTTAGCAAGGTGAACATATTACGAACGATTCTACGTTTACCATCTCCGAAATAGCAAATAACGATTTGACCATTCTGAGCTCTTTTGTAAGCGTAGGCTGATCCAACAGCTTGTGGCATTTGTGTACCCAGTGGAGACGAAACTGTCACGTAATGCAAATCTTTGGACCCGTAGTGTACCGGCATCTGCTTGCCTTTGCCCAGATCGTCTTCATTCCCGTAACACTGATCCATGAACTGATCCAGAGTGAAGCCCCGCCACATCAACAAACCGGCTTCACGATACTGCACATAAGCCAGGTCGGCGTTGCTTAATGCGGCTGCACTTCCGATTAGAGTTCCCTCTTCCCCGAAATGCGTCATATAAAACGAGATGCGGCCTTGGCGCTGGGATTCGTACAGAATCTTATCCATATAACTTAACAAGGTCATTTGCTGGTACATTCTGATAACCGTAGCGTCATCAAGTTTGGGATCGTGAGCCGGGTCCGATATTGTACCGTTGCGGTTCATTATCCGATACACTGGGATGCCAGGATAGGATTCGGGCACCAGAAACTCCAGTTTGTCCGTCCACTCCGATCGCGATCCCGGGAAACGTGGCCGATCGTGAAGAATGCCGGCTTGCACATCTAATATCATATAAACAGGAAAACTGGATAATTATTATTTAAATAATTTAATTAATCAATGCAGCACTATGAGGAAGTAGGGTATAAACAAACCCTATTAAACGGCTGACAATATATAAATTAGGGCCAGCAACAGCCTTCACAATAATTCGGCAAAATTTTTCGTTCGGTATTTGGCATTCAAGAACATCCCAAAACATGGCAAAAATTACAAACCTAGACTGCTAGACAATAGTTGATAGTACTATATAAATATCGCATTACGTATGAGACGTACCAGTTTCTGGAGCAGCAGCTTCAGATTTGATTTGGCTGCTGTTTCTTGCTGCAAAACACATACTCGTTCCGTATTTCGAGAAAAGAGCGGATGAGGCCCGATGCGATGTTAACTGCAGACCTACAAACATAAGCGCCAGTTAGAGCATAAGCGACCAATCAACACCAACAACAACTACAAACAGCATTAATTTTGGAATTGCAAAGTAGCAGAAGCCTATTGAACTCTAGCTGAATGCTCACTTCCGGTTTTAATTTTTTTACACATTTACCAGTTTACTGTTATCGTGTGTACCACTGTACCTGGAGCAAACCGCGATACACACGAAGATAAGCCTCGGATAAATTGCGAATGCATTCTTTGTGATGCTTTAATCTCTTTTGCGGTCTGTCAAATTCTTTACTACAGACGATACGCTTCCACCGAAATTCAGCCAGGAAACAAATCATGCGGTCGTACTATCTCCGGACACGTAATTCGGGGAAGATGCGAGTCAGTCGGAACTCGGAAATTCGGAATCACCGAAGGTTCGCTGGAGCTCCTGCTTTCAAAGGCAAATCTCCATCACAACTGCAAAAGCATGTAATGTTAACGAAGTATTTGATGACATGAGTCGATATTCACCTGGAATCAACGGTAATGCAGTCTGGATCAATAAGTACAATAATGCAGAGGTCCGTATAAGATCCAAAGCGATCCAGATGGCAAGATGCCAGCCAGACTGTTAAGCACACGATCAGCTGTTCGCTATGTGTTTTATCACCAACTTATTTTCAGGTCCGTTCCTGGTGCGGTCGCGTTAATCGCAGATCACATACAGTAAAATTTTCTGCTAGGGGTGGATCATTAACGTCCGCCCTCGGCATTCAGCAGAAAGTGAGCAGTGGGAGCCCTCGGCTCGGCACGTACGACAGTAGTTTCTTACGATTACTTTTTGAGTTTGTAATTTGTTCTGTAAGTTTGGAAGGTATTTGAAAGTTTTGAACTCACCACGCTGGAACAAACTTTCAAGAAATTTCGTCTAAATATTCGTAAAAATGCTTTTGGTTAATTGTAGAAAGCTATTACTATCGGCAGGATCGATATGTGGACGATGCGTTACGTATGTTCGTGTTCACCTCAAATAGCTCCGTGGTTTTGCAATAAATGCTTATTTCCCATGTGTTTTAGGCGCTCATCTTCTTCATGGGAGTACAAAGGTGAAGAATATGATCCGAATAAAAAGATTATTCCTTTTATGCCTAAAATATCGCAACAATACGATCCCGAAGTTGACACGGCATCGAAGACTACAGTGACGCTGCTCAACAAAGATTTACACGGCGAAGGAATCTTGATGGTTGACTCCGTGAGTCCTATCGGATTTAAGCTAAATAATTCAATGCACGTTCTTGGTCCTATGGCACTGTTTTCCAAGACGGTGTTTCAGTGGAAGGTAATGAATACGTGATACGTCCGTCTTGTTGGTTGTAATTTTAAAGCGTACACGGCTTAATAATTGACTTTCGTGATTTTTCCGTAAGTGCTTTACGGTCTTTACCAGTAGGTCCAGTACATATGTGAGTACATATCTGTGCAGACGCAATCAGTAAAACTCTCTGCTTGACAGTACAGTACTTATCGTTATGACTTATGAGTGCTGTTACTATTGGATGATTATTCGCAGGTGGCCGATATAGATGATATTGCACCGGAAGCGTTCTCGTTGTTTTACATGTTGGAACCAAAACTAGGTATGTTAGCAAGCTCATAATAAAGTTGTCAGAATGAAACGAAATAGGAAACACTATAATACAATTCGGGAGCGCCATTAATACGTATTTATGATGACTTTATAATTTCGCCCAGTTATTTTTTCATGGGTTCGTTAGTGCGAAGTTTTCGTCATTAGTACGAAGTTTTCGTTTGAACGTTATCATTTTTAATTGTTTGTACGGGTGTTATTTTTTTCTTCGAGTCATTGCTTATGCTTGGAGACTGGAGAGCTAATACAGTGCATGCGCGGCACTGTTTCACCGAGCTGGTGGTTTTAAAAACTTCTTTGTTCCGCTCTTTAAGTTTTTTGGAAGCGGTAAACAAGTTAGAATATCGTATGTTACCAATCGATTTTTATTTAACCTGCGCTTCTTGCGCTGCAGATATCCTCGTAGTAGGCTACGGGGATAAAGATAGAGATGTGAATTCCGCACTTTTGAAAACCCTTGTCAGCCGGAAACGTATGGGAATCGAGCTCTTGCCGACAGTAAGTCTGCGTTTTCTTTTGTGCACAGTTACACGACGTACACCATGCATTTAGTGGAAGACACACGTCTATTTGATTTTCAGTCTTTTTGACTTTCGTTTTTCATGAATTTTAACCAATGGTTAAATCGGTATAGTTGAAGTAAATTTTGGAGTGCGTGTCTTTTTTTGGAATTGTTTTACCAAATATCAAGAGGCTGTTTGTTTATTGTTAGGAGCACGCCATAGCGACCTTCAACTTTCTGGTTGCTGAAGGCAGACATGTGGCCGGAGCGTTTATTCCACCGGAATCCTTGCAGTATTCGGAGGCAGATATGTACGAAAAATTTCAATTTCACAACATTGACCGCAGCGAGCCGGACCTCGATTTCTCTGATCCGATAACCAAACTTCGCAAGAAAATGAAGAAAAAGAAGAAATAAATTTTTCGTATCAAATCTTGTAATTCTCTATGGAGTTGCTGCATGACTGATGAAGAACTGATGTTGAAGTTTGTTGACTAATTTATTGCAGTTTGTGAATGAAAGAGTGTGTGCGTGTCAAAATTGTTAATCGTGCGGGTGCTGCTACTGCTGTATAGAAGTGACAGTTGGGGCTTTTCAGCGGGTTTAAGAATACCGCATATCGTTTTTTTTTAACCATTTTGCAGGGAGCGATGAGTTTGTGATAAAGTGTGAGTTTGTGATAAAGTGGTAGATACAAGTATAAATCGGATGTACAATATAAGAGTGTAGATATATTGAACCTTAAAAATGTACAGTACTTTCGCAATTCGTGGTGATACGATGATGTGGTCACGTGAACTGACCATATGTAAAGTGTTGTCTATCATACGTGGTCAGTTATCCAACGATGACGTCGGCATTGTTTGGTCATTCGCATCGTGGTAATTGTGCTTTCATTCGCCTGTTGACCAAATCCTTCAGACTTCGGAGACCTCGAGTTTCAATTAGGTTAAAATACAAAAGTGAGTAAATTACATAAGCAGAATTTTTATGACAGATAAGCGTCAATTAAAGCATGGTGGTATTAGTCTTCCTGTGAGTTTCTTTTTGCGGTTGCGGTAAACGCAAGCTACTGGAAGCAGGGTATACTTTTAAAAGAAATTCGGTTGGCTCGGTGTGTCCGACAATTGTGAGGAAAAAGCTTTGCGAGCAAAATGTCGGTCGGCTATGGTCAAGCTTTCGACAGTTTGGTAATGATCTGATCCTTTAATTGCGCTATCTGGAAAACCACCATGGGCGTGTTGCGGGCATTTTTGGCTTGGCTACTCAGTTGGATTCCTTGGCTGAATCGGAAAGCGGTAGAAGACCAAAGAAATGGTACACGCTGTACAGTAACACTCTCTTTTGACGACTTATTGTAATCTTTCTTTTCGATAGTTTAGTTGGGAGGTCCCGCAAACCCGTATCCGTAATTTGAGTTAGTGACTGGTAAATCTTTTTTACTGATTCATTGTAGTTCATCCTGCGCCAGTCCTGCTGCGAATTAGTGATCAGCCAACCGGAAAATCCCTTGTCCACCAGAATACGCCTACGGCCAACATAAACTACGCTGACGATGAGCCTAACACCGACGATACGGCAACTCTTCTCGCGTCCACCACGTCTGTTGGATTGACACGCTCCGCACAGAATTGTTCTCCCATGGACTTCACTCACGTCAGCAGGCCTCGTCCAGCGAAACTTCCTGCATTTCAGAAAACTGAGTTTGTGGAGAACTGGCTGCAGAATGATATTGCTAAACCGCCTAAACCGGAAGTCGGTGGTTCCAGCTTGAATAGTGCTCGCAAGAGTTCGCGTGCATCTAGTAAAGGTAAAATATTCAGTTCTGCACTTAACCGACGACCAGAACTGTGAAATTTTTGCATTTTAAATTCAGTAGAGAGAGCATTAGAGTCCAGTATAATAAGAAAGTGTATGAAGGCCTCACCGCTATTTAAAATTAAAGTGACTTGAAGAAGTAATGCAGTACGTGTGAAACATCAGCAATTGTGAGCGTATCAGTGATACTATAAAAAAAGTTTTGTTCTTTTATTTAGCTGTGCTTAGAATATTACGCGAGTATTGAAAAAATTCATTTACTACACTAATGAAGTCGCTTATATTTTGCTGCTTGCAATACGTATATAGCTGTTGCGTTTAATTTTAACAGAAGTTTATGCAGTAGTGTGCTTACTGCACACTGTTTTTGTAGACAGTCACGAATCTGGGAATCCAGTAGCCACCGATTATAAAAATGTGGAAGGATGCCCAGCAGATGAAATAGGGAAAAGTATAATACGCCAAGCGGCTGATGAAGCAGTCCAGCCATCTCCAACTGCAATCGTCACCTATCTGTACCGCGTGTCAGTGTATCCCAGTTTCAAGCTGCCGGTAGTCTATTGTATGGACCGCGGTTTCCCTCAGAAACATAGGTATTTTTTACGCAGGCGCTGCACGGTTGAAACGGGCAAGCCTAATATAACATATGGCAGACGTAGTCTGTCTATATATTATAGTATAGGATCAACGTGTAACTGAAAGGTTACTGAAAGGTCAGGATGATTCTGTCTGTTCTGAGCTTTTGCGTCTGTCTATCCTCTAACGGGGAAAAGATGGAAAGTAAAGGACACTAAAGGTTAGCCTCAATCCTGCCTGTTCAGTTGCCGATTTTCTGTCGGATTCCCATTCGACGAGATGCTGTACATGTATCGCAAAGCTGTCGGTATTCCAACAGCAATCACACAATCGTAGGGCAGCAGGCTTGCATTCGTATTGTAATACGATAGTATCAATGGATGACTCCCCTCATTCTCCATTCTATGTATCGGCGCTCAGAAAAAAATCATTGAACTAGAACACTTATGGTCGTTTCAGGACAAGAATGCAGTGTCCAGGCTGAGCAGAATATGAAATGAAAAGAATACAGGTCAAGAAAACGTACTGCTGTACATCAGAATAGTTCAGACATTCCCAAATTCTAGAAATTCCACGTTAGAACTGGACAACTCGTACGCAGAGTCGCAGATAACGCATTGTTCCGATTTGACTAGCGTCAATGAAATTCAAATTTTCAATACGCACACCGAAATTCTCTTGCGCGGCTGCAGTACGTATTTTGGTTTTTTTCGCATTTATTCTTAATTAATCCACGCGCCTGCGTATTTCGTTTCGTGCTGTTACTGGCATTACATTGGCGTTTCTTCTCAAAATCATCGTATATTACAACAAAACAAGGCCAGCGTGCTACCAGAAATGGCGAAATTCTGTTACCAATTACTTGGTAATCTGGTTCTTTCTTACATTACAACTTATTTTTATGCGTATTTACTTTATAAATACGGTGTCATGGTATTTACTATTTGTTATTTACAGGCTTGGTAATGGGGAAATTATGCCGCCAGGGCTTGAAATTGCCCTGCTTCATATGCGAGAAGGCGAATGGTCAAAGTTTCGTATCGCTTCAAAGCACGGATACGGTATGTACGGAAAGGTCAAGAGCACACAATGGAAGTGGGTCATCGGCGACCATTCACAGCATGTGGAAATGCAATAAGAGCATAAATACATGCACGGCTTAAAATACAAGCGAAAGATTAATTCCATAATTTCATTGCATGTTTGTAGGAAAATCCGGGAAAAGAGCCTTCGATGTATCGTCCACAACTGTCTTGTACGTGGAAGTGGAACTACTGAAAGTCCAGGAAACTGCTATGGCGGACAAGGTAGCCTCGGAGGAACCCTTCTTTTGGACAGAGACATTCTCGCAATCGGAATTAACCATCGCTCAACGACAGCTGTGGTCTTTGGGCAAAGTATCCTATGAAGAAAAAGAATATACACAGGCATACGAACGCTTTTCAAAGGTTGCGTTAAGTTCGTACATTGTAGGATTTCGCTTTTTTGAATGGATATTCATCCGTTAGGCGATTGAAATTGGAACGACATTGAAAGTTGGAGAAAAAAGATGAAGGGATTTTAAGCCAACGAAATTCTACTTTGGCTCATTTGTATAACAACCAGGCTCTTACATGCCTCATGTTATCTAAATGGGATGAAGCCATTCAGAATGCCAAGTCAGTTTTGCAGCTGAAAGCCGACTGGAAGACGTGTCATAAGGTGAGAACGACACTGTAGCCCGTAACAAGTAATTGTTGACAAGATATTGCACCGGACGTCGGCTCCTAAATGCTCATTAGCGTTGTTTTCCATACTTGTTTACCTATTTGACAAAACATTGCATTGTTGTTTGGCAGGCTGTGCACTCTATGGCGAAAGCATATTTCGAGAAAGGTGATTCAAACCGAGCAACGGATACCGCTCAACGGGGACTAACTTATTATCCTAATTCTCCAGACCTGAAAAAAATCATTGAAAAGTGTCAGCACGGCACCAAAGTAAGAAGAAAAGGGCAGGAAGTTTGGTAATCTTCAGAATATTGTCCCTTATAACACACAAATTGCTGTAGGAATTTGAAGAGAATCTTCGCCTGAGACTTTTGAATGAACACCGGGAATCGCGTAGCTTGCTTCACCAGGCGTAGTTATGCCCGTGGACCGGAAACAATTGACAGCAGATACATCTTATTGTGAAACTATAAAGTGCCAGTTTTCGGTACATTTTGTGTTTAAAGGTGATTTTCTAATCGGTAGCAAAAGGTTTATGGTTTGAATTTATTTTAATGAACGGGTCTATGTTTTCATAAGGCGATTTCTTCGTTTATATGTTTCGCGCAACCTTGGTTTCTGGTTTCTGGTTTCTGGTTTTGTTCCTCTTTAAAGTTGTAAATATACTTTTTTTTGCGTTTTTTAAGCCGTTTGTAGGATGTAACAGGTTTCACTGAATGCCGCGAATTTTTCAAATAAAGCACTGTGGTTTAGGTGTTTTTTTTTTAACTAATGACGGGAATTGCTTTGTGTCCTAACCGTTCGTTGTATTGTAGAGGTACTGCACCATATTTAGTAGTATTCACTACTCTATTTTTCGACAGTCCACCAAAGAGTATTTCGGCTACGGGTTCATAATGTTATGGTAACTGGCACATTTGTATGCCCATATGAATGTCGTATTTTGCTGAATTGTAAATTATTTTAGCTTTCGAAGCATCAGGTGCCGCGGATATCTATAAACACTCAGAAATGGAAGACGCTGATTCGACAGTCAAGTAAAAAACCTTTATTCTTTCCAGACTGGAAATATTGTTGTGGCCATTGAGACCATTCGTATTAAATAAGTAAAACTATACGGAACACCGATATCACGGTTTCTTTTGTCATAAATAAATAATAAGCAAATATGCGAGCATACTGGATAACGTGTTTTAGTAGCCGGCTTTACTTCAAGTAAACACACCATGTTCAGTATGCCGGTTATTATAGAATCAGTAGGTCCTGTTTATGTTGCTCTTGATCGTTTAAGAATGTGAAGAAAGAATACGTTATCGATTTGTGAGTCCAGCATCATAGCATGTATAGTCCCCGCCAGTAAGGCAGAATATTGATTATTTTCTGTATATGCTCAACTTCCGGTTCAGTCGATGCCATGATTAAACAGCCTCGCCAGCTGGCCCGTGTGTCGTTATCCGGGGCGCATTTGCGAGGGAGAATTTTATGGAATACATGGATGCGTGCCAGGATATGTACCAGCTATGTGTTTTTAAATTAGATGCGAATGTTGGCGTTGGAAATGTAAGTAACCTGATTTCTGTGACATTCGATCGGAAACAAAAAGGCACGCATCTCAAACCCGAAAATTTTGAAAACCGTTTAAGAATTTTATTTGAAAATTGGAACCGAGTCGCTTTTGCTACGAGTGGATCAGGTATGTGTAGTAAGTTAACAGTAATAACCTTTATAAACATAAATGAAAATTATACCAGTCGTTATATTAAGTTTGCAGATTAATGCATAGCAGAATTTAAGTTCTAAATTTCAGTATGCATGTAAGCATGTTCCTTGCAATCAGTTAGTAAGTTTCTTTTATTTGCGGTTTTGCTAATAGCGCTAACGCTGTGCCGTAATTTGCTTGTGCATTTTAAGTTTTCGTTTATCGAGACCTTTACTTCTACCGCGGGTCTACCTATAATGTTTGAAATTTGAAAAGCTGCGATTAATTTGCATACTCGTACAAGCGCAATTACCGTCATTCTTGCTGATAACATTAATTATTGTTAGATTTATTGCACATTATGATACATATGCCCGCCACTGCATAAAATGTTGTAAAATATTATATACCCGGCCCGTTTATATACTGTTATTTGTTTTTTCCAAAAGTCTTTTTGAATATGCAGAGTACAAAGTCGAGAGTCAAAGTTCAGACTGCAGAGTTGGCGAATGTTTCTGTAGTTTCTACTAAGTAGTACTTGCAACCTAACGCTTCTGCATCAGAAAGTCAGGCTATCGACATAGGCCTATCGTGACATTTTTTTATTTTAAATAGGGAATTATACGCTTACATATTTATAATTTAAGAATTAAAAAATACCGGTTACTGATTCCCGAGTGCTAAAAGTAGGAAAAGCCGCAAATGCGCTAAGCATGTTTTGTATACTTTATGTCTGTGACTCTCTGTGTAGAGCGGCAACGACACGAAATAATTATGTACATACATCGAGATTTGTGCAGCGGCATTTATAGAAGCACGTAATGCACAGTTGTCGCGGTTAGTTCGCATTGCTCGCACTCGTAATTGCCTATCGATTTTCTCTGCAATATCGTGATAAACCCGGCAAACACCTCGTTTTAACCAGTGCACAGCAGTATCCTCCTCTTTGACAAGGAATAATACTATCGGAATGGGATCGAAATTCGTAATTAGTAGCCTGCGTGAATCTGAAGCTCTTATTTCTCTTGTAATTTCGTTCACGCTAACCACATATTTGAGAGAGCTGCGAACCAGCTGTGCGCATTCAGGCAGTACAAGCACAGATCCCGAAAATATTTAGAATAAACATTATTTTTGAACAGCTCTTTCGATTCTCTCATTCTAAGATATGATTAAAAAGATTAAAATTGTAGCGGGAAGTCATCTATATTACAGTCTTTTGTTTCATAATGACAGTTACATGTATGATGTATGCGCGAATGATATTGTTGAGATTTTAGAACATAAGACGGAGGAACCAGGAAGACAATATAACAAAGGCATATTGAAATTAGACCCAGGGAAAATGTTTCTCTGTTGCAGCTGTTTGCTCGTGTTGGCGCTTCTTAATTCTTGTTACACTATTAAAAGTCTTCCATAGTTGTTTAAATCAGGCGATATACAAACAGCCATAAAACTCGGTATTGTGTTTTTATTTGCACAGGACGGATAGCGCTGGAAGGTGACGTTTTAAGTGTTTACGTATAAGTACGCCCTATCTATGCAGCGTTAGAAACCGCTCACAGGAATGGAGACAGCAACCGACCATAACAGCATTTCTGATGTGGAAATGGATCTGAATGATTTAATAAAAGCCCCTCTTCCGTTATGCCAGGAACATAACGAGCCATGTGTTTATTACGATTGTGGCGGAATGACCGCGAATACTTTAATATGCACAAAATGTCGAACACATGGAAAATGTTCGGGCGATATAAAAACCATTACGGAGATAGTACAAGATACAAAGAATGCCATTCTTGGTCTGCTACAAACAGCAAAAAGCCAATTAAACCAAGACGATGGTCCAGTGCTAACGTCGCCCGATTATTTTCTGCCGCCTTCGCAAAAAGCGCTCAGCCGCAGTTTAAACACCGACACCGGTTCGCGTACGGTCTCCCAACGCCAGAAACACATTACGATCCACGCGGCCGAATGCCGGCGGAACCGGTTGCGCTCCCTGTGCAGTGAAATTAACAAGCAGTTGGAAGAGAATTCCATTGCATCCATATTGACCATTAGGTCGAAGCTGATTCCTGAGTTATACCGAATGTTTCATGAATTCAGTCATCCCGTTGCCAAAGTGGAAAAAATGGCTGCGCCAAATCGCACTTTTTTCCGCCGATCCGCATCCAACCGGCTGACGTCAGGGACCGCTGCGAATTCATTTGGGTCCAATGAGCGCAAGGGATTTATTTGCGCCATTACCAACGGCATGTCGAAGGATGGGCTTATTAACGCGCTGCCCGGAAAAGAGGTGAAACTGCGTATGTTCCTCTGGAATCGCGATGTGCGTGGCCAGCCGCTGCAGGCCGATAATCTCACTGTTACGCTATCAGCGCCCAAGGAGTCCCCCGAGGACAGCGTCCATCATGAGGTCAAGCGCAAGCAGCTGCGGAGTGATTCATTTGAAATCACATTCACTCTGCACAAAGAGGGCTGGTACAATCTCCATGTGCAGTTGTCAGGCCATCCGGTCAGCAACAGTCCTTTCTATGTGTCCGTCAAGAGTCCGGTGATACACGAGGAGGCCGTACGTGAGTCACTCTTCTCGGCGTGTTCGGCGCTGACTGCGCGGATGAACGGCCGATCGCCGTCACAGAAATCGACAGGATCAGATGGACGACGCAATTCTAAGCTGTCGGAGCTGGATGAAGACAGCTTGGCTACTGGGAGTGTCGGCTCTTTTGGCAGGGAACCGGGACACTTTTTGAATCCACAAGGAGTGTGTGTAACGGATGAAGGGATTATTGCGGTCACCGACAGCAACATTGGATGCATCCAGGTGAGGCAAAAAGAACATTGCAGCACTTACGTACAGATGGTAAAGTACAGTATTATGTAATACCGATTATGACCTACTGGCAAAGTAATCCTACTCTACAAACATGTTTCTTTAAGATATGTTTAATAAGTAATGAAAATCTTAAAACGTTCGTATCAGTCAACACTATTTTGCTGCATTTTCATTTCTTAATAGTTAACAAATTATGACCTTTTGTACTTGATAGCTCTTTGGTCCCAATGGAGAGCACCTCAAGAGATTCGGCGATCGTGGTCGCCGTCCTGGTCAGATCTTTCGTCCGACCGGCATCGCATTTGTTCCGGCTCGTTTAAGCAAATCCACTTCTCCCTGTTTCGTGGTGGCCGATTATGAAAATCGCAGCGTATTAGTATATGGTACGGATGGACAGTTCCTATCCAGTTTCGGATCAGCCAAATTGACTGGTCCCAAAGGAATTGCTGTAGCCTTGAATGGAGATATATTGGTCGTGGATAATCGCTCAAATAGTGTCCTCGTGTTTCGCAACGAAAAGCTGTTCAAGAAAATCTGGTCGCCTTCGTCCACAGCTGCTCACTTGGCTGGTCCACACTATATTACGGTAAGTGGAAAATCGAGGAAGTGAAATACTGAAAAATGTGACGGTAAAATTATATTCTTATTAAGGTTTCGGCGGAGTGTGGCGATATCTTCATTTCCGACTTCCATCATCATACCGTTAAGGCAGGAAATTTGCGTTTTGTAGATAAGCAGCTGGGACGTAATTAACACATCTTTCTGTTAGGTCTTCGATGCGAATTACAACTACCGGTTCAACTTTGGGTCTTTCAGCGCTGAGGGAGGAATGGGCTCGTTCAGTGGACCAACTGGTGTGCCGCTCGCACTGCGCTTTGTCTCACTACTTTTTTATAACACTTTTTCCTTTACACATTAGGTATTGCGGTGGATCATCGTGGAATTGTCGTTGCTGATTGGGGAGGCGGGAGAGTTCAAGTAAGTCGCCTTCTGTAATGGAGTGTTCATCCTGCATTTATTGGAATTCTGAATCTTTTTTTCGATGCTTTGGAAATGTAATTTTAACTGTCTCCACATATTTTTACAATGACGTTATTTATCAAATGGTTTTGTATTCAAGGTATTTGACAGTCAAGGCAGTTTTTCTGCATACGTCACGGCGCTTTCCAAACCGCTATATGGACCGCAGGGGCTTACAATTGGGCCGGATGGACAAATTTACATTTGTGATTCCGGTACGAGTATTTGTTGACAGTGCTAACTTTCATTTTGTCTAATTACGAAATTCGATAGGTAACCATACGGTTCGAATTTATCGTCATCCCCTCGCTCAACTTTGACGCAATATTCCAGTCTCGTCGTTCCCGGATTTGATAAACCTCGGTGAATGGATGATAATTTGTTGAATCGACATAATTATATATCGTTAATATTTGTTAATTTGTCGCATAATACAAACGACTGTATTTATTGAATTGTTTTTCGAAACGTTGTCCCCCCCACTCTACTGCATTTCGCAAAATTTTATGCAGTCTTTGTTTTAATTTAATTTTATGTATCGAGAACTTTACTTCGATTTTTGTGCAGATTACTTAATAAACGCAGAACCCAATAAAAATAAAATAACAAGTAGAAAGGGAAACAGAATTTACAGTAAAACGCACAGAGGAATATCATCCACATTAAATATGAAATACAAAGCTTGGAAGGCAAGATTTATAAAGCAACAGTATATCTAAGTATTAGTCTGGACTTTCTATCGATATAAACTGAACTGTAGGTAAACGAGTTTGAGCAAATTTGGCGAATTTTGCAGTATCAGCGTAGCGCAATTCCCATGAATCGCGCAATGCGACGGTCTCTTCGGTAGGATTCTCTACTCGGACCGATGGCGCAATTTTGATGTTGCCGTATTCCCGCAAACAAGGGCAAGCGGCAAGCAACGAATGGCAAAAGCCTTTGCGAAGACCAAAAAACCCTAGAAAGATCTCACTTTATTTTTTAATTGTGGCTGTGTACACATAGTGATAGTCACTTACATTTGTTTCCGCCACGTGTACCACACGCCATGAACATCAACATCAAAAGTGTACATAGCAAAGGAACTGAAAAAGAGCACCGCGAATATGAAAAGAATTAATCGATTAGCAAACAGAATTCTTACCCGAGCAGAAAAGGAAACTCATGTCGGCATGACTATCCAGTTTGTACACCAACAGAATCTACGCGAATAACAGCATTACTCAACGGATGTTCAGCAAATTAACCAGCAAATATAATCGAAGGAGAAAACTGAAACTGAACACTGACCTCAGTTATAAGCATGGGAAGCACCACAATACTTGAGCTGATTGCAGCCCGTACGGCTGTCATTCGCTGTTCCGCGTGAAGGTCGGCGGAGCGCACAACCAGGCAGGCAAATATTACAGAATACGACATGCCCACCATAATAGCGGCGGTCAGCACCCATAGCGGGATAAACACGATCTGGAAGCCACAAGAACAAGGGATGTATTTCAATACAGTACTGCGCACAAAAACCAGTGTTACAACATAACTTTTTCGGGTAATACAATGTAGAAATAAGCGAAGCATAACAAAATACCGAGCACTAGCAAACCCCGGTACTTAAAAATATAATCTGCGGGAGCTATTAATCGTTATAAAAAAATGCATTACCACCAGATTATTACCATCTGCCATAATATTTTGCCTTGAAATTTCATAACGGTACTTCATTTACCTGTTCACATTTTCTACAGAAAAGGTCTCCCAAAACGTACACAAATCACCAAAATTCTACGACAGGAAAACTCATTTTAACTCTTACCACCCAGCTCCACGTAACGATTTCGTCAAGTCGCAGGGCCAGAAAGACAAATTGGACAATATTGACCGCACAAAACATTTCCAACTGGAAAAAAAGATTCCGAATGAAAACTCGACAGATAAACTGTTGGAGCAGGTTTAGTTTCTCATTTTACCGCAGCTGTTAAAAAGCTAATACAACACGTTCAAAAATTTACTCAAAATTCAGTTCTAGTTTGCCTCAACTCCAAAAACTTACTACTTCCACGCTATAAGTACCGAGTAATACTGAAAAACACCTATACGCTGACCATACGCTGATAATTAATACCCAAATTAACATTACCAATGGAAATAATTCAAGGTTCCAAAAACGCCTTACGGTATATTAGTTACATTATACCTCAAACGGGCGCTCCCTTTTCAGACTCCAAACACACACGAAGAAGGACAGCAGAGATACGAAGGTAAGTGGAAGGAAAACGAGGATCCATCGGTGAGAAGGTTGCGCAAGTTGTTCACACGCCAACAATTCAAACAAAAACAGGAAACAATGCACTGCAACGCTTAACCACATGGCGCGAAACTGAATGATGCTGTCCACATCCATTCTGCAAGAGAAAAATAGTCGACGTCAATTATTCAAACAAACTAGAGCAGGGAAAAACTAGCTAAAAAGGCTTTTCCTTCTTATAACTTTTTGCAACCCCAGTTTACGTTTAAAAAATATGGCTTAATGATAAATAATAAAACGCCTCTCCCGAAACAATATAAAATATCCCGAAACAATATAAGGAAAATGAAGTCGTTTACGTACCTTGATTGTGGGTTTTTGAGCCATACAGCACTGCCAATAACCGCGCCCAGAAAAACTAAAAATTTCCACATCCATAATGGAATGAACACGATCCACCAGTTCCAGTCAACTGTTTCGTCCAAACGAATGGCGAAGAGGAAGACAAAGACAAACAGGGAGAAATGCACCACGAATTTACTGCAAAATTCAATACGGTTGGTTGGGCACAGGAAAAGTGTACGGCAAGGCTAGATTGCTGACGAATTACGACGTACCTGTGGTTAAAATCCTGAAACAATCGCTGAAGTTCCATGGTGCGCTGATAGAAGAAACCAAGGCATCGTCTAGCTAGTGCCCAGCTCTTCCGTGGCGCCCGTCAAAAATTAATTAGACATTTTCTATGGTCTTCTTAAACAAGGGAGCCAGGAGACATAAAGCAGTTCATTTAGTCAATCTGTGCAGGATTTGCGCAGGTCCAGTTCGCACGCTTGCAACAAACCTTTTACACAATAAATCAATTACTCAATGACTGACATGCAAATCACAGATGCACTTGGACAGCATAAGTCATGATAAGTGCCAGTCATTAAGAGACACTGACAGCCTCGCTAGCACAGATTGTGCTAATTTAATTTATCCCTTCATGTTGTAAACGATAAACACATGATTCCTTAATCAAACACTGAATTGCATACGGCTTGCAGCCACTTTACAGAGATAAATATAAGTAACAGAGACAGATTTCACTGGTCACTACAGAATCCTGTCCACGGAGAATAAGACTGTTCACATAAAAATGAAATTTCGAAGAACCACAATAGAAACTAAAGAAATACTAGTAACTAGTAGCTAAGTTAAAGTAGTAGAAAAATCAACACAATCAAATGTGGGCTGCAGAAATGATCAGAATCGGTTTGTGTTTGGGAGAGTAAACAGTCGTTGCATAGTGGAAACTAGCATTGTAATAAACTACGATACGATAACGGTTACAAAAAAGATTTGGGATCGGGAAACAAGATCCAGTGGGAACATGCATCCACAACTTTTTTCTTTAAGAAATTATGTACTGACTGGACAAGTGCATCCTGCCAAAGGAATGCACCAAGATGATCGACATCACCAAACCCAAACCCACACAACTTCTGACGTCATCGCGGATGTGGATGGAGCGCCCGTACCGGAGCGTGCAGTTGCGGGCTGACAGAGTAAAATCATAATAAATTATACTTATTAAAAAAGTATTTGATTTTTTAATTTTATTGGCATTTTTAGCTTACTGTAATAGAGTAGCGAGTAGCGATCCTTTGGTGGTTGAAGTTGTTTCTCAAGTTTTTTTCGCTCTTCGGATCAGGTGCTTTTACATTTTACATGCCCTGACTGTGCCATTTTACATGCCATTTTACATGCCATTTTACAGGGCCTGACACAACGAAAATTGTGTTGAACACCGTACGGCTAGCTACACTTCTAGCTTGCTTGTGATTTGCGGACTCATTTGCCTGCATATATTGTACATATCTGCATACAGCACGGATACGTTCATATGTTGTGGAATCATAGATCAGGATCGAAGACTGAGCTTGAAATTTAGATACTCCTATTGTCATGCGCCGTCGGGATTGTTGATGGGATTCCAAGTGCTGCAGCGGGCGGAAGACTGACCTGCACTGAGAAAGCTTTGCAGTTTCTTCGCAGTCCATTCCATGGATCGTCAGCAAATTCTTAAGAATGCAGCCTTTGTCGGGTTGCCTAGTCCCGTGTAAGTGGCATTACTGCGGAGAAGTTTGCTGTGCTTAGGAAAGATTTCTAACGATACAACTGTTTTCTAAGCCAACTCGTTTTGTGAGCTTTCGGTGATATGCTGTGCTTTGTTTTGTAGCTCCAGCACGCATCATCAGATTCCTCAACAGAGCGCGCGTGGTCGAGTGCGCTTCACTCCTGCTTCATGGGATAAATATTTTGACACGAAACGCATCGTCAATGTGAAGGAGAACATATCCTTTTTCTCCGCACAAACGGTTTCAAAATTTTTTAATATAGTTACGGTGCTCCTTGACTGCTCTGCACGCTTTCAGCATATTTGAGAAGGGTTCCCTCGGTCCAGTTCTGTACTTGATTCATGGAGGTGGCTTTTCCGCATTATCCTGGGCACTCGTCTCGGTATGGAGAAAAGATTTTAATTTAGCTTTCCTTAACCGTTTTTGTAAGAAATTCCCTTTTTGAATGCTTTTATGAATATTGCGCTCAATGTCCTTGTTTACTGTCTTGTTTTAATTACCATTACTGGGCTAGACAGAAAATCTGTTTTAGAAAGCGATTACGGAGCTCGTGGCTTGCCGCTGTGTTGCCGTGGATTTGCGTGGACATGGTGCGGATAACGTTGAAAATGCTGTTGTTAACAGTTAAATTTTCCGATGTTTTATAGGCGACACGATCACATCAGATGATTCAGACCTTTCCGCAGAGACGTTGAGCAAGTTAGTTCTTTATCCCTTAAGCTGCAGTTGTGTTTGCGAGAATCAAGCGTTCTACTCCTATTTTTGCAGTGACATTGCAGATGTTATTCGCACGATTTTCCCAAACGAACAGGATAGTCCGCCGATCGTTTTAATTGGTCATAGTCTTGGTGGGGCAGTCTGCGTGCACGCTGCTAGCCGTAATTTGATTCCCAAGCTAGTTGGCCTTGTTGTGATAGACGTAGTCGAAGGTACGTAATTCTACAGACGCATTATTCATTAGTACCGTTTCCGACTTCAATTCGGAAACGGTACTAATACGTTCTATCTCTTCTTTCATTAAGTATTTCTTTTTTGTGGAATAGTTATATGTTTCTGGTTTGATATTCTGAAATGTTAGGAAACGGAAATGATGTTATGATTTTTTTCTTTGTTAACTGACACTTTGTTTTAATTTTTCCAGTATGAATCGCTCATAAATATAACTAGTGTTTCTGTTTGTGATTCTTTAAAAATAATTTTGATTTGGGATAATATCACATTCATTAGCTAAACCTCAGATATATCATATAAGTACTAGTACTCAATCTCTAACTGCAGTATTTATTAACTGATTTGTAGGTACTGCGCTCGAATCGCTGGCTTGCATGGAGTCAATCGTTCGTGGACGGCCAAAATGTTTCCCATCTATTGAAAATGCCATCGAGTGGGCCTTCCGGTCCGGTCACATCAAGAATCCCGAATCGGCTTGTGTTTCTATGATAGGACAGCTGATGCCGTACGCATTACGTTGCTACGACGGTTAATTAATTGTTGCTACATTGCATTTGCATGATATTGTAGTATGGATTCGAGCTCCGTTGGGGATAGTACGGATGTTTGCCAGGCTGTTAGTGCTTGTGACACAATAATGGAAGATGGTGCTCCTCCTGAGACCGACACTCCTAAAGAATCCACAAAGACACTCATCTGGCGGATAGACTTGCTGAAAACGCAACCTTTTTGGCTCGGTACAACTTCACGGTGTTCTACTTTTAGTTATTAATGATTTATTATTATTGCAGTTTCTTTGATTTGCTACAATTTCTACAGGGTGGTTCACTGGATTATCGAAAATGTACTTGGAATGTCCGACTCCAAAACTGTTGTTACTCGCAGGTAGACTGACATAAATTTGTGATGCAGTTGCTCTGCTGGATTAAGAATGTGCTTGTATCATACGTATGGTTAGTTGGAAAAGTAGAAATACATACAATCCGTTAATTAATACTGATTGTACAACAACTACTGTACAAGCTACTATTAATTTGGGTGCGAAATTCCGATGATTTGACTGACTTGTTTGGCGGAAATCAGCTGTGAAAGCGAGTGACACCTCTTTGTTTGATTACCAGGTATGGATCGATTGGATAAGGATTTGACCATTGGCCAAATGCAAGGTACATAAGCGTGTAAATTTAAATGCATTCGTATTTGATCGAATGATCCGGCTTATCAGTGGAACGTCGTAGATCGCAGTTTATTGAAAGTTTATGATTTCTGCTGGGCATTTCTTTATAACCTTGTATACTTGAAGTACTGTCATTTCGATAGCATGTTATTGAAACTTTCAGGGAAATTCCAGATGGTTGTTCTTCCTAAATCTGGTCATGCAGTGCAAGAAGATCAGCCCGTGAAGGTTGCCGAAGCTCTAGCCACGTTTCTTGTACGGAACAAAATCGTGGAAGCTGCGTCGGAATTTCAACGGTAATTTTTCTTTATTTGCATCTGGTTTTCTGTATTACGGTTGAACGATGTTTTCAGAACGTTTCCGTGCTGTTAACTATGAATAGTGGATCTGTGATAAACTCCGAAAGACAGAACAGCGGATCGGTTAGCGCAGAAAGACTAGAAAAAAGCACAAGCTGGGACGAAAGAGGACAGTCACTAATTGTTAACCACCTTCCTTTACAGTTTATATCTACGTTTCCGCTTTGCCGAAAGTTCCAGCGGGTGCTCGGTAATCAGGAGGAAAGTGTTCCATCTGATCATCTGTAAATGCATACTTTGGATAGCCAATATTCTGTATGGTATTTTCCCGTCTAGTCCCGTTTCTATAACAAATGAGAAATTTAAGTTTTTAATTTAGTGGAAATTCCTGTCGAGTTCTTGCTCACTTTCTCATTTCCTCCAGGAGTTCAGTTTGAGAATCCGGAGTGAGCGATGCGTACTGAGTGACCACCGTTAGCTCTTCCAGTGTAACGGCCATAGCTGTTCTATCTTTTGCGCTTTTACACATTGTAAATCGGATGCCACCTAAATGGCGTACAAGTTTTTCTGCACTTTGCAATAAAGTCGTATTTTTCGGAGCTTCTGATCGCACAGCTGTTGTAAACTGGCTGATTTCCGGTTCCGTTAATTCTAAAAAGAACTATTATAATAAGCGTGAACCATAGCATACTACTGTACATGTAAGACAGAGCGCAGCGATCTGGTTAACAACTATAATTCATCAGTTAAATGCAAAAACGGAGAACGTGCAAGAAAATGTAGGTTGCTGGTTATTACGATTTACTAGTATCACAAAGTGCTTCACTTATTGTAAGTTCTAACTTCTAACTGATTTTATTCAACACGGGGTAATAATAATAGCACTGCCATGGAAGTGCAATTTACCTGCGCGGGAGTAAGTTGCAATGTAGTCCAACAACTTTTGAGAATAAAATCGATTGTTGAGTTTTTGAAGGCCAATCGCACATTCCATGCTGAAAAGTGCAAAAAGAAAGTTTTTTCTGCAAAAAAATTAGCACAAATATGTGTAGGGTTGAACACTTGAACACAACACCAACTTTTCTGCTATCGTTGCTTTTTCGTTGATTCCTACGTTGAGAAAAACTGGGTACGGCCGTACAACTATGGTGTTTTCAGAAACCGGTTTCCTTAATCTGCTTTGAGGAAGAGATGGCAACATGATTCTGGAGTACACGAAGTCCAGGTTATCGTTCTTCCTTCAGACGAAAAACATTACCGCTGTCAGTCACACATGAAACAATAGAACAAGTTCAGCAAAACAATAAAATCATCAAAATTATTAATTAATTAAAATTTAATAATCAACAAATGCTCCCTCCATAGATATCATAGAGGTACTGTAAATGCAAGCGAAGCACGGCATTCGACCAGAGTAAGTACGCAAAACGGTACAGCATAGGTGATGCTATTCCTTTTACCTTTCATTCAGCATTTGTATTTGGTCCAATCTCAAGATCCCTTCCGAACTGGATATCGGAATCACGAACTCCGTTTTGCTAAGCAATACGATTGCGCCGATAACGTCTTCCACCATGATTTTTTCATCGTCCCAACAAGACAACAACGATTCAAAGTACAACAGAATGTTCCATACACCGCCAGAAAATCCGAATTCTCGTGAAAAATCTAGGTGATTCACGCATATCTTGGACAAGATGCCCGACACAACAGCGGTTAACTGCAATAATCACGGTTTTTTTACTGCGTTGAGAAAATGCTGTCCGCTACAAGTTTGATGCAATCGCTTCAAAAATTCAAAATAAAAAATGATTTGTGCTTTTACTATTTGTACACGAGCTTACCAACTGGGAATATACACAGTGTTCCCGAAGAACTAACTGTAATGCATGAGTAATGTCCAGATCAATGTACGCAGATACCACGACGTCTCCCAATGTGCGATATAAACCGGCTACTGTCAAAGAAGGACAATGAAGCATTTCCCAGCCACCCAAGTCATCAGGAACTGTCTGAGACCCTAATTCAATCCAAAAATGACGCAGACGCTCAATTTCCCAGGCCAAGTAATTCATCTGAAAAGTGATCTTTGTAAATTTAAGAAATACAGAGCAAACTTTCTTGAGGCGGAAGCAATGTCGTCGGTGTAAACAAATTAAGCACTAACATTAACTGCGCATTACAGCAAACACATTAACGCTTTCCGAAACAAACTCACGTCGGCTGGTTCTTCCGATTGCGACATCATATGAGAACATCTAATCCGATGAGCCAGACGAATCGCGGTTCGTAGAAGAGATAATGCTGGCGGGTAATTCAAACAGGCTGGGTCACAATGTAGACTACGATCCTCTGGAACAGCTTCACTATTTGATGCACAACAAGACCCAGACTGCATCGGGGTAAAACGTGACCACAAGGCGCACAGCCCATGCAGATCGTGCATAAGAAACTGAACCGTAAACGCTCCAACTGTGACAACATCGTGGCGGGCCAAACAAATCTCTTTTCTTTCTGTGAAAAACAAAACAAAAAGTTTGGATTTAATTCGCCAAGGGAGTTCAGCCCATCATTACTAAAGTACTAACAACAATATCACACAAAGCGGAAAGAAGAAAAGGAAAATGAAAAATTTAGCGTAAAAGCAACCAAAACATAATACGCATAAAAAGCGAAAGCAAACACATTACCCTCACTTGTCTGGGAGGATTGAGAGACCATAAACGACTGTAAATGCAAATTAGTTGGGATAAATGCCAGTTCGGTTTTTGACTTATCGATACTCCGTTTAAATGCTGCCGAAGGCAATGTTGGATCTTCTACAACAACGAAAATCACATGATAATTTAAATTGTCCGAGCGAGACACAACACCAAATTTTCATAAATTCTGTAACACACTGACCGCCACCACCACGCACAGTTAGAATCACTGAGTTTCTGTCTTACTCATAGTTTCCAGGTTCTGCTTGAGTACTTGCAGGCAATTTGCAACAGCAACACGGAACACGCTTTTCAGTTTTTCGGAAGCGTGGTCACACGTATCCCATTCCTGCGAAGCCACGCATAATGTGCATAAATGTATTGACAACTTGTTGCTGGGAATTATGGTACTACTCTAGCTGCCCAAGCATTTGCACTTTCAATACACATAGCGACAGAACAACCACAGAAATGGTAGAAATCTTACCAAAACACACTCCAAAAATGCTTCCATTTCCGAAATATGCGATTCCCTGGTGAAAATGTAACATATCTTCACGAAAGGGTTTACTGAATCTAGTTAAGTATTTTAGAACGCTGTAGTAATGTAGCGTATATGATGTTTCCCAAAGTTGTATGTACCTTACCTTACAGTACATATCCGTTATTAAATTACGAACGGCAAAACAGATCTAAGTCATTTCGGCACTTACAAAAGAATTCTGGGAATGATGTGATTTGCACTATAATCCGCTAGAACTTCGTGAAGGATAATATCGACTTCGGAATCGTTCGTCTTCGTTGAAGCGTTGTCCATGCAAGGTGAGCATAACTGCGAGTACTGCCGTACAACGGGATGCTGATGAACGGCATGCCAGGCAGGATAATCCAGATCCTTCGGTAAAGAACATTCCTTTAAGACCTTCCAAAATCGGTTTGGCATATTAATCACGGGTGGTAGAAGTCAGAAAACGGAAAATCAGAAATCTTGTAAATCTTTTGCTGCAGAAAACCAGCAGCTGATTTGAATAGTGCTAATTTTGAGGTGATCACCAGTGAAGAGGGTTTGAAGACTGGAGACTGCGGAGAGTGCAGTTGTATAAACTATAAACTAAACTGCCTCCCCGTCCCGGGTACCGGTGACGACATCTCGTCTGTTGGTTTTGTTTGCGTTTTTAAAAAAAATCTTTTGTGCGATACCGGATACGACTTGTCTTTCTATTCTGTACAATCATTACGGTCTTTTTCAATCTTTTTCAATGTAAGAGTCGTTAAAGACGGTTTGAAGCACAAATGGTATTACTATTGAGGTTTGTAGGTACTTACGTATTTGTCGATTATACTGGCTCTTCTTACTGAAAGCGAATGTCTACAACACACAAGTTACAAGTGAATTCGAATATCCGGTTGAATATGCGCTCGACCATTCCCAGTCGAAAGCTTCTTTGGAGAACTCTTGGTTCTGCTGCCTGATCCGAAATTATTAATTCCGCTCAGCTACCCTTGCCGAAATGCGTGTACCGTTCCTGAACAACCCGACAGCTGTTGCGGAATATGTCCGCGATTCCCATGATGCGACGAAGCAAACTGAAATCTGCCTTATGCGTCATAGTCTGTTTCTCCGTCCTATCTGCGATATGGTATTTCGCGTTTGGGATAACCAAAAACTGCTCTGAAAACGCACCGGTTAACGACGGTGTTAATGTGGAGGAGAAGTCGCAGAAATCAGACAGCAGAAAGTCTGCTCTAAACATTGGCGTGATATCGAGCAGAAGCCAGTTCCTGTTACAGGTTGACGGCAAAGAGATCATCAACGATGAGGAGCCAAAGCGGAGTCGTGGAATGCATGTCGCGATTCTCGACAAAACGACTGGACAGTGCACGGCATACAGAGTATTTGACACGTACCTCCCGGGAATTTCCGACACCATGTTGCTGCCTTTTCTGCTGAGTATTCCGGAAGGCCGAATAGTCGTTGTCGGGGTGAAAGATGAAGGGTACGAAAAATTGTCTAATTCTGCATCCGTGCAGATGTGTTAAGTTAAGAACTCGTGTACATCTTTAACGGTTTTAACGATGAATATCATCGTTGGTATCTGGACGAAGGTGTGTTGTAACGTTGTGTTTTTGCTATGATTTCAGCTGCACTATGCTGTACTGGGAACAGCCGTACAGTACATGCAGTAATTAATTTTTATAATGAATGTGTACCGTACACGCACCTGACCTGAGTAAATCGTAAGCAGCTAGCGGTTGACACATTTGCAGGTTTTTTTTATAATTGGCTACTTAATCGTTGAATTCAATAAATTTCTCGCAGATACCATATGGTAGCCCTAGACACTACTTAGTAAACAGGAGTGATTGAATTCAGTGTTTTAAGCACTTATGCAAACTAGACGCTTCTGCTTAATGCTTCTATTGCACTTCAGCTCTTTCCACTTTGGGAATGCAGCACGAAAACTATTCGCGGCGTGGGGTTCAAGTTACGCGGGAAATCTGCAGTGGCGCGACATGTGGATTTTTATTGCTGTCAAAGTACTGCATGGTTTCATCCGCCTGGGAGAATCCTTTACGAAGGCACCATCGTTCTCCACGTGGGCATTGCCGGTTACGCTAGACTACGTTATGGAGTTGGATCCGATAATAGTACGCTGGAATTGTTCCGGTAGATCCGTTAAAAGGTTACGAGAATTTTGCGAGCACACTGATGGATATCCGGAAATTTGCCACTGTGATAATCCGGAGCCGGTAACATTCTTCCCCAGCCCGCTTCCGGAGAGAGCATTTGTTGAAAAAGGGCGGTCGATGATTCCCGTAGGAATTATTGCTGGTAATCGTCCGTTTTATCTGAACACCATGCTTCGGACGCTACTGAGTACTGCGGGTGTTGATCCGCGGCTGATAACGATTTTTATCGATGGTTTATGGGATGAGCCAGCCAGAGTGGCTCGTTTGTATGGGCTTTCTGCCGTGCAGCATATCCCTGGTGGTCACGGTAATGCTCGTATCTCGCAGCATTATAAATCCAGTTTGACCACAATGTTTGCCCGGCACCCGCTGGCAGAATATGCTATTGTTCTGGAGGAAGACTTGGAAGTTAGCCCAGATTTCTTTCATTTTGTCGTCCAGACTGTACCGTTGTTAAGGGAAGATGCGAGCTTGTACTGTATTTCAGCATGGAATGATCTGGGTTACGAGCACTCAGTAGGTGATCCGCAGTTGTTGTACCGAGTGGAAACTATGCCTGGTTTGGGTTGGGTTATACCGCGCAAGTTATTCGTGGATGAATTACAGCTGAATTGGCCTTCACCGAATTTTAATTGGGACTGGGACATGTGGATGCGGTCTCCTGCTATCAGAAAAGGACGAGAGTGTATCGTCCCAGGTAAGATGCGGGTGTTCACACCCTGTGAGCGCAGTGTTATGTGGATAACACCTGCTTATTGTTAGTTGGAGTTGGATCCGTTTAGATTCTCAGGTTAAGTTATAAATAATATTTGCAGTCATTTCAAGCGTTAAGAAATACGCAGAACAAACCTCTTAGTGGCGCATTTATTTGTGCATCATGATGGGCTGAATGCTACAATAAAATTGTTTCTGAATTGCACACTGGTTTCTTTCTGAAAAATTTCCTAACTAATACTGCTTAATAAATTTTTAGTCATTGTTACAATGTGCTCAAATGATTGTATCCGGATCTGTATGATTGCAGATATATCTCGAACCTACCATTTTGGAGCAAGCGGCTTGAACATGAATCCCATCTTTCAGACCATTTATTTCGAGCGACATGCCGTATACAAGGGGCCTCTCAAGGATTTACATCTGACGGATTTAACCGAAAACGGTTATGAACGGAAGCTTCGTGATCTCTTATCCGTTGCAGTTCCTGTCAATCATTCGGTTTCGCCCTGTCGACCGGACTTTTTTCCTGCTGTTTCTGATAAAACTTTATCGGTTTTTATTCGAATGGATAACTCTTCCGATTTTAAGACCTGGTTAGAATTTTGCCGGTGTTTGAAGATTTGGGATCTGGACCAGCGTGGAAGTCATAAAGGATTGTGGAGGTTTTTTTCTCGGCCAGGGCAAGCAGTAGTTGTGATCGGTGTTCCTAGTTCTCCATATTCGAAGTTCCTGCCCAAGGGAGTGCAAGTAATTGATCTCGTTAGTGCAGTGGAAAGATTAAGTTCCTATACACAAGTTCCTAACTGACAAAGAGTTCCTAGACGGTGTAACTTCGGATGCAGGCAGCTTTCGATTCTTCTTTTATTCCAGTTTTACCGCACATTTTGTAACCTGGAATATTGCTATGCTTGAACAATTGCAGAACACTCAGTTTTGTAAGTCTTTGTTATTTCCACTTCAGTTAAACTAAGATATGTACAAGTTTGTTGGGATATACTGTAACTCTTGTAAGTGTCAGACGCTTTTAAATTGAAGGCAATTTGTCTTCCACAGTCTGTATTCAATGGCATAAAACACCATCGCATCGTTATATGATGCAGAGCTGCAATTAGGTCGTGAGAGATTCAGACAACAACGTACTATTGTAAAAAAGTAGTTTCCTGTTCAGGTTTGATTTCCACTTGCAGTGTTTATCACAGGATACCGATTCGCAAAAGTTAGTCTTCAGCTTCTCTTCGTCTGACTTGCCGCTTTCCATCTCCCATGACCTTTCTTTTTTTAAATGAGCCACAGCCTTCCACATCCTCGAGCGACGTCACTGTTTTCGTCTTCAGCTCCATTTTTACCTTATCCTGTTCAGCGGCTTTGTTATGCATCTCATCGGAGGGACTAACCTTGGATGATGTGGGGAATACGTAAGCTGGCTCCGAGATATTACTAGCAAACGATGATCGTACAGTTTTACTAATACAATTACGGAAGCAGAGAACGCAGCCTCAGCATGCGCAAAATGCTCAGCAAAACCGACATGGACAAATATTACAGCAACTTTATTTAATGCCAAATTACAGATATTGTACATTCGTAACTTACGCTTCCACTGTCGTCCAGGAGCCGATTGACGAGGTGGCCCCGAGCAGAGGAAGAAGCGGCTTAGTACGCATTGCCGGTACAGCATCCTACGGTCACACATTTAAATCGTGTATACTCGTATAAACGAGTACACATTATAAAATAACACACCACAATGCGGCAACCTGTCAAGCATACCACTAATGGGAATCAAAAAACTGCCTTACGGGTGTAATAACAAGACGATTTGCTCTTACCGTCGTTTCACCATCGGCTTCCATTTGTTCCGCTAGAGAAACATACCCCTCGGGCGGGGGATCCCAGCGCGAATCTGCAGCATCGAAAACGTGAAAACGAGCTGTGATACTCTTCAAAATATTTTTGGCCCATTTAGCAAACAAAATTTTAGCGAGGGACATTCTGGACCACCTACGGCAACATACCCATCGTATCCTGGTGAATAAAAAACGAATATCCGTCTTCGGACTTCATTTCTTTCCACTTTTTGGCAGCCTTCTCCTGAACCTGCTTTTTCTGGAAAGATGTGACGGCTTCCAACGCCTTCTCCTGGCCCTTCATGCGTCGCATCGCTTCTCCTTTAGCTTGAGCTTCGGCTTTGGCTGCGGCTGATGATGCGGATGGCGCCGGTGGCGGTTTACTGGGCGCGTCGGAGGACGACAACGCAGTGGAAGGTTGAGTGCTCATCAGCTTGGCTGCAGCCGAGGAATACTGGCCCGACAAGGACGGGTTGGCAAGAACATCTTTTTCAAACGATTTCAACGCCGCCTAAAAGAAAAACGCACAATTATCCATAAAAGTTAAACCTGAAAATCAAAGGCATAAAGAAAAATTAAATTATTACTCTACAGACGCACAAAAAAAAATAACAATACTGATAGTGTTATGATTCATAAATACTTAACCATTTTATTTTAAAACCAAGTACTTGTGAAACTTGTATTTATTTTGATGTCCAATAAACAATAGACAACAGGTAATAAAAATCAAAAACCATTAAAGATTTTTTATAAAACCAACAACCATGTCTGGCTAAGAGGAGTCTTTTCAGAAACATATTTTTTTCTGTCTGCACTCGTTAAAAGAGATACTCACAAAACGAAATCTTGTATTCTGGTAAAATTTATAACTGAAAATAACTAACTGAAATATTTGAAATTAAAATATAATTCATATGATCGTTAATCTTACTGCTTCAATCCGTCGCATCTCATCATCGGTGGCGGTTGTTGTATCTTGTCTGCTTTTGCCCTTTTTCTGTGCCTGGTAAAGAACACATGCAATTCTGAAGCAGCAGTGGATACTAGCAGCGATTTTCTGGATAAATCAGAAAACTCGTGAGAACGTACTTCGCGAATGCGTATCTCCACATTTTGCTTGTGTCGCACACCGCGTTCGTGAAATTCAATGCTCTGCAAAAATGCGCAAAGGAAAACAGCGAGCATCTTCAAATCAGCTTTTGAATAGTTGTAACTTTTACATCAAAGCTAAACTCTGCTGCACAAAAGCTGACTTACGGCTTTGTTATCAGCGAACCAGCATTTGCAAGCATCACAAAATTTCTTTGGCAAAGACTTCCAGTATTCCGTCATTCTTCGAGTTCAGTCAGATGTTCGAATACGGGCAAAAATGGTGCTGAGTTGATACGCGATACCCCAAAATCCAAAATAAAAAGACAATAATTATTATAAATGACAAAAATTCATAAAATCGTCAAGACATTGGTTTAACAACGTTATGAAGAGTTTACTTACTTACTGCTTAGTGCTTACACTTATTAGGACTTATACAAATTTTGAGTTTCAAATTAGACCACTTTGCAGGAATATGCCGCCTGCGGCGGTAAGCCCTTGCATGTAATATCAGGTTATCAGGGACACAAAACTTTTGGGCACTCCAGTGCACCGTAGACTCTATGTTATAAGGAAAACCGCCCTATAAAGCGGTTACCCAATCCGGCTCACTACCACCCACTGGAGGTTTGGGAGGAATAGTGGTTTCTTACCCTGGCTCAATTGTAGTATTTCGCGTTTCAGTGAAATACTGAAATTGAGTTGGAATTGAGTTGCTGTGTGGGAATGGGCGCAACTGCATTGGAATGGGTGCAACTGAATTTGAATGCCGAATAAATGCATTCATTTCCTTTTTAGGTTGGCCGCCTACCATTTCCATTCTGTGATGTATAATAAAGTTGTCATATAACTTGTAATATTGTACATATAATGCAACAAAAATTGATCCCAAATCAGAATATTTTTATCGTTTCCGGTAGGCGGCCTACTGGATTTATTCATTGTCCAACTATCAGTGATCGGCTGCATATGACGGCCATTGCCATTACAATATTTTATTCGTAGTTTTCATGTATTCTTAGGTATTATAACTGTTTATGGTTTAATCTTGATATTATAACTGTTTACGGTTTACTGTTACTGGATACGTGCAACACATGTATTTACTGGATACATACAACACATGTATTTACTGGATACGTGCAACACATGTATTCTCATCAAATCACCGATCATTATTGGGAGCTGGCCTGCTAAAAAAATTGCAGGATGTAGCAAATTTTAATTTTACAAATAAAACAAATATTCAAATTGTTAGTAACTGAACAGAGTCGGGTCCGCCAGATTACGTATCGTCCGTCGTATACGAGTACATGAAATCGTGAATACTATATTGACCATTGACGCCAAAATAAAATAGTAACTCAAATTGCAGAGAACACCAGACAATTCTGCCAATTAAACAATGTAAATCGATGATAAGTATTCAGTGCACGAACATATACCGTTGGCTCACTAAAGGACGTCAGTAGAATAATCAACGACAACCGTCTAAGAACTGGCGATGTATAGTCCGTACATACTAGGCGTTAGCCGCTAAGGTTGCGTCCAGGATCTCTTCTGGAATGTAAATACTCTGGACCAGCACTTCCGTCTGGCTTTCCCGGTCCTTCAACTGGGGTTGTTCCAGCACTTCCGTCTGGCTTTCCCGGTCCTTCAACTGGGGTTGTTCCAGCACTTCCGTCTGGCTTTCCCGGTCCTTCAACTGGGGTTGTTCCAGCACTTCCGTCTGGCTTTCCCGGTCCTTCAACTGGGGTTGTTCCAGCACTTCCGTCTGGCTTTCCTGGTCCTTCAACTGGGGTCGTTCCAGCACTTCCGTCTGGATTCTACCTTCCCGTTGCGCGGGCCGCTGTGGACGCAAAATATCATAACATGTGGGAAGTGGAAGATCCCTGTTGCCGGCAATATGTTGAGGAACCGATTTGTGTTTCCACAGCCCGGTTACATGATCGAAATCGATTGATGCTCCCATACTGGTACAGTTGATACGGGAAATTGCTTCATTATGCACAGCAATGTTCTGTATAAGCGGCAGAATAGGAATTGCTTTTATTATACACGTGTTTTTAATTGGACGTTTACCACTTACAATCAAGATGGGTTTCAGGATCAACTGACAGTATTCAGCGGGATGGCGAAAGCGGCGTCGACAGTTATTACGCGAATACTGAAACGTCCGGTTCAGTTTCGCGCCTTCAAATTGGTTTGCTAGGCTGCCAATGCGTTCAATCGCCGAAAAACTATAAAACTCGGTCCAGAGCTGGACATGGTCAAGGCGTTGGCACTCTGTATCACTTGTACCAGTGAAGCGCTGGTACAGGAGATGCCCATATTTTGCCAGCATCGTGGTGACCGCGTGACATGAATCCGACATTAAAACCGTATCCTTTCCAGAATGTTCGCTGACACTGTCATCGGATTAAAATGATGTTATAATTCTAGTTATGTATTTTTTTCATATTAACAAAATACCGCTACATTACGTACATTAATTGCTAAACCGGTGTATTCTGATTTAAAGAAAGTTTATGACGCGCATTTTAAATAACTACTGTCATAAACAATTATATTTTTACATTCTCCCATTGATATGTAATACTAACCGAAAATAAAACTTTTCCTGTTCAGCAAGATGCGCATGATTCTGTAACAGAGCATCCCGATACTGAACGTTACTTTCTTGACATTCCACGTCAAACGCTACAGTCGTGAACCGATTAATCTGAGGATCATCAAAAATAGCTTTGATGGCTGCTTTCTGGTCCTCCGGTAAGGCGGATGGGAAGACAAACTAGAACAATTATCAAACCCATAAATGGAATATATTTTTGAATAAATGTGTAAAATGTAAAAATTTATGTTGTGCATATGTGTCATTTTTTGTGTCACTATTAATTATAGAACATACGAATTATTGAAGATGTACATGTCAACAAAATCTTAATGCTCTTACGTGCAGTATAGTTCCGGCCGTCGCATGTGTCACCAGATACACTCCTGCGTGGATGCGAAATCGCTCTCTCGTGACCGGGTTAATATCGGAACAAGTGTAAAAATCGGTCATGTTGGCGTGATATTCCAGTTTACTTTGGTCATTCGTCTGGTCACCATCGTGTTCGATGACTTCTTCGAAATACATTTTCAACACCGCTCTGCTATCAGCAGTAGACTTGTATCGTTCCTCCGTTACGGACGTGTCCGGATCCATTCCTACTATCGGTAGAATCGCCGCTTGCGCATTCCGACTCTGCTGACCGGTAGGGGAAATTTTTGACTGGTTACTGTTCTGAGTCTTGCATCCGATTGGAGCAAAATCCATATGTACAGTGTGATAAGTCAACCGATACAGACTTATTGTAAGGCGACGCTCAACAAAGAGTTGACCCCATGCACATGACTCCTATAGAAATAACTCTTGATGAGAATAATATTTACTTTATAGCATGTACTTGTTATCTATAACACGCAGATAGGATACCGAACGGGAAACCAGTAGCAGTTAAACTAAAATTTGTCGAGCATACTTTCACACTAACTTATAGTATACGATTGCCCATAAATGCATACGTACATGAGTTCTACAATAAGACAACGACATGTACAGTGTATAAGAAAATGTCATTGCAATTTGGTACAATGCGGTTATATAGGTTGAATGGTTTAGGTTTAATATTTACGTACATATGCAAAATCCTGGCATTTCTGTGTAAACCACTGATGCAATGCCACAGGCTGTCGTCTGAAATACTGCACATCCCCGTTCGCTCCTTGATTCACAAACAGCCATTTGTTTTGATCGACGCTACTAGCGCTCAAAGGTATCAGGACGGAATGCAGATCCACACGGGATGAGAGTTCTAGTCAAAATGGGAACATCTATGTTAACACTTTTCTCATACAAATTTTACCGTTTTTTCACATACATTAAGTTGTATAATAAGAATGTAAATACCTGGTAGAATGTGTGTTCTCAGGAAGTCTTCCCTTTCTGCGTTAAAAATCCAAAATATAACAAAATTATGACTGATTCGGGGATGTCGTTGGAGAAGGTCGAAAATATTCCAGTGGCGTGCTGTATCGATTTCCAATGCACCTGAAAACGATTCCGTTCTTCTAAAGAACTCTGCCAAACCATTCTGCGTCAATTTTGCGCGTGTCGTAGCCAGCCACCAATGGATCCGATCGCATCTGTACATGTCTTCCAGGAACGCATGCAACTGGCCAAATCTTTCACCAATGTCAAAGTGAAAATAAAAATCGCTTATACTCAGAGGAGACACAAAATCATCTGCGAATTTGCCCCAAACACACTTCAACCCGGAACAGGATCACTTATGTCGGAGGATCTGTCGAACACAAGATGAGCACTATACTGCATGCATTTGCCGCTGAAATCAGTTCAAATGACTGATGGCCGTGAAAAAACGAGTCTCCGGTCCCAATTGTGCCAACGCCGACTATAAAGTGTGCATGATTCGTGTCTGCAATGCAGTAAACAGCATCTGTAACAAGTAGTTCTACATGTACAAAAAAGCCATTATTATTTACAATACAGCACAAATTCATCGTTCCGACTGATATATATATATATATATATATATACAGATGCCGTACATTTCCTACGGTAGCGCTCAGTGTTGATGCAGTTCATCCTTTAAATTATTAAAACGTTCTATGGGCACACCGGGCAACCTATCAGAAACTCTTACTGAATCAAACTGCTATATTTCTTATTAAGGTATACAGATAGTATACATAAGTGGGTATTGCTGAAACAATTATTGGTAGGCGGCCTACCAATAATGATTCTCTAGACCGAGTGATTTTATTATTAACAACAACAAACGTGATTACTATTAGTAGTAGTATACACTTTACTGGAACAATTTCCGGTAGGCGGCCTACCTTTCCTTTACTTATTACATAGACCGGTTGACGGCGTTGAGTTAAACAGTTTCATTTGTCGAGGAGGCCCGGAGATTCGATAAAAAATCAGGTGTAATTTAATTATATAAAATCTACAAAGTACTGGTAGGCGGCCTACCAGTAACGGTGGATCTGTGACAACCACCAGCTCTGTCGCCCTGGCTCGGGATCACGGGATCATACAACACATGTATGTCCGTTTCGCACTTTGATGAATATGATTGGATGAAGATGTTTGGGAAGAGATGCAGAAGTTCCGTTCAGCTGTCTGCCGTATGTTCGCAGAGAACGAAATGGATTGTGTATTCATGGAAACCGCTACGCGTCTTAAGTCGCATCCGCATATGCAGATTGAATGCATTCCGCTGGATAAGGACAACGGCAGCTTGGCTCCAATGTATTTCAAAAGGCTATTCTCGAAGCGGAAGGAGAATGGACACAGAATAAGAAGCTGGTCGATCGGAACCGGATGCACCGACCGGTCTAGTCCGGCATCGTGAACGTGATGGAACGCCGCACTGCGCTCGGGAAGAATGTAAATCGGGATGGATCCCGTGGCGGTGAACTGAACATGAGTGTTGCTGCCGACAGGAGTGCCACCGGATGCAGACGATGTCCCGGTGCGTTTGTTGCAGTACTTGCAGAAAAACAATGCCGCAAACAATCCTAACAGGAGTGCTATGGCCATGACCAGCAAAGTTATATCTACCACGTTTACTGATGTCATGTTATATGTTAATTACAACAGTAGCAAGACAGTCGAGGTATACTTCGTCGCTTAGCTTGAAAATTAAATACCAATGGAACTATACACTGTACTCTGTATACGTCGTAGAAGTCGTTACACAGTTTTCATGATTTACCGATATGACCATAATTATATAAAGCATCTTCAAGTATTTTAGCCAGTACGTTGAACTAATTTTGATAAGATATCTTTGTTCCAGAATTCCAGATTAGCTGCTGAACGCCTGAGCGAAATGATTCAGTCATTTTACACCGCTGAATTAAGTCGAGCTAGACGGGTTTTCCCCGTGAGTCACTAACCATCTCGTCATCATTCACTGTGGAAATCCTCAGATAATTTACTTTTTTCTTTATTACACGTTAATTTAATCTAAATTAGAAACACACAGGTAAAGAGCACTTGTCCGAATACGCAAGAGATGTTCACATTTAAAAATATCTTTACCGTAATAATATCGCAGTGGAAGTCAAAGCGTTTCGCTAGATCAGAAGGTTAAATCTGAATTAACGAAGGACGCCATTTGTCAAAAAGAATCGAAAACAACAAATTACAAAAATAGCACAACAATATAAAAATCTTAATAACACAACTTTCTGGATACTTCAGTAAATATCCATTAGCGACATGACCTTCAGGCCACTTTGCAGCTCCCCGGCAGGAGATATCCTGGTTAGCATGAAAGCGAATCACGTCCACTTCTTGATACTGAATATGTCCATTTTTAGAGAAATATCCCTGGATGCCTGTCGCTTCTAACCATACGAACGGCACGATGGCACTCGCTTTCAAAGTTAGTGAGCGAGGGTAAGAAACCACTCTACCACCCAACCAATCCGAATTGCGTACAGCCGGTTAGTACGCCCAAATTACATTATTACTGATTGCTAGAGTAGCTTTTATTAGTGACATTCTAAAATGAAATCGATATATTTTTTTTTATTTCTGGATCAGAACCTAAGATTTCATTAGCCCAGATGAAATATCAGCCAAAAATGCACATTTCCTACTAATTGATATGGCGACGAAAAGCAATATGTTTTATTCGAAAAAGTTATGATTTTTTTGTAGAGTGATATACATATGTACATAGGTAATGATATACATATAGATAGATAGATAATGATAAGTTGAAGAATATCAGAATTTCAATTATTTGCTGAGAAACGAATGAAAACTGCGTTCACTATATCCTAATAGATTTTGTCGCATTCGATTTATGGGGGCACTGCATGACCAAATGCGTAGCAGTATTATGTCACACTATGCAAGCAAATAATCGGTGCATTTTTATACGACTACGAAAGCAGCATATGTATTCCCGTCACAAAAAAACCAAGTTTTTACTACAAGCCGTACACTGAGGTGCACAGCAGGTTATACGTGAAGTAATACTGCAGGCTAAACATAAGGCTGTGCTACACACATTTCCACTATAAATTAAACTTAGTGCACTACAGCTTAAACTACAGGACAAACACTAGGTTGTACTACAGGCTATAGTACAGGTTGTACTACAGTCAGTACATCGTATACTTTTTGTTTGCTTATGAAACTGGTTTGTTGATTTGCTTAATGAAATGCATCTTACTTTTGAATATACTTACAGGCGCAAAGCACAAATCACCCTTATATTATCGTTTTTTGTAAAAACTCAAAACAAAGCCGTTTTATAAATAAACTAAACACTACAGGTTGTACGCTACAGGTTTGTACAATACGAGGAGAGGCTACCTTGGCCCGATCAAAGGCATTTGCGCGACCATAAACCGATCACTGTGCCCGTGTATGTTCACGCTGAGCCACGTGGACGTTTAACGAGGCTGGCCGCCCAGCGATGGCAGCGTACGGAGGTCAGCAGCACGCACATCTGTTGATCATTCAAAGTTTTACACCCCGTGCTATTGCACTCTTTTTTAAACTTTCCAACCTGTACTTATTTTAAAATATTTAGAATACAGAAATTTGTTATGCGCTTTTCCACTGTAAACCAAGAAAGTTTTGGGCGGCGAAATTTCTCGTAGAAATAGCCCAGGACTTCAGTCAACAGTTTCGAAAAAGACGTTGTATTTACGAAAAACTGACACGTGGTTCTCGATTTTAGAAATGTAAAAATACCTGCATGTCTCCTTTTCTCATATCTTGACTTATCTACTGACAAGTTTCAAAAGAGACACCGGAGAGAGGGTGTACGAACTGGATAATTACTTAATGGCTGGTTAAACTGTTTTCGTGCTGCTGCATACAGGCTGCCGTCGCTGGGTGGCAAGCCGTGTTGCACACACATGGAAGCAGTGATCGGTTTATGGTCGTGCTTATGCCTTTGACTCCTCCTCGTATGGGTTTTATGAATTTGTTATAGTATTTACTTTTGCTTACTGCGTATTAAATATCTATTTCGGGCTAAAGGATTTTTATTTTTACGCTTCAAATTATTTTTATTGTGGTTAAAAAATTGGAAATGGCTATAGGCACCCCTTTTCACCCCCGTTATCTATAGCCACCCCCTTTCGCACCCCCGCAGACTACAGGCACCCTTTTTTGATTAATCAATCTCACCCCGTTGCGTGCGAAAGCTATTGGCACCCCTATATTGTCCGTTGATGCTATTTTAAGTTTGAATTTCTTGACCTTAGAATGCAGAAAGTCGTCGCACTACCGGCTCCATAATTTTTTCTCTTGTAATAAAAACTGCTCTGTAAAGCAGTGTCAAACTATCAAAGAGATAGGCCCATTGTCGGATGGAGTGCCTAGTGCCTACTGTCTAGTACGCTTTTTTATGTGATGCCTGAACAAGTCTTATCAGATCGTCCAAAAAATCTTTGTCAACCAAAACAACTCTCAAAAAATCTTAGTCAGTGTGCTCTGGAAATAAAATACAAAAAAAGGGTTCATATAGTCCGCGAAAAAAACGGGGTGCAAGAATTATCTAATAGAAAAAGGTGTGCCTATAGTAAAACAGGGTGCAAAAGGGAGTACCTGTAGTAAACGGGGGTGAAAGGGGTGCCTATAGTCTCACCCTTACATTAAATTCATTAAAACCTTTAAAACCATACCAGATATCTTTCCTTGTTCCCCTCTCAAGGATTTTTATTTTAACGTTTATAATCATTTCTAATATGATTAAATATAACTAAATTAATAATATTCAGGTATCAGTATGCTTAGCTGATATTTTATGCATTATGATCATAGACCGGGCTTGCTTGCTCGTTTGCTTAATGTACTGCTTGTAATACAACCTGTAGTACAGCCCGTAGTATAACCTGGCGTATGGCCTGTAGTTTAACGTCACTTTAACCTGTAGTGCGCTAAGTTGAGTTAGTAGTAATGCCTGTGGTACAGCTTAGTGTTCAGCTTGCACTACTACATGGCGTATAGCCTGCAAGACACCTCAGTGTACGGCCTGTAGTAAAGACTTTGTTTTTTATGACTGGAATACATATGCTGCTTTCGTCGTCGTATAGAATGCTGCCAGTATTTTCTTGCGCTAATAAAATTTTTCAAGATATACTGAACGAAGTTTTTATTAGTTTCTCAGCAAATAATAAAAAATCAGATATTCTTTAACTTCCTATTACTTGTGTGTATGTATATCATTACCAATGTATATCACTAAAAAAAGATTCATAACTTTTTTCAGTTAATACACATATTGCTTCTCCTTGCTTTTCAGCATGTCAGTTAATGGGAAATGGAAACAGTTGTGGTTGCTATTTTATCTCTGTTAAAAAAATGCCCGGTCCTTTGTATCCAGAAAAATTGTATTATTTCGATTTCGTTTTAGTTGAATGTCACAAGTAATAAACGCTAGAATTAAACCTACTCTAGCAATTAATAATCTGGATTCTGGAGTACTGACCAGCTGTGCGCAATTCGGATTGGTTGGGTAGTAGTGATCAGTATTGGGTAGTCGTTTTATAGGGCGGTTTTCCTTATACCATAGAGTCTACGGTGCACTGGGTGCCCAAAATTTTTGTGTAATATCAGGGCAAGTCTCAATACATTGAGATCTGCCAGGTAGTGAGATCTGCCTTGGTAATACTCGTATGTACGTGCAGATCAGACTGCAAAAAATCTGTTTAACCATAAGTAAGGGTGAATTTCGTTGAAAAAGTAAGGTTAGCTTCGTGTTTTCGCTCAGTTTCGTCAACTCATCCTTGTTTATGCATTTCTATTCGCGTACGTGACTGAAGTCTATAATTCTTTACATATTGCATATTCTGCGCTCGTCAGATTGTTTTGCGGAAAGCCAATGCGGATTAGTACAGGCTGTACAAGCGGCACTGACCTTTCTTGTTTCAGACCTTTTACAGCATCGTTTCTGTTGGATATTTCGTTCATGCTACTACTGAACGCTGCAGTCTGTTTGGTTTATTTTATTAAAGAAAACTTAATGACATCGTTATAATTTAAATATAGCAGCTTTGTTAGGGTCATCCAGAAGGACCAGAACAGCCGCGCATGTCACCGTAAAAGTTGCCTTGTATGTGAGTCGTATTTTTAAACACATTCTCATGCAGCCAGGAAAAAAATCAATGAAAATGATCTCCGACATAACGACTTCGGAGATTTCTGCAGTAATACAATAAGACAGTAGGGAGTTTAATTTAAAAGCAGACGGTTGGGCTGTGGCGCCATGCGTTGCATGTAATATAATAGAATTCGCAGGGACTGACTAAGCAAACCACTTCCGCTCGACATGTGTTTGGGATCGTGTTACTTTCCACACAGCGGGAAGAATAAAAGCCATGGGATCAACAGTGATTATTACGGTCTTACACTGCCGAGCAGGTTGCCAACAATGTCGCCTGTGGATGCCGTATGCGACGTCCATTCACCATCGATATATTGTAACCGCTTTAACGAGTTTCCAACTGCGTACTGAAATCTCCGTCGCCATAAGTAACTTTCGACTCATGCATGTGGTCGTGCTGGGTTTTAGCAGTTTTAATGATGTCCTAGAAATAAGAAGCGACAGGATGGAAAGTTAGAGACTGTCGTTTTGATAATCGAAATTTAAAGCAGCGTAACCGAATGCAAATGTATGGCGCTTTAGAATATCTATATGTTATATGTTAACAAATATTGCAGATCGCCGTTTCCTGATTCATATGTATTGTAGGGTACTAACATCGCAGGTGTATTGCATATTATATTTACATGCTGCTCCGTATAGGTATGCATATGCTCCTGCTCCGTACAGGTATGCATAATTATGTAAGCTGCAGTAATTATTACAACTGCGGAAACGCGCAGATCGCTACTTTGTCGGCTGATCCGAAAAGGCTGCATTGTAAAAGAATCTTGCGAAAATACCTACTCTAGCAGACGTTTAGCACATCTAAAGCTAAAATATAATTACCACTGCCGAAATCAAATTAAAAGACTGCATAAGAAGAATGCTGATAGTAAGTAAACGAAAAATTGTGGATGTGGAGTGAGTATACAAGTACGGTGTATGAAATATTTTACAACCTTCATGCACGACGGTACAGTACATACTACAACTACATACAGTACATGTTGCATGTGAACGGCAGGTTAAAAAATTCCAGGTTTACTGACGAAAACTCGTACACGTTAAACCTGACATGAAACTATAATGACCACAACCACCATGTTACATCGTAATCAGCCTATGTCAGGAAGAAAAAGCATTGCAAAACTCCCACCCGTAGGTAAAAATAATTATTACCGCGCATGACAAGCAAATCGTATTGCGAGACATCACACGTTGCACAGTAATATTTTTATCCTTACTAAATTCACAAACGCCGCATATATGTACTATAAAATATATGTAGATCCATCTAAACGAAATAATCAAGCTGTGCCGTTATGAAACGACCTTCCAATAGATTCATTATAATTAAGTGTTATTATACACTGGAAGCGGACTAAGGCTATTGTTCTTCGAAATGGTGATATTGAGATTATTATGGAAACTAGCATTTTCCGAACGACGCCGGTTTTCCAAAGCGTATCCGCTGACGTCCGGCATGGATGTGTGCATGGTGTGACTGGGTCTCCGGAACCAATCCTTTTCTTCGTTATCGGCGGATTTCCCGGGTATACAACGTCCACACGCGTAACACATAATCCGATTGAAGTATCTCCGGAACACTTTCGATAAGAAGTATAGGGTGACGGGATTTATGCAGGAATTGACATAAGCCAGACAGTGGCTGATCAGTTTGAAAATATGCCAGCCCAAGTTGTAATGGTCCATGCTATAGTAAAAAAGAAACAATCTATGATGTTATAATTATATTGTACATCTTGACTTGATAAAGCAAGAATTATTAGGTTAAAGTAAGGGAAGTGGCTGTCCAGTACTGCTTCTACATCTTGTACACCTATTATATAACTAATGTACTGTATATGTATAATAATGTATGTTATATAGATATATATAATGATACGCTTCTCATTGGCATACATAAACGCTTCTACTAAGCGCGCCCAAAATTTTCTTTAACTTTTCATCTGGCAACTGATATTAAAAATACCCTTTTTTTCCCCATTAAAAGTGCCTAATCTGTAATTAGTCTTTGAACTGTATACAGTAGGTGCACTAGTTACCTATTTGGGTCTCCATAAAACCAAATGAGAAATATATGCTTCGGCAGAAAGCACAACACAAACAGCAGCACCATGACTAGAAACAATTTTGCTAGTGATTTTCTCGTTTTCATTTGCTTTTGAAGGTTTTGTTGGTTTCCAGGTGCAGACGATGGAAGAAAATCCGCCGATGACAGCAACTGTAAAATACCGCAAAGGTCACTTTGTTTTTGCCAATTTTGATTTGTAAAGTTGCACTGTCTAACCTGCCGGGCCATCAACCCGTACGCCACGGTAATCAAAGAAACCGGAATGACGAAGTAAACAAAAAATTTACACAACACCAGTGTAATGTGGTATTCAATGCCCAACTGGTTAGGATACGGTGAGCATGCATGGTAATTAAGACCATCCGCCATCATTATCTCTTCCAGTGTTGTATTAATGGCATCGGGCAGCGAGCACAAGATCGACACGATCCAGATTGCGACGATTTTAATTTTGATTGCCGGGGCGCATCCACGGGTCGAACGTTTGTTGTGCAGTTTAAAGGGAGTAACAATAGCTGTGTATCTAAAAGACGCAGACTCTGACATTTATACAGCTTTAATCCGTTAATATCGTAGTCAAGAGCATTGTCACATGTGCACGAGAAGATTATCCCACACGTTTTCGGTGGCTGATCGCTTATGAGATAAACGTTCCGCGTCAGGATGATCGATTTTAATTGTAAGAATCGGCAATTAATTCGGACAGGATTTGTTCTCACTGCATTAGCGTACGAAAGAATTTTTGCTTACCGGTCTATACTTAGTATTAGCAGTGTAAAAATGGATACGCCAATGGAAATGTCCTGGAGCATGGCGTTGAACTTGCACAATACCTAGGAAGGTCACATATACAGTGAAAACAAATTCGTGGTCAGGCGTCGAAAAGTGCTCTTTACTTTAAAGCGAAATTGTCTTACCAGTCCGAACGGCCATGTGGACGTAATGTAGATGGTCGAAGCAAAAGGCACGCTGATTAAAACAACCAACAGATCCGCAAAACTCATAGTCTGTAGCAAAACAAACAGATGATAGGAATTTCAGTAAGCAATATCTACTCAGTAAATTTCTGTAAACAGTATCTATCTATTCTTTTATAGATTTCGAAATTGTATTCAGCCATTAACAATATGGAAAATTGTAACGAGGTTAAGTCATTGAAATTGTATCAAACCCTAATAATTTATAACGTATGCTACAAATTTTTTCCGATGATGCGGCAAGGCTGCCCGCCACTATGTGCCTTTTCCGAATTGATTTGAAAGAGATTCCGCGTAGCGTCAAATAAAAGCATTTTATGGACGTAGAAGTTCTGTCTATAAGATAATCTTTTCATGATCCGTTGATGTTAATGGAGTTGACATTATTTTTTAAACAAACTGATCTTCAGAGCAGGTTTAATCTTTTAATGCAATAAAGTCCATTAGTGTCTCCCATGTTTCAAGCATTAATGCAAGTCCACTGGAAGATTAAGTTTAGGTACTTGTATTTACTGCTTCTGTTGCTCCTTTAATTTACGAAAGTAAGCTTTGCATCTCGCTTGTTGAATACTGAAGCTGAATATAGTATGAAATACTTGACTAGTATTTCCATAAAGTGCATCCAACGGAAGTACGTACCTATAAATTGTAGGTGCGACAACACCGTTATATTGTTCTATTACGTACGTTGCTGGACGTTACTGTGGCAGATTACTTACTAACCGCCAAATAGATGTTTTGAGGACTTTGCATGCTGAGATTTCGGAGAACGGTATAAATAAGCATCAGATTGCCGCAACTTCCAATCACAAAAATTGCTGAAATCAAAACATGCTTGTCAGTTGACTTATGCGCAAATACAACCAACTGCAAATAAGTGTTAGTCATCGGTTAACGAAATAATCTGTTTTTTTGCGATTTCAATAAATTATGAAAAACTTGGTGTATGGACGCGATGCCGCTAATGAGATGTACACCTTTTGCAAACGTTAACATACTTACCAGAATTACTGAAAATCACTAACCGGGGTCTGCAGCAGGTGAAGTTTTTATGTCTAAGCATCTTCGAAGTCGAAACCATTCGTTTACTCGTTCCCGTAATATATAAATGTACATGCTGTTTCACAAAACCTTAGCGTCTTTAACGCTGCTTGATAGGCGTAACTCAAAGTTTTGTAAATTCAATAACCAATAACAAAATATCAGTGATTATGCAGTGCCAATAAGAATAAAGGCACTCTAATTAGTATTTAACCGGTGAAATAGCTTATTTCATACGACGCCATAGGGATTAAGTAAAATACGATAACCTTCGAAAAAAATGTGGAAGTCAAAGTTTGATAACCTTCTGATGGCTCCCAGAACAGTTAGTATACTGATTTACTAATTAAATCAATAAGAATGTAAACCGGATATAACCTTTCCCAGATGTGTGCAAGCGTTTTCAGTTAAGTGCGGTACTGCAAGATTTTCATTAGCTCGTTGGCCATAACCATATACAAAACCATCGCTCAACAATACAAATAAGCAATAAATAAAACATTTGTCCCATTTGGAATGACCATAATCTGTAACTGACTGAGGTATGCGTTAAAACATAAGAGTATAGAAATTCTACAAGGAGTGTATATGTACGCATATATATACCTAATAAACACTTAAAATCCTTTTTAAATGGCATTCTTCCTGCTTTTCTGGTGTATTGGTAAATCACACACTTAATTACGGTTTTATGGACAAACTTGCAGGCTATGGATAGCCACGTGTCGTCCTTAGCAGTTCTTCAAACGATAAAGTTATTGTACTCGCTTGAAGCTTTGCACGACGCTCTATGCCGGTCATGTTAATGGTATTTCCTATTCCCAGGCGAAATTCCCGTAGAATAATTGACACTGCAGTGATAACAATGAATAAGGGAAGATTTTCGGTAGGAAAGCAAACATTAATGTAACAGTTACCCTTAAAAATTGCAATGTGATCTCATTTTTAATTACTTTTGTAATAATGCGGGATTCTGAGAACGGTAACGAGCACTGGAAACAGTAGTACATTTTTATCATCAAATTTCACATCCCAAGAAAGACACCTTGACACAACGTAACCTGACATCGACAGACACAATTTCCGGTACCATTTCAGGCTTGCGCTGAGAATTATCTAGACATCGAATGTAATAAGCCTGACAAGGGAAAACCGAGAACAAAAATCAAAGGCGCACATCCTATGGAGACTTGCTGGTATATGTACAAGTACCTATATGGTAGGTTATGGTTCACGTTCTTGACGGAATCACACCAGTATATTATGGAATACATAGCGCGAAGAATTAACAATTGTAAGGGATGGCGCGGTGTGGTGCAGACCGTACAGTGTGCAGTTCATAGCCATGCGTGATTGCGTGGACCTTTAAGCTATGTAACTCGTACTTGTACCAGCTGTTATTTATTGTGCTTAGATATTTATCACTCGATTAGTTACCAGTTAATAGCATATTCTAATAAGTAATGAAATTAATAAATGGCTTAACCTATCTGACTACATTGTAAGGTAAACGGAAAATGAAAATCACATACACGTATAGCACCGGAAGTGCGTTTTCTGCCATGAATAGATATTGCAAAGAGTACGGTTCATATACGTAATTATATATTTGAGTGTTACGGTTTACATGAACAACCCGACTTAGACAACTTGATCGATGGATGTGAGACATGAATATATCTTCTCAACAGCTTATTTTTTACGCATCAAATTCTGTTTTACTGTAATTCAAGTGGATCCTGGGATATCTGTTTTCACGCTGTGATTTATTGACTACAAAATATAGTAATGGCATACCTGTCTTTCTTTAAGTTAAGTATTGTCATAAATTACTACATGACATGCCGTCTATCAGAAGAAAAATTATCCCAGAATAATATCATCAAAAAACGTTTCATCCGCAAACAACAAAACCAAAAATGTAGAAACATTTATTACTGTACCGAGCCGCTTGTGTTGTGTTCTTACTAATCCTGTTTGCGCCTCGAGATTCATGCACAATCGCACAAAGCTTTTTCAATCGGGCAGCTGCAGCTACAACAAGCTGGATTGCATGCGACTGCCATTAAGAAAAAAGCATGCAGAAACATTACCGATTATGCACGTTTGTGCCCACAGCTATACAATTCTGAGAGTTCAAATTGTTTCTGATTGTGAAATTAATGAACGGCGTGGTCAACCATACAGTTCCGCGAAATAAAATATATTAAGTAGCAGGAAATAATCTACTAATCATGGACGTCACGAATTCGCTCATCCGTGTACTGAAGTAACGGAACTACGTACGTACTTAATTGTAAAGACGCGCGGATACGAGTTCGGAATTGCACGATTGTGCTCGTTTTGCGGCTTTTACTGAATTAATAATTATCTTACGGTAATTCCAACTTACCGACAAAAACCGTCATGACGACATATGTGGTGATTTCTTTTCCATCAGGAACAACTTCCACCGAAACGTTATTGCTGCCTACATGCGGTAAATCGTCCATGTCTCCGGCTAACGCACCCGACGAGAAGTGACTATCGTTCATCTTCAATGTGCTGCTGGATTCACTCTCACAATGTCAGAGTTATTCTGATGCGCATCTGTCCAGAATACCTAACGTATCAAATGGCTAAAAGCCGGAATATCACTTATTCGGTTTATGGAAAACCGGGAACGGCAGGACAGATTCCGAGCATATTATATAAACGTATGTCGCCGCACAATCGACTTCCTGACCCAGGGCGCCGTCAAAATAATTCTCTTTCAATCCGATTGCGATCTGCTTTAAATCCGCATTACAACCTTATCACTGACATCATCCAGCCATCATCCCTGTCCCGCTCTGCCGAACTAATTCTTCCCGCTATGCTGGTGCGGTCGCTTTGTTAATAGTACATTAACGTTAACGGCAATTAAGCCGATTTTCGATAATTGCGGACTGAGTGAGTAGCACCAGGTATAATCCCAATCAGATGACGATACTTCGCTGCGCTTACGCGTTTCTCTGCACCGCTAGGAAGAACACGGCCACAGGAAAAGCATTCGCAAGAAGCTTTCACTCTTGTGTCGAAAATGATAAACTGGCTAACAGACTGTTGCACAACGCCGGTGCAGCGAATACTCCAAGCGTAACAGTTTAGCTGGGCATTTCCGCTGCAGTACTCGTAGTGCCCAATCCGTGAGAGTATTCAAACAAATTAAAAAGTTAAAACGTAAGAGACGCAGCTCATTACACCTAAGGAGAAACGGGGTGCGTTCAAGTTCGGCCAGGATACAAGGATGAAAATGGCTAAACGCGGGAAGCATGACGTCAAGGCAGTCCCATTCAGTAATGCGATATCGGTATATGCTTTACGCGGAGGGAAATGCAAGGGCAACGTGTGTATGTACAATACAGTACCGCATTGCCGATTTCATGATTGCCAGCGCCAAGGAGCAGACGAATAAGGATCACGCATAACACTACGACCGGAAATCGACAAGAAAGGCCCGGATGACTCGATTTTCAGCGGCTCCTTTTCTGACCCGACGTTGCCTTATTCAGGAAGAGAGCTGTCAACAAGCCATTATAACGGAAACACATGCTTTAAAATCATTGTTACGACTGGCCCCAATGAGGCTGCAGCGTCGTGCAGTACGTGGGGCTGAATTGGACACAATAATATAGTATCTGCACTGTACTATCCTTAAATGGCTGCGCACCACTGTCCTCATCAGTATTCCTCCTTGCATGTAAATGTTGACCTTAACTTCCAACAAGAATTCCGGTCCACTTAAGTTCATAGTGTTAATCACTTACTGCGATGGCCAACTCCCGTCCTTTGGCACCCATCCATTAATCAGAGGTTTGAAAAAGGCATCACGGTCAGAGATGATGACATGCAATATACACGTAAATACTGACAGTGACCCCATTTTCAAATTTTCATGTGGCAAGCAGTGCTCCAAAAACTGGTAAAATCGGATTTATTACGCAAAATTATAAATGTTCGGATTAACTCGCAAATCAAAACCAGTTGGGCGCGAAAACTACTCCAAAGTGTAATAAATGAACCTTGAGGCACTGTACAAGAGAACAAAATACGTACAAGGCTACTGCTTGCGAGGAAAGACCCTAACATTTTTATTTTTCATTTGAAAAGTCACCTGTAAGTGCATCATGCAATAAATAAGTGTGATCTTTCTAAAATAGGGGCGTGTTGCAGTAAACTCTGCAACCAGCAGGCAAGTCAAAGTTCGAATAATAGTGGCAAATTCCAGAAAAAATTAACCTGTGTTACATGTGTGTGTGTGTTAAAGCTAGAGAAGGTCACGTTCGGGTTCTGTTAAAATTACGACGGTGGCGCACTACTGCACAAAGGTTACAGTATTTCTGAACCAACCGCCCGGGCTCCGCGCAACGAGCCCGTTATACTTGGTCAGAGAACTTAAGAATCCTGGTTTGGATCCATAAATAGCCAGAATAATTTCGAACAATAACATTTTAAAACAAAATGGAATATTGCGCGTCGCAGGAGCAAATTTTAAGCAGCAGCTGGTGTTTGTGTCCATACTTCTTCCCGCTTCAACGCCACTAACTGGCTTCGTACATTGGAAAATTAAATACCGGATACCTGTATTACTGATTTAGCGATAAATTTACAAAGGTTGCTTCGATGTATTTATATCTAACCAGCACGCTTAATAAAAAAGCACGAATCACTGAAAACTGTAATGTGTTACCATTAATGTGGCTGCATTTTTAGTGTTCCTGCAAGCCATACACCGCAAGATATGGTAGCTGATAACAAACTTGCGAGGGTGGATCGCCGATTCGCGCGTATCGGTGTAACTAGACAGATAGCACCGAAGATGCATTAGGTTTCCAGCGCTTCACTTCTATGGCTACATCCACGCGACCAGTTAATACAGAAAAACACGAAGTGGCGTTTTCTTGTCTGCTTCGCAGTCAGCGAAAACATTCCGTCGCGGACTCGCTGTGCAAATTACGTATTATTCGTGTACTACTTTGTATAAATTTGTAATTAACGGTATAGTTAGGGACCATACACAAACTACGTACAGAACGAATTTTCGGGAACGTAGTTTATAGATAGTCCCTTACAGTATCTTCCTTTGTGTAACTTGATGCTTGTGCTAACCCCCCCCCCCTAAAATGTGCGAATCAGAATCGTGTAACATTTTGGTTACAGACTTTTCCATAGACCTGACGAAAACAAGCCGTAAACTAAATAGTGTACAAAGACTAGTCTTTGTAATTATTCTAGTTTAACCGACTGCCAACTGGTGTCAGTCCGCTCCGGAATATTACTAGTTTTATTTCATGTTCGAGAACCGCGAGACACGTATTTACGGAATTGAAAAACCGCTTTTCGGTGATATTCTGCATGATCCGATAGGATATGGCTGATTGTGAACAAGACATTGAAGTAATGTTGCACGGGCAAATTTTACCAGGTTTTCGTGCAGCAGTGAACTTCGTACACACCAACTTGTAAGTAACTTCATAAATATCACTTATTTAATTTAGCCATACATAATTATTACCATTTGCACAGTTTTTGTAGCAGTAGCGAACTGCAGTTTATTGATGTTGCCAGTCTTCCTATTATGCTGTGTTCAGAAGCCGGAAAAACTTTTTTGGATACAAAAGGTGTATGTTTTCGATTTTTGCAAAAAAAGGTATGGTGCACAACGGATGTCGCCCACGCGATCGCAATTATTAACATTTATGACATAAGCTGGCTACCCTTCATTTCGCATAAACAGGGTTGACCCTGAATACCACGACCAGATAATGAAAAGAACATTACAACGAATGCCGATGGTACGTTTCTGCAGTTAAACAGACATGGTAATTGCACCTATTACTGTCAGTAAATGGGAGATTATCATAAACAATAATGGGCATGGCGTGACGCATGTCCATCGTCTTCGCCGACTGGCGAAATAAGTGAAATTCCAATACCCAATAAACCACACGATTTCACTCTAATTCACAAATTTGACAGGTTGAAATGCTGGCGTTGCAGCTAGTCAACAGTGCGGAAGACTCAGTCGACACGGAAAGAGTCTATGAGCGACCGAGCGCATTTCCTCTAACGACATCCATCACAATAAACACCCCTGCGAACCCAAAACGTTAAGTATCAGAGCATTTCGCAAGTAGTTCGTCCTGATCATGCCGGGGACGTCCAACTGGCAGGATGCGGCGCTTCTGTTGAACTAAATTAAAGGCCACAAAAACCGGTCACCATCCTGTCCCGGAAGACGATCCCTCGAATAATCATCAGCAATATACGCAATACACTACCAACAGTTTTTCAATTACACAGCTTATAATTTGCAGTATATATTCACTGTGGTCATTCGCCTTTTATCCATTTTAATCGCCTCTTCCGCTTAGCCAGTCTGTGTCAACTTCCGCCATGGTCAAAGCCTGTAAATAACGATATACCGGCCTGTGCGTTCTTAATCGATCCCAGTGTACTGTTAGCGCTGCTTCTGGATGTTGCTCGTGTTATTGAACGCCTCTCTGGTAATAACGCGCAAAAACTTTTGCCGTTCTCTTATTGTGGGAGAGCCATTAGATTGTGGGATAATGGCCTTGACGCACAAAACTAAAACAAACAATCGTGAATGAATCGTCGTATATTTGCAGTCGATGATAATATCTAAATACTCCACTCACTTTTGGATTATGTTACCCAGTTGACACATTAAGGGACGACTTCCCAAACGCACATCACAGAAACATTGACGGCAATACGCAGGCAGTTTATTCGGTCATGTTTAAAAATTCCTGGTGGGAAATTTCCTTCTGGCTCTCCTGCAGCAGAATTGCAACCGCCGATCAGGGTCACGCACTTCACATCATACGGTATATGGTGACAAAACTGCAGCGGCTACCGATGTACTGTAAAAATCAGTTACTTCAATTCTTTGTTGCTTAACATTAGTACTGTTCCTGTGGACCTTTACCATTAACTAGACTTATTCTTTTTACACGTAGATTATTAAACTGCTATGCACTCACTGACATCTTTAATAAGTCAATAACCACGGGCCACGGCCGTAACTGTACTAATATATCTTAATTGTAAGACAATTTATGGAATTATTCTACAAGCAGTTAGGTGACCACACGGAAACAAAATAGTGTCATTGACAATATGGCACATCACGACCGTTAAACTTCAAGCGCAGCAGCATCGTGTACCCGCATCTATTATTAAAGTTGAACTGCATTAAAGAAATAATTTAACGCAAGCCTGTATAAGAACGATATATTAAATTTTAAAATTTTTGCCCGTTTAAGCAACAGATCTATAGATGAGTGGAAAAAAATTTACTCCAAACGGTAGAGTTAATGATAAAATATTGTTTTAAGACTGGCAGTACCGCTGACCACATAGCGTTACCCAATTACATAAAATCGTACGATTGGTAGTGGTGTTGCCAAATGGGAGCATAATGATTTACTGGTTACATTACAGTAAATAAAAATTGAGCGTTCAACCAGTTGAGCCTTATGTAATTATTTGTTTAAAAAATTTTGTGCTTGCCAAAATAAATGCCTCTATAGTTAAAACTGTATTTTTAAGACTGCTCATTTAATTTTTCAAGATATGACAAATGTCAATATTAGTGCGGTTTATATGGAAACTTTCAATACATAGGCGCTAATTTAAGTAATTTTCAGAAGTACTATTAATGCTTATTAATGCTTATTTCAGAAGTACTATTAAGTCTTATTAATGCTGGTGCAACTTGCGCTTGCGCAGGCGGTTTATGTACCGTTCTAGTGCTTATAGTGCTTACTGGTACTGTGGTACATACTATTGTACATACGCAACTTCGCGTGGGCTCGAAAGCGAAGCGTACAGGTACAATACTGTATTCGTTACAAATACCTGCAATACTACCTCATCCATTTCAAAATTGTGATTTTTTTAGTATCGGGTTTGGCTTTATGGTTCTTGGATGTCTCTGAATTACATATAATTCCCCTAGAAAGTTATCCGTTCTGTATTTTGCAGGGTTATCGTCTGTTAGACTATACTGCACTAACAGCAAAGTCGTTTGCTTGCAGCCTGCAGATGTGATGTTCAGCAAACTCTTTCGGAGGCTGCAGAGTACAGTGGGATAGTTTTTATGTTTTCGCACTGTTAATTTTGGCCGGTGGTTTCGTTGGAATTGTTAAAACTTGCAACGTCAGGATGAAGAATTTTTTGCCCGTTTTTTTATTTGCTTTATTTAAAGTTTCCGTGATTCTATCAGATACCCAAGTCTTACGGCCTCGTGGAGTGCCTCTTACCAGTAAGAAAACTCGAATCCGCAGATGACTATTTCCACGTCACAACACTACAGTGAATGCACCAGGCAATACTTACCTAATTGTCTAACTTTTTACTTTGCAGAAGCCGCCTTATATGATGGATCTAAGCCTTTTACTTGTTTTGATGGATCAAACCAGATTCCCTTTGCTTATATTAATGATGACTTTTGCGACTGCCACGATGCATCGGATGAGCCTGGTAAGGGTGGTATATGGCCGTACATTTAGTGCAAGAAACCAGTCTTCTCGATTGTTTTTGACAAGTTTTTTTGCCAACGTAATTCTTCGTTGAGTTTTGGTGAAAAATATTTGCAGGCACATCGGCGTGTGCTCAAGGATTTTTTCATTGTACAAATAGAGGCTATCGGTCCATTGATATTCCTTCCGGTCGTGTTAACGACGGAATTTGTGGTGAGAACATAATATAATTAATTTTTCCGTGTTTTTTTGCGATAGTATTGAGTAAGCCTTCCCTTTTCTTTTTTTGCAGATTGTTGTGATGGAAGTGATGAATACGATGAAACCAAAGTTTCATGCTCCAATACATGCTTGTAAGAAATTAAGAAATGCAAAAATAATTGCGATATGAATTTAGTCGAGTAATGGTTTCATTTAAATCGGTTATACCGAATGAAATTCGGGAGGCGAATTTTCAGTCTTGCTACCAATCTTAGACAAATGTTTTCGGTGCAGTATTAGATATCTGCATAAATACTATCTGCATAATATAAATGGATTATAACATTCGGAAAGGTTGATACTCGATAGCGCTCCAAATTTATATAATTTTACAAGTTTACTTGTTATTGTCACATACGGTATAAATGTGGGTATTTGTTCGAATAATTATTCAAAAATACTTTTTTAAATTGTTTACTTGATAACCTTTTTATCGTTAGGGAAATGGGAAAAGCCATGCGCGAGGAAGCTGAACGACAACGAGAACTCATGCGATCTGGTTTCAAAAAGCGACAGGAGATGATCGATTCAGTAAAGAATCGCAAGGCCGAAAAAACTGCTGCTTTCGCCAATCTGGAACTCCAGGTTAAAGACTTGGAGCCACAAAAAGAGCAGCTGCAGAAAGAAAAAGAAGCTGCGGAAGAGCTAGAAAAGGTAGCCAAGGACAAACACAGGGATGCGTGGGAAGCGTTCAAGAAGGAACGAGACGAGACGCGAGAACGAGCTGCCGCTGAGGAATCCTTTAAATTCTTCTCTCCGGATCAGAGCCCATTAACCGCGGAAGGTTTATTATCAAAACTAGTTAAAGAAGGAGAAAATCTAAGCGATGACCTGCAGCAGTTCATTAAGGGACTGTCGAATGTGGACTTCGAGAGTTATCTCACCTCAGTATGGCCGAAAATTAAAGATACCTACAAAAGCGTCCAAGCGTCGCTCTCAGAAGCAACAACAGCTTCCCCTGTAGTGCCAACCGAAGTAGCCCCGGAAGCAGAAAAGGATGATCACTTAATGGATCCGTATGACGAAGAAGAGCGGGAAGCGGAAGATGACCACGCATACCATCCAGAAGACAGTGCCGCACTATCGCCCGATGAAGACAAAATGCCGGATTACAGTCCTGAAACTCGCCAGTTGATTGATACCGCCGAGAAAGCTCGGAAGGATTTTACAGAATTTGATCTGCGTGTTTTTAAGCTAAACGAGGAGAAAACTGCGATTAAGAAATGGCTGGACAACGATTATGGGCCGGATTTTGTTTTTGCTGCTTTGGAGGACACATGTCACGAGTACACAGACCGCGAATACACATACAAGTTGTGCCCGTTTGATAGAGTAACGCAGAAATCCAAGGATGGTGGTAGTGAAACCGGGCTGGGTAAATGGGGCAACTGGGAGAATGGATATAAGGAAATGAAGTATACGGACGGTGCCAGGTGCTGGAATGGTCCGGCTAGAAGTACGAAAGTTATTCTGGAATGTGGCGGAGAAAATCAGCTGATTTCCGCATCGGAACCAAATCGTTGTGAATACCAGATGACGTTCCGTACACCGGCTGTGTGCACGGAACCAACCCAAAACGGCACGGAACATCTAGGACTTCATGACGAACTTTGATCGCGTGCATCGCTTTAATGAAAATTTAATGCATTTTGTTTGTTTTTTATTTAAGTTGTTGTTCGATTCCATTGAGCTTTCATATGATTCGCATAAATTTCATACTTTGAGATCTTTTATGATGTGCGTAAGAATATCCAATGAATTCCCATCTGCTACTTGGAAGTACGGGTTTTTTATAGAACTTCCGCGTACCTGATGTTTTTGCTAACTTATTTCCGAATTTTGTAAACATTGTTCACCTTTCGTTAGTCACAAAAATGCATTCCGGATAAATCGATTGCTGTTGGCATCTTTGCTTCCATGAAATCAATATACTCTACACGTAATTATGTGTCAACCCGACATATGAACCGAATTTTTTGAAAAATATCTTATAATGTTAATAATCAACCTAACCGAACGTTTTTCCTTAACCCTACATTTCGTAAGTACATGATTTCACACTAAACGATTATGATTTATAAAGACAAAAACATTAGGCTAGTGCACCCACCGCACGTACATTTAATACTCGTGTTTCATTACCATGGTCTCATTGCTTCATTCATTTCAACAGCGGAAGCTGCCCTCATCAAGGCAGTCCAGCAGGAAGACTCTTCAAAATAACAATAAAAATGCCACCAAGAATTTCAGATGCGTATTAATGGAAGTATACTGAAAAGCCACAAAACAAATAAAACTTCAAATCTTGAAATGGAGCGTAAATTTTATGCCAAAAACCGACGCACCGAATATCATACACCATTAGCATTCCCATCCCATCTGCACATTCCAAAATGCCTTGGAGTTGCACAACATGGAGCAAAATAAAGGCACTATTACTGAGGAAGAAGAAATGCTCTGCAGTAAAGTGCAGTTCGTATCCAGTTCCAGTGAGCGCACTACTCTTCATCTGGTTCATTCCGAAATATCAGCGATATTCGGCGGTCCCGTTCCACTATTTCGCGTTTGAAAACCGACTGATTGCCTTTCAAAATTTCGTGTGTGTACTCGTATCTTGCGATACCCCTGGAAAAGGCACAAGTATTGCACAAGATTACTCAGTAAAACTTACTACAGGAAATACTTACTTCATAATATACAGCGATCGACGTTTTAACAAAATATCGATGACCGGGTCCTAAAATAAACAAATTTATAGCAGCAAACTAGTATCGTTTATAAAATCCAAAACCACTTAGCGATTCGAAACCCGGACTAAAATCGCTACTATTGAGTAATCAGCCCTCAGAATTTGTTACGTGCATGCTTTCGTAAAATACTGCAAATCAGCAAATGCGAACACACGGTACTGCTTCCATTTCATAAGGCTTTTACTGTTTTACATGAGACTGACTCACCTTCTGACTCTCGTGAACAAGACGCATTACCGACGATGATAACAGTGATAGTCCAGCAATTGTATCTCCGCAAAACTGCAATCCCCAACAGAATACAAAATGCGCTATAATTCTTTTCTACTCTTACTGGAATGCAATAAATATGTGCTTACCCGGACGGAATCCACGTGCGGTTTAATATATCCGTCTTTGGCCAAATCCAGAATATGGACATTCACCAGCTGCGAAACACCAGGCGGAAAAGCCAGATCACGTACGCGCTTAAGAATTTTTTTATTCTCCGAATTCCAGTTTTTTCGTTCGGTTTCCCGATATCCAATAATCGCCTGCCAAAAAGGAAGTATTTATTAGAAGGCGGCCACAAAGCCAAAATCGCTGTGGAAAAATACCCAAACAAAATAAAAACGTGCCAAAACAAAATAAAGATTTGGCATTCATCCAGTTTTCAGAACTAGTCACTAGTGGTAAAAACACTCAAAACCAAAGATAAGCTAGAGAAAAACAGTTCATTCGCGTTATTGTCGTGCATTTATTGTATTGTATAATTTATCGCAGACAGTAACTGACCAGCGAGTTTGATATCCTTGATTCCGAATACAAAGCGAAACTAGACATAAATAACTAATACTGTAGTGCAAAATACTGTACACCACTTACATTATCCCAATTTTCTTCGTTCTCGTATCGCACCCGCTGAATCTGGGATTCTGCTTCCTCTAGCAGGGATTTTTCTTCACTTTCACTTAAAAAATCGTCAATAACTATCATATCTTTGAGAATCTGTTCGCTGATTTCCGGAGTGCAAGCTGAAATGAATTCGAAATTCTTCGGGCTGTTGCGAATCTCTGGATGATCTGTCTCATGATCGCCAATATCAGGACTGATGGAATCCGATCGGAAATAAGCCAACGCAACATTCCTTGGCTGTATGATAGTTTCAAATCGCCGTGAATGGATCTCAAACAATCTCATAATTGCCTGCACAATTTGCATTTTCCATAAACAAAGTTAGAAAGGAAGGCTTTCAGATTTACAACAGACTGACGAATTCCAATTACGTAAAACAAACAAAAATTCCTGAAACCTGAAATGCGAAATAACAGTAATACTCATATACGTATTCGACAATGATTCAAAACCCAAAGAAAGAGCTTCGCACTAATTTTTCTATCATAATAACTGTTCTAAAAATAAAAACATATGCCACGGGAAAAACCGAGTAATTTGCTCCGTATGTTGAAAACAGATGGCAGGTTGCAGAATGTTATTTGTTGAGCAATCAGAACTTGAAATGTCCTGATGGATGTCTGATCTTGAAAGAAATTTGAAACGAGCAGTCGAGCACAGCTGCGCGCACAGTAACTCCTTCCCCGCAGAGGAAGACATAAATGCTAGGCGCAACGCATATGCACAAGCCTCCAGGAGGCAGCCAGATTATGTAAACCAGTTCTGTCACTTTTATTTATTTATCACAGAAACAAAACAAAGCAAAAACTGCAAAACCAAAACATTTTATGTTTCTGGATTCTGCCTGAGTCCATGAAGAAATTGAAGACCATAATGGGTTATTCAACGTGAAAAATTCATTGAGGGGTTTTTTTCCGGTTTTGCGGATCGTTCAAGCGATTGGGATTTGAAAAATTCTGGTTAGGTAAGAGACAGGTGAGGCTCCATTAATAACTAATCTGCGGTTCGGGTAGTCCTGATACATACTATGTACTTCGTAATTCGTATCATAGCTTACAGTTAATAAAAGTCGTTTGGATTGCATTCGGGTTGGCTTTGCAGTGGCTTGTATTGACGCTGTTCTCGATGTTCGCAGTCAAAGTAATCTGTGGGAACGTTTTTCTCATCCATTCCATTTGCCGTTTGCTCACTCTCTTGCAAAGCCGGAGGCACTAAAATGCCACCAAAATCTGCCCACAAAGCGAAGCACTTCATCCCAGCGCCACCGTTAGCGATTCAGGGATTTCGGGAGGACATGACAAACTTGTTAACGGCTTTCCTGGCAAAAAACTCGTTTCGGTTCGAGGATTTCGTTGGTTTATGGGAAGAAATGAAATTTTCCTATATTTATGGGTATGCAGCACTAGCAGAAAGCCGTAAGAATAAGAGTTATGAAAATTAACTATACACTGCTTTTAGAGATGCCAGTAATTGGTTGTAATGTTGACAGTTTAGCTTGACTGGATCTTCCGATATAACCGGGAAGCTGTTTTGTAGGGGGACGCAGACCGATCGAGGAGGAACTGCAGAAATTAACGAGGTTTGTGAAATGTGTTTTATATGATGGTTGGTTGTATGAAATTTGTTAAACTACATAGAAGCACAGTTTCTTCGAACAGCTGTACTTCCCGTGCTTGAACCGTTACTAAATTATAATAATATTACTATAATAAGTTATAATTACCGTTATTATCTTTTTAATATTACAGTTTGCTACGAAATGCTTCCGCGAAGCGGTGGTACTGTGTTCGCCTACGAACCAACCGCTTAATCGCACTGCTGGACTGTATCTTCTGTATTCGCTGTATATAACGCGCCCTTTATACTGCCATACTCGAGTAAGTGCAAAAGCAGTTTTGTATAACATGCATAACATATCGCATGGTCAGGCGTGGCAGAATTTTAGATTAATTTGTATTGAATGAAGTGCAAATAAAGTAGTTTCTTGACTAGTGTTTTTCGCAATTATGTACGTAACAAAATCACGTCTTGAGAGTCGAAACCAAAAAATGAAATAAGAAGTTTCGTAAATTTTAGTAAGTCCGGATTGTATGACCAGTGAAGATTTTGGAACAGAATGTTCTTTTTGGCGCCTATAATGGCACCGGGCACGATAGAAACGTTTTTTTGCCAGTTTCAACTGATTTGAAAAACCGCTCACTTGTCAGTGGCATTCCTGCTTTTCGAAAAGCGTGATTATAGACTTAAATATCGCTCACTGTTTCCTTTTTGTGCGAGAATCTTAAAACTGCAATCGTTAGTTCTTATAAATGTCCTGGACTTGCCGATGTTTGTCGTCGACGGCAATGATTTGGAATTTATGAAGTACACTTGGGATTCGCTTAAGTCTTTTGTGCTTGAGTGGTTCGTAATTATCTGATGTTCTTTCTTTTTCCTTATTGTTAGATCCGTATCCATCCAACTGTGGAATTCCTTCCCTTAACTGAGTTTATGAATGTTCTGTTGGGTCATGAACATTTTGACGCGGTATTTTTGTTCCTTGAACTCATGGACCAGCAAGCCTTTGTCTTCACTGTGACACCGCTAGAGGTGAAGTGTTTATGAATATTAGATCTTGTCCTTTCTTGATTGACAGCGTTACTGACTGTGTAGATGGGATATCATACTCAACAAGCCAAAGCGTTTCGGGATGACGCAAGCGCGATACACACGTATGTCCCGGAAATTCCGGCGCTGTTGTCCAGTTCCACGTTTACGGTAAAACGTAACGAGAAAATATTCGCTTTATGACCATTAGATTTATTCAATTTTTTGTGCTTTGGGTAAACCGCATTTGAGTTTTATTCCGACCACTGTATGCATGCATTTCGCAGAATATGTTGGCTCAAGATGACGCTTATACTTCTGCAAAGGCTGAACTTGTGGGGAAAATGTCAAATCATTCTCAGTTCAACTCGGACCAGCTGGAGTACACTTCGGAATTCAAACAGAAACTTGACCATATCATCCAGGGATACAAGGATTCCGCTGCGGATTCCACGGCGGAAACTAATCCGGAAAGACAGACTGAGTGCGCTGCCGACGAAGCGGACACGAACGACATTGGTGAGAGAATAATATTGCGCATACAAGTATCGAGTAATTAAGTGCGAATTAAATTTATTAAAAAATAACTTAGTCACCGAATTTTTTAATAACGTATAAATTCTGTCTTTCCCCTTTGTCCACCATATTTGAAAACTGGCTGCATACGTACATTAGCAGATTACCTCATAATGATATGGTCGTGATATGTATTACAGATGCCGAAGAAACTGTTGGTCAGCGGCGTCAACGCTTACGTCGAGAGATGATGAAACGATCGGTGAAAGTGAGATACGAAATCTAAGATGGAGTTTTGTTTTTTTGTGGAATGGATACATTCTTACAAGTTCTCTGCTTCAGTAAATCAGTCTTTCAGCCAGAATCTGCTTACGTTTCATAATGTCAATAAGCATATCTTATCCAAAGTTGATCGTCTACGAGATCGTCAAATGATTCAAGAACAGAAGAGCTTTGCACTGCTGTATTATGTTTAGTCTTTTAACGGAATGAAAACTGTGATTTTGAATGGCCCTGCAATTCCTTTTGATCTATATACGCCCGCATAGCTTAGTTTGTGAGATTTATTCTCCAGCGTACCTTTTATGACATTTGGACTTTCCGTACTTTAAAATGTATCACAATTTAATGTCAACAATATTCACAAAACTATAAAGGAATGCCAATGGCTGTAAGCCAAGCAACTTTCAACTTCCCCAAAACGATGAATTATTAGACAAGGATGACGAGTTTTTAATGTCTTCCAGAGGGCTTCCAGACCCGTCGGTATATATCCAGAACACGATCTAGGCGTTTCGGTTTACGACGTCTTCGGCAAAACGTTATTTTAATTTTTAAGGTTACGTTACTTTAATTTTTTAATACAAAACGAAGCATTCCAGTCCATCGCTTTTATTTCCAAAACACTGATGCAATAAGAGAAATCCAGAAAATGCGGGTTTAGCCGTTTAGGTTTACTGCTTAATGTCTGCAAATACAAGGAGTCACTCCTTATCGAGATTCAAAGACAAAACTGTCGAAAAATGCATTATAGTATTACAAGCAACAGCATCTGATTCAAGCATAAAACAGTTCCTACATGAAAGAAAGTGATATTATATAGAAAGACGAAGAAAGAAGACTCGCCCGTTAGTTTAATACTTCAGTAGTCATAGTTCCAAAATCTAAACAGCAACCTGACTGTGTAATCAACGGCTACTTAAACAGATATCATCTCACTTCTTGTTGCTTTTTCGACCTCGAACGATACCGAAAACAAGGACAGCGCCAAAAATTCCTCCCATTGCTTCAATAAACGGCTTTCCAGGTTGAGAACACACAAAACCCTGAACGATCTCTCCTACTTTGGCTCCCACGAGCGCTCCAGCAACAAACCCAAGCGTGCTCACATGGAACGATGTCTTACGCTTATCGCTGATATGGCTTCGCGCGACGCGGTCGACCAGTTTGGCCAGGTGCTGTACAGCAGCGTGCAGTTGCTGGTGGTTGTCAGCGGCAGGTATAAGAATTTTCTCCACTGGAATATCATTTGCAGCCATTTCTTCGTCCTGGAACAGCTGCAAAAGCTCTGGCAGATTTGGTGAACCAGCATTGGCTTCGTTGGAGCTTACGGAGAGCGAAGAGGCTGAAGATGCATACCCTGAGCCTACATGACAGAACAGCAAGTGAGTAAAACTAAAATATGTTGGGCATTGATTACGTAGTAATAATAACTTTTACCGTAAAATTTCATAATTATTACTTACTTACTTACAATTATTACATACTGTAAATTACAATCTGTAATTATTTTTGTACTGCCGTTATATATTAATATTAATACAGATATTAATGGGATGCCTACGTGCTAAAACAGTATGACTTCAAAGTAAGACAGCGTGGGGATATTGCAGTTAGTGCACTACGCTGAACTCTATGTTTTAGTCTTACATAGGTTGATGGCCAGTGGGCCACCGCAAACTGCTGGAGAACACGCACAACTTCTGACTTTTTTAAAAAATACTTAACGGTTGTTCACTGCGTTTATTAAAAACTACCACAACAGTCCAAATTTTTTTCTCTACAAAACGAATGTGACTTGGTCCTTGTACGATAAACTTAAAAATTAATAAAACTTGATCCGTATTTTGTAAGACTTACTTAATTCAATAGCATCGAGAGCTGGTAGCTGAAGTTCCATATTTAGAATCGATAACCAAAGTTCGTGGAACACAACTTAATGACTCCAGAAATTCCTGATCCGCACAGATGTCATGCATAAAAAATAATGAACGCCGCGGTTGATTTTGCACCTGAAGCGGTTTGTGCGTTTGTGGCTCATGATCACTGGCGTCTGGCTAGTGGCTATGAGTGGTTTTACCCAGTTGCGCAACAGCGTACACAGGTACATATACTACATTCATACTACGTACGCACTACACAGGTACATACTACATACGCCTGATGGTCAGGATTCTGACACCACTGCACCAGTATGAATATAGTATCAATCAGGTCTATGCGTTTTGCAGAATATGTTGGCCCAAGATGACGCTTATACTTCTGCAAAGGCTGACGGTGAACTTGTGGGGAAAATGTCAAATCATCATCAGTTCAACTCGGACCAGCTGGAGTACACTTCGGAATTCAAACAGAAACTTGACCATATCATCCAGGGATACAAGGATCCCGCTGCGGATTCCACGGCGGAAACTGATCCGGAAAGACAGACTGAGTGCGCTGCCGACGAAGCGGACACGAACGACATTGGTGAGAGAATAATATTGCGCATACAAGTATCGAGCAATTAAGTGCGAATTAAATTTATTAAAAAATTGTCAGTCACCGAATTTTTTAATAACGTATAAATTCTGTCTTTCCCCTTTGCCCACCATATTTGAAAACTGGCTGCATACGTACATCAGCAGATTACCTCATAATGATATGGTCGTGATATATATTACAGATGCCGAAGAAACTGTTGGTCAGCGGCGTCAACGCTTACGTCGAGAGATGATGAAACGATCGGTGAAAGTGAGATACGAAATCTAAGATGGAGTTTTGTTTTTTTATGGAATGGATACATTCTTACAAGTTCTCTGTTTCAATAAATCAGTCTTTCAGCCAGAATCTGCTTACGTTTCATAATGTCAATAAGCATATCTTGTCCAAAGTTTATCGTCTGGGGGTCACGAATCATGGGGCTGTTTTCATAATGGCACTTGACAACGACGGGGGCTTCCTGGAAAGTCGGAAAATTGTAAAATAATTAAACAGTTTTCTTCCGTTTGCTTATTGACAACAAACCGGGCGCAGAACGTCACAGACATCTATGGTGAAATATATGGATGCCGTTGCTGTCGGAACTGGGGCTTTGCGAGTAGGAATGCTCCAGCAAGACTCAAAGATGTATGTCGTGGTCGGCCCGGGTCTGTGCTTCTTGGTCAGTAACTCGATGTTGTACCTCCAACATGCATCGCGCTTCCACTCCTGCATTTCCACTCAAAATCAAATAAGAAAGTGTAAGATCTCTGTTGGCGTGGATGAAAATAGCTTACCTTTTGAAAAAACTCTTCGAGGTTTTCGATAGCAGCATGTACGGAGAAATTTCCATGAGTAATCCATTGAAACGGCTGTATTGCCGCTTCTTTTTGGCAGAATCTTCCCCTTGCATCACTGCGTGTATCCCAGGATGAAGCCTCTCCATTTCGCAGTGCATTAGGATCATCCAGTTTATCGGGTACCGGTATCAGCGCACCGTTGCGGGCTGACGCACCGTTTTCGCCCTCCTGTAGCGGTGCGGTGAATTCAACGATATCCTGCATTAAAAGCTCGCCCTTGGGATGATCTTGTCGTAGAAACAAGGTTCCGGTCTCCTTTTTTGGATTGTGCTCCACCACATCGCCCTTTAAGTTTCGTAGGTCGCGGTAGAAGTAAGCATTGAATGCCTTGTAATCGGCTATATCTTTTCTTTGATCAACCGGGTTAGCATTAGTGCGGACAACATGTAGCCTTCCGGAAATTTCTTTTTTCCCGAATCGCGCATGTTCCTTCTGTTGGAAAACTGAATCTGCACCGTTTGAAACGCTGTTATCCTGTTGAGCAGTCGCTTCCGAAGGGGAGGATGGGTCAGCTGCGATGTCGCTGCGATTAAATTTATTCGTGGTTTTGCAAAAACAATTTGTTTTTGGTCATTCGAAATGACAAAAAACTCTAATGCAAAATTGGCTGTTATAACCTTACCTGACTGATCGTTTTCCACCTCTTGTAATGCTTTGATCTTTGGATTGCCGATCAAGGATCTCTTAATACTGCCCTTTGTTTTTTTCGCGCTCTCCGTAACCTGGACAGCCGGTATATGCGGTGGATCATCTTGGAAGGATCTCTGAATTTCTTTCGGGATGGGTATGACATCGTTTTCATACGAAATCAGCATATAAGAGTTACCGGGTCCAAAATTTATCTGCAAACTGCTGACAGGCAGAATAAGTACGTATTCTATGCGGACTGAATACAAGTGGTGAAATCGTATCACCTCATAAGGAAAGGTCATCAACTCGTATTCTAGTTGCTATGTTATGCAATAGCTAATGCAATCTGTACTACGACTACTACTCTAGTGTGTAATTAGCACAGTACTTACTTATAGTTAGTACTTACAAATTACGATCGACGAGCGTTTGCACAATGCCATATGCGGCAAAAAGAGAATGCAAGAAACAGCTCTTTAGTCTTTAGTTATGCTACGTAGGCAGTATCTACGTAGCATGAATCAAAAATTGTTTTGTGCAATCTTTTTTGTGGCACACCACGTTTACCACCAAAGTCTCCGCACACTATTTTTTATCATTTTTTATTTTTCTTCACAAAAACCACCGGAGTCTCCTAGCACCACCAAGGGCAGAGTGCACACCACCAGAGTCTCTGGACTCCACTAATTCGAAAAAAATGGTTTATTGTTATTACGGGCGGAAAAAAGACATCTATTTCGTTTCAGGGTCTGGCTCCTGTTTTTGATGCCACTCGTGAGACTTCGCTTACGTTATGGTTTCCGTTTCCTTTGTTTTGGACAGTTTTATAGCTAACTGTGATGATTGATCCGCCTTTTCGGCATGGAAGTCCCGTCCATGCCGGAAAAACAGATATTAGTAACCTACTCGTAGCTCATATAAATATTAATCGTTTGTACAACTGGCCACTGTATGGCTTCGAAACTAAAAGGTGGTGTCCTGAGACTGCCGGTGATTTTATACACATGACCGGTGCCCCAAAAATGGTGGCCCGAGACAAAACGTGGAGCGGGCAGTGGTGTACGGAGCTTGGTAGTGGGTAGTGGTGAAAGGTGGTATGCGGAGACTTTGGTACGTGGTAAAGCGCGGTGGCCGGAGGGGCCGGAGCATTGTCCTTATAAACTAAACTACAATATTATATGGCATGGCTTTGCTAATTTTAAACTTGTACAGTACGAGTACTGAGACTACTGACCTTCCCATTTTCGTGTTTATTCCATTTTTAAACTGAAAAATAAACTACGTGAACGACTACGGCAGTACTGCGTTTAACCAAAATTCTTGTTTTGCTTCCGGCACCCACGACTTACAAGCAACAAACGGAACCGGTGTCGACTCTTCTTCCATCGGTATGATCGAGGGTTTGGTACAGACAGTATAGTCTGTTGGTGCAGTTTACCGTATCCAAAATGTACACTACTACATACTTACGTTCTTGCTTTGTGCGCTTTGCAAAAATAAGTTTAGATGGTTTAATGTGAGTTTTTTTGCGAGTTTATTTCTAGTAACTAAACGGTACTGCCAGAGAGAAACGCACGCACGCGCGTACAGTGGTTTTTGAATAGATTCAATTTCGTACAGATCGGTTCTTTCGTAAAATTCCAGATTTTGTGAAGTTCTCAGATTTTGTAGTTTCATACGCCAGTCAATCAGTACGGGTATTTGAAGGATTCGTATTGTCCCAGACAGTGGAGTACGATCGAAACCACTAAAATTCATTTCGATGTTCGAGTTAAATATTGCATGATCGGTATGATTTTGTGTCCTTGTATCTCCTTTGCCCAGATTTGTCACTTCTGACAGTTGCACAAAATCAGAATCGGAGAATTGCAACTGCTTAATTTTGAGCTTCAATTTTTTCGGGTGAAATATATTTGGCTTTTTGCGGCACAACAAGTGTTCTAATCCGGAAATGTCTCGCTCGGCGTATTTTATTAACAGTTCAAACACCATCGTGGATGATAATCTTGAAGGAACAGTGCTTTATTGCGACGGCGCTTATTTGGATAAAAAGCATCGCATTGTTCTGCGAAAAGATCTGGTATGTATTGTGGCCTTGTAGGGACGTACAGATTGTCAGATTCATACGATACTTACGTTAATTCGTCGTCGGTCTTGGTCCATAGACTGATTATTACGAAAATAAGAATGCCGACCAAAGCAACGGCGGTATCTATCCTACGACTTACGGTATATGCTGTAGGCGCATTCTTATGCGCCTTTGTAATTTATTTTAACAATTAGGAAACTCTCAAAGCGACCGGTAAAGTTATTTTGATTTGTGGCGGCGGAAGTGGACATGAACCATCTCACGCGGGTTTTGTCGGAAAAGGCATGTTGTCAGCGGCTGTGTGTGGAGATATCTTTGCTTCCCCACCAGTTAACAACATCCTCACTGCTTTACACGCCACATATTCCCCAGCTGGAACTGTTGTGATTGTAAAAAACTACACCGGGGATCGACTGAATTTCGGTTTGGCCATCGAACAATTCAAAATCCATAATGTGGACGCCAAAATTGATATGATTCTTGTGGAGGACGATGTGGCTACACGTAACAGCCCGGTTGGTGCGCGGGGCATTTGCGGCACGGTCTTTCTCTATAAAATTCTCGGCGCGCTGGCAGAAAACGGAAACTCTTTTGGAGAAATTGTTGAATACGGACATCATTTGCAGAAAAAAATTCTTACCCTTGGTGTTTCCTTGGCCCACTGCTGTATTCCGGGACAAAAGGTCCGGAGAGCGGATGTCAAAAAAAGCGACGGCAAGGCGAGCACGGAAACATATGAGATCGGTCTGGGTATCCACAACGAAGAGGGCGTGGAAAAGCGCCCATTGGAAACCGTAACCGCCGTCGTGAATTCCTTGCTTCAGACGTTGTTGGACAACTTACGTCAAGCTGATCACGATCGATTTGTCCTGATATTTAACAACCTTGGAGGATTATCCCAGATCGAGGTTAATATTGTCGTAAAGGAAGTCATTTCCGGTGCACAGGGGAAAGGTTTATCAATTCCCAGTATCTTCGTCGGATCGTTTATGACATCGTTGGCAATGCCCGGGTTTTCAGTCACATTGATTCCGCTGGACGACCACACTGAACGCTGCTTGACCTCGACGACTGACTGCCCTTTCTGGCCGAGAATGCTGCCGGTTAATAGGGAGCCCTTTTGCACTTTGCCAGAAATTACTGCCCATACACCGGAAATTAAATCCATGGAAAAGGACAGTAGCCACACCTTTTCTGACGACAACAGTACAAAATTTAGGCTTGCGTTAAATAACGCCTGTGATATTGTAATACAGGAAGCCGACCGGTTGAACGACATTGACGCTGCTGCCGGAGACGGGGATTGTGGAACGACGCTGAAACAACTCGGGGAAGAAACCAAAGTTATGATAGCCGACGAAACAACAAATTTCAATAATCCCACAGAAGTTTTTTGGAAATTGTCGGTAATTGCCGGGAATACAGGTAAACATAAACACGACGTACTGTATCCGGCCTGTGAAGTAGTGCAGTGTGTTACTTACCAGTTACCAGTTACCACTTATAACAAAAAGGAAGATACTGATACTGTAGTGAACGTGTCTAACTCCAGCAGTACTTAAAGGCCATGGCGGCTATTATCTCGGTTTGAAAAATTCTGTATTCATTGCAGGACTTACGACTTTCTAAAATTTTGACATAACATTCTCTGACATCGCGTGAAATCAGTTTACCCTACTCGTATTCAAGCAATAGAAAACCCAATTTTTACCGTGGTATTCTCTTATAAGTTATCATTAATTTCACATTTCGTACAGTACAACCTGTGATACAACGCGCGGTACAACATAACGTGATAGTGTCACTACAGTCGGTGAAAAGCTAAAGCGTCACACTTTTCTATTTATTTTCCGTCGTTTCGTGGTTGACAGAACATGAGTGTCATTTAACCACGCTTTTGACAGGTGGCACTAGTGGTGCTTTATACGGAATTCTCTTCGGGGCGTTCGCTTCCAAATTGAAGAACGTTAACGACCGGGCTAACTGGAGTTACGCACTTGAAGGTGCATTAGACATTTTTATGCGGTATTCCAGAGCGACACCTGGTCAGAAAAGCATGCTAGATGCATTGGTCGCACTAGAGCAATCAATGCGACCCCTGAGGGAAGCATCGGTGAGCATGCAGAATGTTTTGTTACAATGCGTGAAAGATGTAGAAATGGCAGCGGAAAACACTAAAAACTTGAGCGCTGCGGTTGGACGAGAAAGCTATTCTGGAAAATCGGCGACCGGCATACCGGATGCGGGGGCGTATTGTGTCGCTCTTTGGGTTAAAGCCGCCGGAGAATCATTACTGCAGACATAATGCAGCTACCAGAAAAAGTGGATCACTGTGGTTCATGGGTGGATTCATTTTTTAAAGCAAGCTTTTAATTGAATTGCATTGCTGAGGCTTAAAGTTTTCAGATTACAATGAAAATGCAATTTTGGCTGTTTGTAGCTGTTCAGTTTTATCGGTGATGCGTACAGTAGATTGCTTTAGAAGGTACGAAATAGACAGTAGTTTATTACGTACTGGTGAAGTTAGCGGTGGGTTGACGACAGTGACAATATTGCACAATCAGAATGTGTTATTACGAATCTTATGATTATGAACTACATATCAGATCGGTATCGCAAAAATTTGCAGACAAACGCTAAAGATCCACAACATTTGGCTTCGTAAAACTTTTTGACAATGCGAAACTAAAGCGAACAGAAAAGCAAATTAGCTGAGTATTCGAAGATCGAAGAAGAGAATATAACAGTGTACAAGCAAAACATAGCACTACACCAGCACAGAAATCGGCTAACATACGGTAACGATTCCAGCAAGCTGCCACTGATATGCACGACTAGAAGCAAAACAAACGTCAGCGAATTACTCCCGATAAAATGATGAACTTGAACCGTGTTATAAATATATGTACAGAAAACGTTGGATATTTGTATTATCCCTCCATTTTGATTTGGCGATCGTGGTACTGTCGGTCATCGTTCAGCGTCAGCGGAGATTGCATGAGGGGATTATGCGCATGCTGCATGAGCAGGCCAGTGTGCAGCACCGACGGAATCATATTGGTAATTGAGTTGACTTTACAATTGGCTGACATCTGGGTGTTAACACTAACGGCCGATCCCGTGGGCTCCACTTTCTTCTTACTTTGTTTGCGTTCCTTGGCTCGACGATTCCTGTTCACAGGGACAAATCGTGTGACATAAATCAACAAGCCGATAAGCTTTATGGTGGGTTAGGGGCACTTTGCAAATGGCCGATACTGCAGTGTATTAAATTTAATACTTACTGGAACCAGATTTTCACTTGCCGCTCCGAAAGTTGCAGATTTTTAGCCATTTCCGCTTTCCTTTTGACAGAAATGTACTTTTGGCGAAGAAATTCGCGTTCAAGCTCTAAACGCTGCTGATCGCTGTACACCACTCGGTATTTATCTTTGGTTCGGGTCTTCCCGGAAACTGCAAACAAAAGGTCATAAGAATGGCGTAAGTTTTGGAGTTTAAGGCTTTTATATGAACCATTCATGAAAAGTGGTACGGCTAAAAGAACTTGTGGAATAAGAGTTTCTAACTTGTAAGAGACGCAAATTGCAGTAAATATTATTAAAACGCTTAGGTTAAGGCTTTCGATAGAAATTCAGATACACAGCAGAAGCCGCATGTTAACCAAATACGTTAAAACAACGAAGCTGTAAATCGTTGTCGCAAATTTTAGTTTAATGTTTCGATGAAGCTATGTATAAAACTATCCTTTTCCCATTTTACTTCTTGTGAACGGATAGTTACGGACTCGTGTTCATAACAAGCGGCACAGGTCAGATTTACGCCGTCCACTTGTGCAACTTGTAGTTTCAGGGCGTTCACATTCGCATAAATTAAGCGGCAACGAGCCATAAAGACGACATATTTTTGCATCAAATGGAACGTCAGAACAATGTTTTGGGCTACAAGCCAGGTGAGATAAATATCGCTTTCGGGGTGATTTTTATGGCTGTTTAAGCTGACATTATTTGGATTGTTAATGTATGTATGATCTATGAGCAGCCATTAAAAATCACGAGAATGCGCAATATCTAAACCGGTCACGTCTGTTTCCGGCCTCAAACACCTTTCGGATCAAACCCAATGAAAGATTTTAATTGCCACGAACGGCAATATTTGTCATGCAACACAGACTTTCCTGGGGAAATAAAGTCAACGAGAAAGCCAATATCCAACCCGTTTAGCCGAACATCAAAACTTTATGTACGAGCTACATGTACACCGTGTCCCGCTGTCATAAACTCGCTAAAGTATAACACTGCACACATACGCACTGCTACAGTGCTACGTACATAAGTCACTGGAGCCGTCTTCCCGCTCATTCTACTAATAATATTATCATAATAACTTTTTACTATGAAAAATTACCAAAAAATGAATTGAAAATGTTAGATTTAATTTAGTTTTAGAGTTTTTGATGATGAGATCTGATGAATAATTGCCGTATTAAAATGCAGTAAAGGAAGTTGTCCACAAGATAGGATAAATGAACCCTAACTACCTCGACTGTATGCTACAACTCTTAAAGACAAACCAAACGAAACTCCACCAGATGCTTACGTTAAAATAAATTACTAAAATAAAATGAATTATAAATTTATGTTTTGGGCCTTTTGGCCAATCTACCTTTGGGAACACCAGGTACGGGATATTGCATAATTGTGTTTGGATGTGCTCTCTGTACATACAAACTGCAAAGCTGGCGCACCGTGTGCGGTGCTCAGTGGGGAATTAATTTTAACCAAGGCCAGTTTATCACCGACCAGCGCTTTATCAGAGACGGGATCTTTGAAATCTCCGCCTGCTGTTATGGCGGCCGGTCGCTCTATGCTATTGTCCGTATTAGCACCGAAACTAGGAAAAATAACATATTTTGATAGGCGCTTACGGCTGACTGTAAGCATGTTGCCTTACAACTAAAAGGTCATTCGCAATAACGAAATCAAGTCTCTACGCTCCAGGTTATATGTATTGATGGAATTTAAAAATGTCCTATGCTGGTGCACCTTGACTTTAGTATTAAATGAATTGTAATCCGTCTAGTTAACAAGCCGCCCCGGCGATAAAAACAATGAGATCTAGTCAGACAGAATGTTAATTTTCCTCATGGATGGCGGCCGAACTAGTTAAGGATCTGAAAGACGCCCGCCACTGTTTATGTCTACCTGGCGACAATCAAATTCGACAAGTGCGGTACAGTGTCCACTCAAAGGGCGCAAATCAAGCGGGTGTAGCACGGTTTATGTGGTCATCCTTTGCGAATGGACTGATAACATCAAAGAAACCGGGACGACGTTTACATGACTTTCTATCATGTCTTAGGTAAACACATTTGCAATTCATTAGGCTTGATGAGCTGGTCTGATGCCTAATAATAAAAGGGAATCTCACACTTCCTTGTTACTTGCCGAATACAAAAGGTGTTTTCGAAGGGAAGTTCTAATTCCTTTATTTGCAGTTACGGAGTATAATAGCATTATCAGATTGATGTATCGATTCAATCGCGACCCTTCTTGAATAAAAAACGAAGAAATATCCTATCGACAACATCCATCTGGCAAGTGCATTTGAGTTTTAGTTTATGGACAGAGGACAGTACGTTGCACCAGTTGTCTGTCACCATTCTTCGAAACAGATAAAATTTTAAAAAGTTACCATTGTTAACGAATAAAAATATCAGCAAGTAAAGAAATACCACGTTGTATCCAAGTACGTATATCAAGTTTTATATCCAAGTACGAAATCCCCTCTTTCTAACAATTTGTAAACAGATTATGTGCTAATAATCGTGATAACAATACTGCTGTGGAATATTTGTTATACCCAAAAACGATACTTTTACAAATATTTTACAATTTGAGTGGTATTGTAGCACACTAGCACTATTGAATTACGACTGTGGCGGTGTACGCTTCTGCTTGGCGCATAGCGCTTACTTGCGATGCTGCCTCACGGAGATGTATTCAAAGGTCACTAATTCAATGGCTTACCAGGCGCGGATTGATGAGTATTATGGTATCCAGTTTTGCGAACCCATTCCATTCCCTCCGGTTTGGAATGCGCTGAAACAGAGGACACCTTGACGGCGCCGGAATGATAGTCGGAGGCATTTTTCGTTGGCCCCGAAAAACTGTCATTAGCCGTGGAAACCGTGGATGTCGAGCTAACTGATGCCGCAGCGGCGGATGCGTTCAAAATTGAGTGCGCTGTTTGTGACGGTTGAAAATGGTGGCTAAGCAGAGTCGGATGACTACAAGAATTTTGTAAAAAATAATTCGGTTGCGAATAAGAATCTCCTCCGGTGGATGAGCCGTGCGAGGCCGGTGATGTCCTGTACGTGGGCGAAATCAACTGGCTGGCAGCGGTAGTGCAGTAGTTCGCGGTGGAATGCGATGTGGCATTTGAAATATTTAAACTGTTCCACGAATCTTCAACATGCAGTGTGGACTGCAGGGGATTTCGTGAATAATCGAAGGAACACGCCAGTGCCTGGTGTGGTGCAATATGCTCGCTGGGAAGAATATTTCCACTGGTGTTGTATTGTGGAAAATCATAATGCGGGCTGGTGTTTTGGCTTCCGGTGTAGGCTGCCGCGAAGGCATTCTGCAGTGAATTGTAAGCAGGATAGGCTGATGGATGCGGATTATGCCGAGCGCCAAACATGGGTGAATATGAAGTCTCGACACCGTAGTATTGTAAAACCATGTTTGAGTTTTATCACCCAAATAAAAGGTTGTAATGTTAAATGATATCTTGCGAATATCGCAACAACTATCTGCTGTGTGACCTTTCCGACGATTTGCTTGCGGGGCACGATTACTAATACATCTCAGAGCAATGAATGGTGCGATATTGAGTTTATAAAACCCTTAGCTTTCACTGGTGCCACCATAAAACGCTATGTGGAATTTTGCGGACGGTCTTGATTGGTTGGTTAGGGCTTTCCTACCACTGTGCGATTGCAGCGTGCGTTGGCGCAGTTGGAGACGAAGAAGGCGGTCGAATAAGCTGACGATGGAGAGCGCCGTTGGTAGCTTGTAGCTACTACTAGTAATGACTGCCGTCTGACCAGCTTCCGCAACCTGAAGACGTAAACAAGCATTTTTACTGACCATTGCTTCAAAGTTAAGCTGAATGAAATTTGACGAAGGAGTATATTATATCATAAAAGGTAAAAACATACTGATAGTTTGAAACATACTGTAGCTTACCATTAGTAATGGTTAATTTCATATAATGCTTTAAACATAGTAACATTCAAACGATCAGTTTTCAAAAATATTGCAGCATTTGTAGACAGTAATGACCGTAACTAGTGAAAGCCAAAAACTGTTAATTTGTTATCCGCACGTCGATGCATAAATAACATTAGAAACGTGCTAGCTTTGATATTCGAATTACCAAATCATAACTAGTTAATACCCATTAAAATATCAGTAGCGGGATCGAACAATTAATTTTAGTAGCGGGAGTGTACAATGCTACGATTGCTATGTACAGTATAACACATTTTCAGACTATTCTTTACATTATCGTGCGTATGTTAAATCGTGAAATTGACTTCTTACATGTTGCTCTTATACATTCACAACAGAATTGTTTGTCCAGTTAAACATCAAAGTTACGGATGTTATTTTGTCATTCTATGTGCAAGTATACTTTCCATAGCATCAGCAGTTGAATATTAGAGTTGATAATGGTAATCATAAGTATTAACGAAAACAAGCTAAATAAGTAGCCCTTTTTAAAATAATACCTTTGTCCTTTATCAACCCAAACCGGCAGTTCTTTTTGCTTCGAATTCTGGGACAGGGTAGCTGTACGCAAGGTCACGGAGATCCCAGGCGACAACCGGATATTATTGTCAGTGCTTTTTGCTCCGGGATTCAAACTTGTCTATACGCAACGAAATGCTTAATCAGGAGTAGATCAAATAATCTGAGTGTACTAAGAAGCGCTTTATTAACGGTCACGATATCCGATCGCCAGTACTAGTGCAGTACTGAAGATTATGGAGAATAATTGCTATATACTTTTCATGAAAATTATTTTCAAATGAGCAAATCCAACCAGCGCAAAGTAATACGATAATATTACGCAATTAAACACAATAAAACCTATCAGCTTTGCAAAAAATATCGAACACTTCATCATCCAGCGTGAGTTTATTTAGAAAAATTATGAATCAGTATCTCAGCATGTGGAAAGATTATCAATATTATTTGGTGTGTTTTCGATTAATTTATCTTAGGAAAACCCAAATGGTTCTATTGTACTTGCCGGATATCACTGATAAGAAATAGAGCAACCTTATCAGGACGACCAAATGCGCGAGCATATTTTCATCGAATATTGGCACGCTGTCTGCGAAACTGTTGATTCATTTGAATTGAAATATGAATGACAACCTGGAATTAATGGTAGCTAGATTTAGCACAAACATACATTGCGCACCGGTACTTGTAGTTGTACAAACGTAAACTAACCACTTTTAATATTTTTACTGCCCTTAACATGCAGTAACATACGTGTTCAAATTTTAAAGGAAGCCCGCATCAATATACAATATACTTGCCGATCGAGCGGGTGTAGCTTCGTGTTTTGGCAACGAATTACTCTAGTTTTCAAATCGTGATTGTATCATTTAATCATATATGTAATTAGAGGATATGATTAAAGGATATACTGTACCACGAACGAATATCCTTTACTCATATCCTCAAAATTATTTTCGCACTTCCAAATTGGATATACAATAAAACTCACACCTTGTTTGTGTATCTGCTGCAGCTGTCTGCTGCAGTATAACATTAACTTATTGCAAAATCTGTAATAATATATTAATACGACATCTATCTAGCTATAGCAGTTCGAAGAATATATATCCAAGAAATCATTCTTCGTCACCAGCAACACCAGTTATCGTATTAAACTGCACCCTTCTTGCGATGATGTATCAATATTATCGCTAGCGCTAAAATAGCGGCAACATTTAGAGTGTCTTAAAGTACTTGCATTTATTCTCGAACAAGGTCAGAGCAAAGTGCCGAAAATTTAGGTAAATAAAAAAAAACAACGTTTATTGCGATACAGTCTCTACCCAGGCCGGAAGTCGTGGAATTACTGCCAGAACATTATTCTTATAGCTGCGTGAAAACCAGGACAGTATTAATTGTTCATGTTCATACATTTCGAACTTATATATATGCTTCCTTCTTCCGTCTTATTGTCGCTTAGTCTCCCGACATTAAAGAAAATTAACGTTTGCTTGTTTCAGTACAGATACTACGGCGTAATAGTAATCTTAACGTGTTGTACATAAAAAAATTAAAATGAAGGCATGGATTAGTAGTTTTATCTTCGCATGCATACGGTTAATCCAGCCAGTATCTGTATGGAGGTACGAAACAGCCGGTGATAAAATAATGGTATTAAAGGTATATATGCAAATTTTTGGCGTTGCTATAAATAGTGAAATTAAGTCAATAGGACCAAACCAAGTCATTTGTAATTCGTGCACGTGCCACTAGGCCGTTTAGTTGCGTTTCAAAGCAAGCCGCGGTTAACAAGGAATAAGAGGCCAAAATAGCGGAATGATTAGTGTCCCAGTGCCCAGTGCTATTCGAAATTTCTCCATTTCCTTGTCTGATTACGCATGCGTAGAAATTACAGATGGAAAAAACAAAACCTGTGCTTTCTTCATTTCGCGATAAAAATTCCGCGCAAATTATGTATGTAAAATTGTAGCGAGCGTGCTTAGAGTTCGGCAAGGATTTACGTAAAAAGACAATTAATTGAAAAGCTGCTCAGTGTCATAGACGTCAGATGTTACTGCAAGTCTACACAACTTGTGCAAAATTTAGCTACGAGCAGTAGTGCTACTTTGTGTTTTCTGATGCTAATTAGACAGAAAAAGATGATTTAATGTCGAAAAAACCATCCAGACATTCGCATTCCGACAAAACAAAAATGCGAGTAAAATGACCGAAGCCGGCAGGCAACTGGTTATTTTTATGGAATTCCTTCGTGAGCTATCCCACGGCAGCATGAACATTACTGCCTGCTAGTGTAAATTCACAGCGGCTAAAAAGAAATAAAATTGTCAGAATCTTGTGGAAATAAGGTTTAGAATGACTGAGCCGCATACACCGTTTAACCATATCTAAATGAGCGGTGCCTTTCATCCAACGGAGCAGGTATATCCAAGGTGCAGCAGGACACACTATGTTTGGCATGTGTGGTCTTGCCGACCTTTTGACTATCAAGGCCGTAAAAATCATATTGGCGTCATTAAAATCCTTGTACTGCCGAACAGCCGGCGGTATGCCTGTGGCTCAACTTGATACATTGTTGCAGTAAATATTGAATGCTAACCCGCCAATATGTAAGTGCCTTCATGTACTCTGTAGAATACATAACATTTAGCCGTCGGATTTTAAATTAGAATATCGTAATTATTATTGAAATAACCGCAACATATCGGCAAAGTATCCCCGTAAACAATAAACAACATGCTAACAAAATTCGCACTGGCACATAATCAAATTGATAAATTTGCGCTTAGTGAATTTTTTCGAGTAATTTTAGTTGCATCTATGGATGGATTCTAAATTAATGGATTCTAAATTTCAGTACGTATACAAGATTGGCTACATGTAAGTAGAAGTATATGTCGAAACATACCCTTGTTTTACAATTTTGTCTTACATGTTCACAATGCATGCACAAAGTAAAGCGCACAGCGGTCTTTTTAAAATATAAGGTGGCGTATTACTCAAGATGAAATTCGACTGCTTTGTTTGCTGCTGATGATGATGATATTATTCGGGTCCAAGCGTTTACGCCCCCAACTCGGTCCCATGATTAAAGTTAAAACAATGAAGCATGCCATATCTCTGGACTTCGGTCAAGCAGCGGAAAGCGCCCACAAAAATCTTACTTCCGGAAGCAAAAAAAGATTTTGCAAAAAATTGGAAGAAAAGGAACTTAGGTCGTCGGTTTGCGCAGAAAATTCGAGTGGAACGTGGAAAGATTGAGGTGCATGCGCTATACTTGCGTGTTGCGAATTATTATAATAAGTATAATAATAATTTACTAAAAATAAATAATAAATATATAATCCAGATGCATAACATGGTGCACGGCTGCCAATTTGTAATGTTGTGAGTGCCGTTTTATCGACAATTGACCTGGAAATCATTGGAACCGCTGTTAACCGTTTTGTGGCGCGGTCAGAAGGCATAAGGCATTAAACTCATGCCGTACTTGAGGGGATCACATCTGCAACACTTATTCGACCGGTAAAGCTCAAGCAACCGGCAAAGTTTTTTGCCTAGCTAAAATGGAAAACCTTTTCATTGCTCTTTTTTTGACACATGATGGTAGGAGTACTTTTGTTTGAATGACGGTGAAATTTTGGGGTAATTCTAGTTAACGTTACTGGAAGCGGTACCGGTGATGGTACTGGCACTGGTCGTGGTACCCCTTGTGGGACTGTACTGGTAGTTGCAATGGGACCGGTATTGGTTATGGTAGTGGTACTTCTGCTAAACAATTTTTGTTTTTCTTTTTCAAGGTTGCTATGGTTTCTCAAGCTATCCTGGGTTTCTTAAGTTTCAGATTTCTCCGGCTTCCTTGATTTTATTGAATTTCTTCAGTTTTTAGCTTTCTCAGATTATTCTCTCTGTGATAGATTTTTTATTTTTTTTAAATTTCCATAAATTTCTTAGCTCTCTTTGGTTTCATAGATTCCTTGGATTTATAGATTTTTTAGGTATAAAGCTGTAAACGGTAAATTATGTCCTGAACTTGAACAAAAAAGGATACGCGTAAAATTAACCGCGAAGCACACTTCTCCTAGCATTGCTATCCAGTTTTTTCTTGCTTAATGTTTGATACTGCACTTTAAATAAACTAAAAAACGTTAAGACGTTTAAATAAACGAAAACTGAAATTGAGCAGTATAGCAGAAGTACCACTAACCTAACCAGTACCGATCCCGTTACCACTACCAGTACCAGTCCCACAACGGTACTAGTACTACGACCAGTGCCAGTATCGTCACCAGTACCGCTACCAGTAACACTACCAGTATATGTCCAGTAACAGTAACGTTCACTAGAATTCACCCAAAATTTTGCCGCATACGCGTTAGTCTCGCCCGCTGTAATGGTGACCTGTGCAACGAAGCGAAAATCCCGTCTAACTTGTGCGCATCAAGGAATTTAGCATTGTACTGTAAAATGGCGATTTGGGGCCATCTGATGTGAAATACCGATCCTGGTGGTGGCGATCCAGGCAGATTACCGTTCACGTTTTCGAAACTCCCTTTGACGCTAAATAAAGTATTTCGGTTCGTACTAATAAGTTAGAAAATATAAGTTAATAAGATAAAAATGTAACGTGTTTGAAGATTTTGATACTGAATTTTTCTTCGTTTTAAAACCGATTGGGACTTCAGTCGTACGGAAATGGATCGGGTTTCTTCATTGGAAAACGCAGTTATTCATATTAACTGATCGAAAATCACAGATAACTGAAGTGCATATTGATAAATAGCGCATTCGTTGGACCTCAGAAATCAAAATTGAAATATTTTTAGAATAACAACTCAAACGAACGAAATTGGGGCTCTGTTTTGAAAGCTCTTGTCTGCGATTGCCGCTAGCTAAACGTTAACGCAAATAAAAAATTTCAAGCAAAATCAAGCATCACGGACGAAAAATGCCATCTAGTATAGACAGCATTTGGCAAATTGAGTTAAATTCGCGAAGATCGGCCCGCATCGTCTCGCGATCATCGTGCCATTCGTTGGTCATCGGACTGCTCTGTTTGGTCGTCGACAGACTTCTGATGCATGAGCGGCGGACGGCTGGAAATATCCACTTCGGATGCGGGAAGCGTCTTGGCTCTTATTCGACGCCGTTGGAGATTATCTTCCAGTTTCGTTATTCGTTGCTTGAGCTTCTGTTGCGAACTAGAATATTCGGCAAGAAGGCGAGCAAACCTGGTTTGCACATTGTCTACATCGACCTCGAGACGGTCAACTTTGTCGACGACATTCTGCTGCCGCTTCTCCGCTTCCCTCACCGCCTCTTCATCCAGCAAGCCGTCTTTCATGAGAATCTGTCGACCCCGTTCAATGAGTTTCTTTTTAGCTTCCGGATATTCTGTTAGTGCATCCCAAAGGTCGTCTTTCGACAGGCAAAACAAATCGGAATATCCAATGCTGCGGACGTTGGCGGTGCGGCGATTGCCGGTTTTGTTTCCCACGATGTTCAGAATAGAAATCTCACCGAAGACACTTCCGTCGCTTAGTGTGACGAAAATAGTTACACCGTCGTCAGCTACTACGCTCAGACGGCCGCGCTTGACTATGTACATTTCCTTCCCGATGTCACCCTTTCTACAGATGTAATCCCCCGGAGAAAACACCTAAAAAAGACAGAAATCCAAGTGTTCCATGAAAGCTTCACTGAGATCATAAAATCTAGCATTTCGAAAAGGAAATTTGGGCGAAACTCCCAATAACAGAGAAAATCGGTAAATTTACGGTTCCATTGCAATTCTGCGTGCTCATTTTCCTGTAAATTAATGATATTACTGTACATACATCCATGTATCCAAAACACCCACGACTTGGAGAATTTTTAAAGGTGTATAATTAAGCAATATCAAAAAATTTTTGTGATGTACGTTGATGTTACCTGCAGCTTTAGTTTGAGAACCAGCTCAACAAGAAGACCGGGTTCCACATCTTGGAAGATGCTGACTCTTTTCAGTGTGTCCAGATGAACATGCATGGCTATTTCCGCTTTCAGTTTATCCGGCAGTGACGACAAAACCGATTCTTCATCCAAAGACTGCTTGTTGGACCACAAGTAATCAAACCATTTTATCACCCGGTTTTCAAGCTCTTTGCCGACCTATGCAAGAAGTGTAACGTCAAGTTGCCATTTGTTTGTTAACGGTACCGGCGGTTGCGCTTACTTTACGGAACTCCATGTACTGCTTCACGCCGTCCATGCGATTCTGAAACTCGACCCGCGACGCATTCATGTTACTGATCATGCTGCCGACATTACCGACGATGGTGGCGAAGATCAAGACCCCAATCAAAAAGTCTATGATAACGAAGACATACTCCCCTTCCCGAACCGGTCCTGGTACTTCCCCGATGGTGGTCAGTGTCAGTGTAGACCAATAAAAACTCCAGACGTACTTCTGAATCAATGGATCATCATCATTGGTTACCGGCTTCGTAATATTAGTACTGTTATTGCTGCCGCAGCAGTTTTCCACAGGCGGTAGGGTCGTTGAATGAGTGAGTCCGTTCATGTGGGGTTGAATTTCTGGCAGTTTGTTTATCCGCCAGTAGGCGGCACCTGGATACACCCATGCATCGGACGCTAATCCAATCCCTTTACTGATGGCATAATACACGCAACCGTTCAGGTGAATAATGACGATGATGGTTAAAATCAAATTGCCGATGCGGAACGCCTGAAAAGGGAATAATTTATTTATTTTCTCGGTGTGTACACGAAGCGCAGAAGGTATTGATTTTTCTGCAGGGATACAGCCAGGATCATCCATACATTAGGGAAATTTGTTCGGGTTTCCGTGCGGTAAGTGAATTCCGATAACCGGCCAATGCGCAGTACTCGATTGACGCGCACTATTGGATAAGGGGCGGCCAGTCCGGTGTATATAAATGCGAGATCCGTCGGAAGTATACTGGCCAGGTCCATCTTGGAAGTGAAGCTTTTTACGTAAGCGCGTATCAGTTTTCTTGGTTCTCGCACTAGTAAACCCTGTTCCAGATGACCTACCAAAATTAATTAATATGGTGAGATAAGCCCAGTTGTATCACTAGAAGTACAGTGCAGTTTTTCTTCGAAGCTGTTAAGCGGGGGCGATCAACTGGATATGACATTATGGCTATAAGTATACTTACGATTAATAAAGACATGAATTCTGATGCGATTTTGCAACTTTTATGATTGTAAATTTAATACAGCACTGGCGACTAATAGCAAAACATACCCGTTAAAACATGCACCACCTGCAACAAAAAAGGACAGAATTATGATGAGTTTGAGTACAGTATCTGTAATACATTAACAAACGCAGCGGGTAATTACACCGTGCCATATTTTATACCGGTGTGTAAAAAATTCTTACCATATCCACCAAATACATAAAATCGCTGATGTAGTCGAAAACGAACCAAACAACCATGTAGTCACGCTGTAACTCATCGAAAACGGTACGCGGAAGAATTATCACAATATTGTAGATGATGGCAATGGAAAGAATCGCCAACCAACGGTAGTACGCGTTACTGGATGGATCGATAACCCACTCGGGACGGAATCTGCACATGTCAGAGAAACACACAATCGTGATGCACATATCCATTGTGAATCTTCGTTATTAAGCTTTTTTAAAATGCGGAGGCCATTTTTTTACCTGAATCCCCAAATCCGGAAATTGGGATCAGTTTTCGGATCGCGGTTGAGTACCGGTGGAGGAGGCGGGGCGCTGTTCTTCTCTTCGTCCGGATCTTCTTCGCCGGTAAATTGGCGCCGGAACCATCGTGCGCGGTGCTGTAGCCATACACGAAAATTAATATACTCCAGGTCGGATAGAAATGCCGAACACTGTTCATTACATATTGTACTGCACTCCACTTACGCGAATTAGACGAAGAATGCGGCCAATAATGCTCTGTGGTATGACATCCTGGGATAGCGGATCTTCCACATGCACCGGATCGTGCGCGGCTCGGGTTGCCGGGGGTGGAGCCGCAGATTTCTGCAAATTTATGCCGGTATTAGCGTTGTTAGTTTATGTGTGAAGAGTACGTCGTTGTTTCTTCGTGTAGAAAATCAAGCATTTTATGTTAATAAGACAGAAGCCTTAATTATTCACTCAAGTACAGTAAGTAATACTTACACTGAAATGAATATTTTTATAAATCTAGTCTGGCACAGTATACTGATATTTATAAATAATGTGAGATATGTAAATATCAATTTTGCATAGCGATAATTTTATTTAACTGCTGCTAATGTGGCACAAATAACGTCATCCTGCAGGGATTATATTCAGACGTACAAAAAATTTTATTAATTTTTTTAGCTGCTCATAATGCTCGCGCTTGTTTCACACTGTGATGGAGCAATAAGAATAATATGCCTATCCACCGATCGATGCCAACATGAATTATTTTCTATTAATTCAGCTCGCGTAAAATAGACATTTGACGTCAGTTTCAATCACATGCAATACTTCCGGTTAAAGAACTTTTATGCCGACATGCTCTTCACCCCACAACTAGGCAGATGCCAGATAAACGCAGACGACCGAAATAGCAGAATAACGCGGCGCATTGTGCAGTGCAACGTTATCACAATATCAAACTACCAAAATTATCATCCCATTCCTAACAATAAAAGAAACAAAATCTGCAGTTTATGCAGTTTGCTGGTACCTTCGCTTCTGACACTATGTAACGCGCAGCCGCACGACTGGATATCATGCGATATGGTGATCCTTTGCATACGAGCGACGGTTGTGGCTCATTGACTGAAGACGAACTCCCAAAATGATCTCGCATTGTCATAATAAAAATCGAATAAATCAAGATGTAAATCAAAACATATTTTACACTACTTGGACGTGCAATCAATATATTGCCGACGCGAGTGCGGGAGTTATATGAGGGTGCAGCGGCAATATGGACGTCCTTACATAAAAGAATGGGGTGCGTAGGGAAAAAAATCATTATCGTACCCATGCGTAAATAAGAGCGCTATGGGAATGCCAGGTTCGCAAAACCGTACAGAGTGCTCGGGATGCATTAATGGCAGAACCCTTATTACGTAGCGGAAATGTACCCTGGTGTGTGTACATGATCATATTAAGACAACTTTAAGACTGATCGCGATCGCTGTTAGATCTGACTACAGCTACCGATTACACGTTCAGTGTTGTAAGTTTTTGAAATTTGGTTTGCTCAAGGAATGGGGCCTATTGGAAGAAGGAGTTGCTACAGAACTAAATCGCTTAGTAAATTAGTTGGTTTTATTCTGCGCAAAAAAATCGATAACTGAATACTACAGTTGCGGTTGTTGCAATTGCAGACAGTGCTAATCGAATCGGCGAGATTTAAGAGTGCAATATGTGACTGGCCTGCAGTTAGCAAGCACACATATCACACATTACGTTAGCCGAATAGTTTACACTCTCCTAATGTGCCTAATTTGTGTGACTTCGTTTTGCGCTCAAGATACGAAGTGGTTTGTCAGACTTTTTACAGTATTTTTCTTTTTATTACATGAATGCAATTATAATGTGTCATAAATTTAGCATTGGGAGCATGGCGACGGAAGTTCATGGCGGCTAATTTATTAGTATTTGTAGTAAATATGTCGCGCGCAAACTGACCGGATCTTTGACGATTCAGTCTTATGGCTGCAAAGCCATATACAACACATATTTCTAGCGTAGAATGTGGATGCTTGTTCGGGTGTTCCCTGTCAACTCCGCTGCTGTTTGCATAATAATGCAACAGTACTGTAGAGTACAACGAACCAGTTTTTAGGTATGCATGACAAATTACCTCTCCAGTCCCGTTTTTTTGCGTGCCATTTGGAAGGCTTTTGCTTGTGGTAGGTTTGTCACTGTTGGTGGCCACGGTTGTTCCGTTTTGTGGATTATATTATCGAAAGACTCCGGTCACGGTAAAGGAGAATCGTAGGTTTTTACAGTCGCTTTTTGGGTCCAGCGGAAGTAACGGTGTGGTCATAAAATCCAGTCCAGATAGGTCGGTGTTAGCTATCGACTCTAAAAGATGCACGATTAATTACTAACGGATAAACAAACAGTTAAACAACTAATGTTCTTTTCATATAAAACATAAATTTAATGTCTTAAAATTTTGGAACTGTACGTAGCATCTTGTCGCCAAAATATTTTTCACTAAATAACGCCACTGCGGTGCCGAGTGGCTTTTGCAAATGCTTGAACACTAATATACCAGATAAAAAAAAATCCTACTCTTGGAAAAACTATTATTCCTGCTCTTGTAGATCTCGCAACTCTACAAATTAGCCACCAGTCGCGTGTGTTCACTTAAAGTAACGAAAGTTGAAATATGATAGCGTTCTTTCGCTCGCGCTGGGATTGGAAAAAACAAGAAACATTATCACAGATAAGTTATTTAAGTTATATACGTGTAATGGTAATTGTTACCTTACACTAATTTTGTAAAATCATAAAATATTCGATGGTACGTACAGATAGTTTGATGTTTTTGTAAGTCCAAAGATACAAAACACTAGTTGCCGTGGTTTGTATATCGATCTTTAACATTAACTACCTTTCGATTGAATTATGTTAATTAATGCTTGTTTGGCAATAAAATTCTGGGCCTTACTTGGGATAACCACGGAGAGGCGACGACAAGCAAGCAACCATTTCAATTTGTAACACCATGTTAAGAACGTTTATGAAATAATTACCGTATGCTAAGGCATGCAGCATGCCCGCTATGGTAGATTAGTGGTGCAGGACACAAGAACAAATTGTATACCACTGGCGATTTAAAAAGTCGATACGAAACCGGCGTCAGGAATTTTGTAGGCAGGAGCTTATATCTCACGCAAATTTTGATGTAAATGGGATGCTGCAGCACCTTTGCACATGACGTCTGTATTCGCGCATCAGAAATCAATTTTGCACTACTGACTACACACTTTGAGTCATCTTCGTGTATGAACTATGAAGTCTGTTGAAAAGCGCACAAATACCGCTCATTCGCTGTGCCATAATATAAAGACGTGGATTATTTCGAATACTGTATGCATAAAGACGTGTTACGAAATCAAGCGAAAAATTAGGGATGGAAATACTTATTTAGCGTCGAACCTCCATCGTGCCTCGCACAGTAACAGCTACATAATATATTTTAAATTACTCAATAAGGCGAACACCTTCTTTCCGTCACCGCTGTAAATTAGGTAAGATATAGAGGAGCAGGGAGCTGCTCCCACTACTTGCGGTAACCCACGAAAATATTTTCTTGCAGTTTCGATTACGGATGGGTCTGGCCGAAAGTTAAAAATTTGAAGTTTTAAATCGACGCACGATATTGATGTGCCATAATACAACAAGACTGTACTGACCTTGATGACACTATAGGCAGTAGGCACCTTACTATATATCAGAAAACGGAAATTTAGTCCCAGTTATTCATGCGTCTAATTTATCTTTCGGTTTATTTTGGTTTGTCCTTTTATAATAATATAATAATACAATAATATTATTATTATGTACTGTTATAATATAATTCAACTATTCAAAGATGCAACCTAACAGTTAATTGTAAACTAAGCATATTTTATGCGTAATTCATTAAAAGCCAGCTCAGATGTAGCCTTAATTACGCTCAGCTTACTCGTACAAAGCTTAAAATACAATATATCAACATTCGACAAAAAATACGGTAGATTGGGACATTGGTTGACGTTAGTATGCCGGGCATCTGTATAATTATTAATTACATTATGCTCGGTTTTGCTCACAATAAAAGTTAAACTGTCGCATGCCAAAATAAGACTGGTGGATACTGTATACCATGCAATAACAATAAATACTGAGTCTGAAGTAACGGAACGGAGCAATGTTATAAAATGGAATACTTTGACAACATAGGTGACTTATCGTTGTCTAGCTAAGGAAAGCTATACATTACCGTGGAAAAAACAAATAAGACAGTAACTTAAAGGTGTTTTTGGTATATTTGCGCGTGAGAACACGGAAACAAATTAACAACACTAGAATTAAGTACAGTAACTCTGACAAGCAACTATACAACTCGGATAAACATAAGTAATGAAATTGGTGCACATATTAGTCCATTTTATAAAGGTTCGCTCAACATACTTAATCCTATACGAAAACAGGAATGATCTGCTGAACTGTTCAGTACAGCACGTTACGCCACCAGGAACAGCGCAATATGCATGTATTTGCTCAGTGAGGACTGGCATGCCTTAACTTGACCTTTACCTGTGTCCCTAATCGATCCGGATGCGGTGCCGTAAAGAGAGGATAGCAGTTCTGGATAATGCGATCCTGGTTCGCCAATACAGAACCATCCGCGCTATACACGAGTGAGTGCTTACATATAAACACTGACACCGTATAGAAAAACCTCAACCATAATCCCTCAATCAATTCAAAACGCAGTAATTCGCGCGTACAGCAATAGCATTAAAATCATAACCTGTTCAATTAAGCTATATGCAAATGAGCTTCCGTTTAATAGCTGAAACAATGAAAGTGGAATGGCACTGCAATATTTTCACCATGCTGCTCGGAGACGCCAAATAAATGTCGATAAAATCAATCATGTAAAACTTCCCGGAATTGCAAAATAAGTATTAGGTTTTCTAGGCAGAAAATCCTTCTGCGTTCTAATCCATTAATCGTAATGATTGGATGGCAAAATAGATAGAAATACGATAGAAAAAAGCGTAGAAGACTGTGGGTACAGAAATTCCTGTAGGTACAGCGGTTTCATGAAAAAGCGTTCAACAGCTTGTGAATTTATGATTGTACTGTTGAAGATGCACGGCGATCGCGATGTATCGACTCACCGGCTACCCAGTAGATATGGGCGGAATTGGTAACAACGTGCAGAAAAATATGGATGTAAATCCAGAAGCAGAAACCGTATTTCATTAATCTGATTGTGCACATGCACTGTATAATCATGCGGGTCTGCCTATGTGCGTACGAGAACCGAGTGATCGCGCAAGCAGCTTCCGCTGAAACTATGCACTGCATTCCCGAGCGTACGATTTAGCAGGCGTACACCTGCCTGTACTGCACTTCGCGGTTTGCGATCACAGCGCATGGGAAACCCAATCAGCTGGGAAGAAGCACCTACGAACTGCGTGTAGGTGTTTCTACGTCAAAATTTGGGGATACAACCAGTTAGTCGCTCTCCTGTGTGTTCACTCGCTAACTCGATATTCCATGACAGTGCAGCAGCCATCGTGCTGCTGGCCGTGTGCCGGTTTCTGGATATGCATGCTAAAGCTGTATTTATTGGACTCGTATAATTTACCGGGTAGCTGTTATGTATAGATAACTAGCTAGACAATTAATTTATAATACCTATATTTCAATTGTGCAGCCATCTAAAGAGCTAAGATATGGGAAACAATCTTGCAGATTACCAGCGCAAGTACAGTATCCGGAGTGGAATACTTTTCAAAACAGGTTTCATTCGGTTTTTCTCACTACCTACGTACGTCTCCGTACAAATGCTTGCTTTATGTACATGATAACCGATAGTCTTCTACATCATTACAAGTAGAATAAACATCATGAGACATGTACTTTAATTTATGCAAGACACGGTCAACAAGAACTTTTTGCAGTACATATGTACATTTACAAAAAAAGTCGGCAAAACTAGCTTGAGACAATTGTTGTACCTAATAATTGTACATAATAATTATTATCAGCTACTGGATGTGCTATTTGCATTGTTGCAACAACCTATTTGAATGCTGTAATCACTTTCGTAATCATAATCTCGAACTTACAACAGTGCCTGAAACAAAAATGAATTTGAATTACGACTAACGATTTTGAGAACATTTGATTTTTTTTAAAGATTTGTGTATCGACATCGAAAAGCAGACTTTAAAGATTAGTTTTAACCGTCAAGTAATGCGGGAATATGGGCAAAAAATAAAGCTTCTTTCGCGATATATACTTAATTAAGGAAAGCGCGATAATATTAATTTTGCGATTACATTAGTTTGAGTATTTCAGTTCTAAATAAACTGAATAAACTGAAGAAGACAAGCTGGATCTATTTTATTGTCGAGAAAATTACTTTCGAGTTTACCAACATTGGAGTTTACCAGGCTTAGTAATTCCAACCATTTCAAAATAAATCTTTTAGTTTTTGGCCATTCCAGAAGCGAAAAATAAGAAAACCGTCTACCGCCTGCAAAGGTAAAAAGCTTTTTCAAGTGTTCAAACCGTTGCATATAATGTTCGCTTTTGTATAACACTGTATAATATTGTACGTAATATTCGCTGTCCCCGATTATAAACTGCATATACAGTAGGCATGATTTTTAGTTTTTATTTATCAACAGTTATTATTTTTTTCTTTTAAGTTCTTTATTGACACCATCAATTACTCGTATATTCTGGCACAGTCGGTTTTACATTCCCGTATATAACACAGTTGTATATAGTGACTACGGTACAAGAAATCTGAAATGCAAAAACATTAACAAATTATGAATTCGTACGAAAATTCAATAACCAATAAACTGCAGAGTAGCAAAAAATTGCATTTGCTGCGCATTTTTTATACAGCGATTAATGCATGACCTTAATTCAAACTTTAGAGAAGACAAAATCGCCATCTTTCCCTGAAAGTAAACTATGCACAGTAGCGGCATTTTTTGACAATCGTCAATTAAAAACGTTGCAGATAGTGCGGAATTCGAAACCATACTTCCTCCTCGATAATAATGATACTATACTTCTATCGAATTTGTCCAGTGCTGTTACAACTTTGCACAATAATTACATAAGTTCCATAACGTACGTACTCTTAAGAACCATGCCGATTTAAAATAATCAAAATGCAATTTCAAAAATTAAGAACTCCTATTTAGATTTTTCGCAGTTTTCCAAAATTTAATGCGTGAATGTTCGCATATAAGGTTGTGCTACGTACTCATACGCTGTCCTTGCTGATTGGGAAATCGCAGTCGAGTGGATGAGTTATGATTGGCCGTGATTGTAATGGGCGACACCATGACATGCTGATGATATCGTGTTATGCTGTTTTCTCAACGTAGCAAACGCAAAAGATAAAAGGTCCATACGGTTAAGTTCGACTTTAATATGTCAAATTAAACCGCGGATTTCATATCCCGCTTTGTTAGTGCAGTATTTGTATTTATTATAACATCATTACACCGGTTCGGGGTTCAAAGTTTTCGCAGCACGTGATAAGAATTGTTTTGTATTTCCATGGCCGAAAAAATTTGTGCGAATTGTCATTTGGCAATAAGAGACCCTTTTATCATGCAGATGGGTTCCGAGTTTTGGCACGAAACATGCTTGACCTGCCAAGTATGCCGTGTGGTCCTGAAGGATTCTTGTTTTAAGCGCGATACTAAAATCCTCTGCAAAAACGACTACGAACGGTGAGCGATAATTGTCCTCAGGCCGATTAGCGTTTGTACAAAACAGTTTCTTTCTTAGCAGATTAAAAAATTTAGCGTTTATCTCTCCTTGCGTAATATGATATTTCATAATTGTTTGTGTTAACTGAAGTGTTTTACATCGCCTGTTATTATCAATTAAGAGTAAAATATTACAAGAATAACCATACATTTTTTACAACAGTTTTGCGTGTTTGAATCAGTGTTTTATTGTAGTCTGTTTTATGACCTTTAAAATGCTTACTTATAATACTTGTAATATTACGGTGACATTAAGCAGTCAACGAGTTTTGGCTGTCCTTGCTGTATGGTAATAGTGGTTGGGCTAACCTTTCTTGTAAAACTGATTTTTGGCGTACACGTTTGCAACACTGGAACTTCCGATGCGTTGTTGTATCTGCATAAATCTGAAGGGCAGTCAGGAAAAGACATGAGAAGTAGCACCGACAACCTCCCTCGTGCTCTTAGATTTTTATATGTGCTCACCATATATTCGAAAACCTAAACTTTTCTCCAAATTGTTGCGCACTGTGTAGTACAAAGGTATTAAATTGTTCACTTCAAAGGTTTAATGTACAAATTCACTTCAAAGGTTTAATTACAGTATATAACTGCTACTCTTTGCACGCTGACGCTGGCGTCGACGATACTTTTTAACAATCGTACGACTAGCAATATTAATATTGCTAGTCGTACGATCGTTAAATAAACTCATGATGAATTAGAGTTAGGTTACAAAAGTAGAATGAATATTCATTTTACTTTTAAATACGGTACCCAAAACGCTCATCGTATTGCCGCGCATTATCTGGAGCTTTTGAAACGTTGAAACAGAAACCAGTGGAGCTGTTCTCTGCGGTTCTGACTTCTGACAGACAACTTGTTGCCAATATTCCTGAGGAAAGACACTGCCCATATAGCACCATGTTCCCAAAATCTTTACTTTTGTCTGAAAACACTAAAATGATCGAGCGATTCGGTATTCTAGTAAATGGTGCAATACTTATGAATGTTTGTAAGAGTGACAACTAACTAATTATTAAAACTTTTAGCTTCTAATTTGGTGCATCTCGAACTTAAATTAACTACAGCTTGTTACGATATATAAGTCCAGATGCAAACAGAAGATTGGCCCTTTTCTTACAGTTTAGTTGTCTAATATAAGGTCAACCGAGTTCTACAAGCATAAGAAATTGCACTCTACATGCCTTCAGGTTGCAACAGAGCTGGTAGATAAGTACTTATAACTACTGCATTAAAATTACAAGGGAATTTTATGATACAATAGTTTGTTATTGCGAAGAAAAAGCAGTTCTAAAAATTTAGTAAGCGAAGTACCGCATAAAATATATTATATAAAATTCTAACACACGGAAACTGACTCCAGTTCATTTTGGCATATTTACAAACTACCCCAGAGTTGTCGAAACGGCAAAAGCTGATATACCATAAAATTGTTATACAAATATCATATTGGTCAGTATTATGAACTTATAGCGGCAACGGTAAATGAAGTCGAGCGGCGTCATCGCCTATTAGCAGTGCTTGGGAATAGCTCAAACACAAAAAGGTTAATGATGTTTGCAGTCGTTCATTAAGCTCATTAGATCTGTGGAAAATTGCAATCGGAAATGTAGAATGACTGTTTAGGAGGAAATCGAGCGTGCTGGCTGGCTGTCAGCGCTATCGTATGCATAAACTGCACACCGCTAAAGGTCACACCACTAATCGTTTCTTACACACTGTCGACACAGAGCCTCGTTTTCCAGTTGAACAGTTTGTAATGCCGCGATTTGGTGGTTGACAAAAAGAATGGGTAAACGTAAATTTTCACAGAGCGCAATCAAAACACAGACCGATGGTCATGATCCGAACACAGCATCCATCTACCCTACGGCTATAGTAAGCTGCTAGTGCAAGCGTTCCTTCTTCCGTAGTGCTGCTGGATGCACTATTTGGAAATTGTAGCGACACACACGTATCCGTGTTGACACGATGACGCAGTGCTTATTCATCCATTCAACTGTTGGACTGGCGACAGCACTTGCGAATTTAATTAAACCATTGCTACAGCTGCACGGGGTCATCACAACGGAAGTGCTGATGACTTTCTGGATCAGCTTGTAAGGACGAGTGAGTGTGTCGAAAATGGGAGAGAACAGGAAAGACCAGATTCAATATTTTACAGAAGTGCGCCCAGGCACACACATATGCCGATCATAATACGCTCAGCCTGGTTTACTTTCCTTTTAACGACAATTTTTATTGACAGTGGTTTGTTTCAGTGACTTTCAGTGGATGCTAGCTATAGAAAGGAATTTTCAAGTGGTGCAGTGTATTTCTCCTCGCGTCTAACATCGAAATGGCTGGTGCAACATCTGCGCGAAAATTCACACTATACAGTATTGGTAAACACAAATTAAAACCCACTGTGTGCATCATAATCACCGGCATTAAAACGAACTCTGACAGACAAGTAGTGGAAATTAAATCACGATGCAAAGGAATGAGAGGGCATAATATACCACCCACCGCCCATAGCAGGATAGCGGGAAGCTGTGTGATCAACTTATCTGCATTGCCTATCTTCCATATGGCACCGCACAATTAAACATGACTCAAAGTGATTATTGGCACTGCAACCAATGTTGCGGCTGTTTTAAAACCAACTCCCACGTTTACATCGAACCGTAATCCATAAAAAGGTTTATTCGGTGCACACTTATTTTCGTCTATGGACAAAATGTTCTAAACAGAATTCAGTTGCCAGTCTCCGTGAGCACTCTGTACTTCATTTGTAAGAGAAGTATAGAACCGCATGTATTAAATTTAAGCTAAAATAGCCAGAGCAACTGCAAAACAGGCATGTCAGAATTACCAGCTTAAAGATGTTTCAGAACTTCAAGAAGTATTACGAATTCATATTTGTATACCGTATAGCAAAAAGCCGTTTAGCACGTGCAGTGTATTGGCGGTTTTGTTGTAATAGATTCTTTTTAAGTAATACAGAAGCAATAAGTACTGATACGTCGAACTCACTATACTTCGTACACCATATTAGTTTTCTAGGCCTGATCGTAATTCCGTGCGTAAATGCCCATGAAATCAAGTATCATTTGACTATTCAAAGTTCTGATGCTTATCTAGTGCTAATGGCATCTAAAATGCAGCAGCTGCTTACAATATCGTTTGAACTTCCACGATGCTAGATGCATTCGCTACTCGTATAAAACTTAGTGGAGCTTAAAGGACTTCTGTGTGCAATTGACGAGAGATAGCTGATAATGCGTGACATTGTTAAAAGTAAAATTAAGTATACTTTAGCTATATGTGTATCCCCTGACTCCTTCGAATTATCAATACATTATCAATAAATAATTATAATAATCCATACTTGATTCATGCTATACCGGCGGTCTGGATATGTTACCACCGCCGGTGTAATACTGCGGCAAGGCATACAGTATATGTAATTTACAGCCAGATTGTTCGTGTATATGTTCGGCACAGGCGGTGCTAAAATAAAACTTAAAATTCTTTGTAGACAATAGTTGCAATGCACTCTTTTCTCCGGAATTTGCAGGTTGTTTGGCATAAAATGTTCGGTATGTAACCAGTTGGTGCCAGGACGGGAGTTAGTGATGCGGGTGCTGGGAAATATCTATCATCTACGGTGTTTCATGTGTTCCCTTTGCGGGCGATCGTTACAAAAAGGGGATCAATTCATAATTCGCAATGGACAGATCATATGTTCTATGGACTTTGATAGAGAACCTATACCGTTCCAACAATGCGTTGCATTCAGCTCGGTTCTAAGCTGCATGGATAAGCTTGCTGGTCAGTACTTAAACTTAAATGTATGCGGTAATGTCCACTACAGTACCCATTCTGTTGAATTTGTATCAGCGCAATTACAGTATGCAGTATGTCATATGGCGTCCCTTCAAACATTTTTAGGTACAGATGAAAACATTCTATTGATTTCACATCCTCACACTGCTGCGGATACTTCCCGACGGGGCCCGAAACGTCCGCGAACAATCTTGACCAGTCACCAACGCCGAGCATTTAAATCTTCGTTTGAAGTCAGCCCGAAACCTTGCCGGAAAGTCCGTGAATCACTGGCAAAGGATTTGGGTCTAAGCGTTCGCGTTGTTCAGGTGTTGCATTACGTTATCAACTTATAATTTGCATTTACTTTTATTGAACAAACGGGCAAGTAACCTATTACGAACTAACTCGTATTGCAGCATGGTAATTTAAAGCTTGCTATGTGAAAAAACTGCACCATACGGTGATATGTTCAGTAGAACAGGACAAAGGATTAACATTTAGACCGAAGAAATTGCCTTATCATGAAGAGAGGACCTCTCTTCAACTGTAGTTCACAATTTACAGCACTTGCACATGACTACGAGTAGTTGTTTTTTGATAGGTTTGGTTCCAAAATCAAAGAGCTAAGGTAAGTTTTTTATTATTATATTTTAAGTATTTTTGAAACCCACGTTTGCTACCATTTTCCAAATCATTATTATTATCTTAGAAAGTTATTACAGAATATTACCGTTACCGTTACAGAACATACTGTAACATATCTCGACTAAATGGTCACATAAGACCTGCGTGCTGACTGCGTGCACCCAGATAACCTTACCATTAAATAACTAACTATACCTGCCCTTCGTATTTTTATTTTTGTTTTACTTGTTAAATTCTTAAATAGATAAAGAAGCTGCAGCGCCGTCAGCAACAAGTGCAGCAGCAGCCGAAATCCGGGAACAACGTGGATAAGGATGCCGACAGTGATGACGACAGTATTTCGATCTTAAGCTCACTGGACCTGGATGATCTCAAGTCGGACCCGGATAGTGAAAAATCTACCTCAAGGGAGATAAAAGAACACAAAGCCAGCAAAATTCCAAAAACTGCATCCACAAAAAGTATATCCTGGATTGAAGTGATTGATTTGTTATATATCGTTAAACACAGCTGCAGCGCAAATTTCTATAGCACTTATCTTATGAAATGCAATCTTGTGAATTGCTTAAAACAATCTTATGAAATACAAAAGTTTTTCTTTATTAGCGCGTTTCACCAGGTTCTGCTTTCCTTATCTTTAGAATCGCGAACTTCAAAACGGTCGGGTTTCGTTGCCGACGAGAATGCCGGTACAAAAAAGGCCGCGCGAAAACCGACCGGCTTTTCACTGGATTCTTTGACCTCACTGGCGTTATCTCCAAGTGCCTCCACTATGGAGGACACTACGGAAGCTGATCTCTTGAAGGCTCTACAACGCCGTTCCGGATTTGACTGTAGTTCGAGTAGCTCGGATATCAAAGGACACGAACTGAATCCTATTGACAGCCTGTATTCCATGCATTCTTCTTATTTTAACTCTGAATAATCGCAAAAAAACTGTTGACCTTTAAAAATTTCAGTGCAATGTCCGAGTTCATTTTTTGAGAATAGTCTATCGTTTTAACTGTCGTTTGTTTTGTAATGACCATTTTGAAATTGTGGATCTCAGGAGGGTATACGTACATATATTTACTTGCAAAAAAGTGTTGCTATTTGAGTTCTACTGATAACGGTACATTCTTCAGCAATCGTGTGTATATATTTGTATAGAAGTATGGGTAAAACGGCAGAACTAAAAACACCAAGCAGAATATTATCATATTCTATCAATTTCTCCTCATAGAATTTTCAGAATTTTCAGCAGTAGATTTCTTGACCTGTTCAAAAACAAAAGAAACTACCAAAGTATCAAAATCAAGTTTAGACGTAACTTGTGGGTGCGATTTGTTAACTGCCGGTTACGGTTTTTCTGTACACCGAGCAACACTATTGCCCAGCATCTGCTTTTGTAGTAAACAGTCCCCACATTTTCGGGCTCGCAATCGTAATAAATTAGATTATGGTATAGTTTCGGCATGTACAGCTGGCAAGCCGGCTGGGGAAGTACCCTGTGCCCCTTCCGTATCGAGTAGAAACAATTTTCTTTCGATTTGCCAAACGATTTGTCGATCGGTTTAGTATTGTCATCCGGTGACGTCCTTGCGCAGCACTTTAAAAATATACGACGATGCAGAAGTTAAATACTGCCAAGTTACCAACAGTCGGAGTAAACATAGCCGTTAATTTTAATTTCATATTAATTCATGAGAACACAACGAAGAGTAGCATAAATTATAAAGGCCGGCACTTAGAAGTTAATTTTAAAATATAAACTGTAGAAGCGCGTTGGTTCTAAATTTTGGCAGATCGTATTGTACAGAGTACCAGCGTATCCATGCGTACTTATTCCGGTGTCAAACCGTGACCGGCAAAACGTTTGCGTAACATAAAAGAATTACGTATAGATATATCGTTCCGCTGCAGCATTTGGTAATTATGAATCTGTGATATTTTCTTCTATGTTGTTTCTATCAGAAAAAAATGCAACTACAAACGTCAGAATTTTGGAAAAAAGCAAAATTACGGAAAAACTTTGTTTATTTTTTATGACAAAAAATAGGGACGTACAATGATGACCAAGTCGAATTAATGGCGACGGCGTCATTTTACACCGTTAAAACCGAGCTCTCTTTTTCAGTGTTTTTACTCGTTACTCACAATAATTGTTTCTGTTTACTAGTCTATTGATTTTGCTAGCTGACTCATCGGATACGCTTGACAAACCGTACCAGTGTCTATCTGTAACTGCGCTACTCATGCAATGCGGCATTTGCACCGAAAATACCAATCATCGTATACACCACACCTTTCACCTATGGTGCGATATATTTTTGGCGCAGTCCAAAATTTGAAACCTGCTTTGTTCATTTATCCTCAATTCCTCATCGACCGGTATGCGAACTCTTTAGCTGCTCGAACAAATTCCAACTACGACAAGTATGCCTGATGTATTTATCTATCAATACATACGGATACGATATGCACATATGAATTTGCATTGTTTCCAGTTTTGCTCTCTCTGCAGCCATTCTGCTCCATTGTTGTAAAGCGGAATATTGCTGGCCAACTACCTTTACAGTTCACTTTACCAGGCATCATATGCAGAGCGACCACTGACTGTAAGTGTATTGTACTTTCATCCATTTACAGACTAACGTTATTCACACGTTTAAAGATTTGTAGGCTTTTCTGCTAATCTGTTTTTCCGTACTTTACGATACCATATTCCGAATTGCTTCTGGACAGCAAACACTTTGTGCTTTCCTGCGATAACAAGTTTTGTTCGTTTGGTCCGCGATCAGTGTTATTTGCTTAACGTTATCGGGTATTCCGTTGGGCTCTTCACATTTTGTTAGTTTGAAACTTTCCAATACTTTATGGGAAAAATGTTACAGTGGTTCTGGAGCCGTATAATGCGGACATGGATGAATAAACTAGCGGAGATGGGTCACTAACTACGAGTGGATATCTCAATAACGAGCGCTTGTTGATAATTACTCTATTTGAAATCGCATATTCGATGGACTTCATGGAATTGACGAAGGATCCCCAGTTCGTGCCGTTGCACGAAGAGGAACTGGAATTTTTCGTTGACCTGGCTGTGAATGAGTCGCAGCGGTGGATTGAGGTGAGAGCAGTATATTTATTGTCTATGAGGACATTGGAGGTGTTCAAGTATAAAATAATCCGAGCTCGCACGCGTATGCATACTTACTTTGGAAATGTTCAAGCATATTTGGTATTTACTTACATGTTTACACTATTCTGTTTATATGTACCAATTATTTTTCCTCAGTACATGATAGCCTGAGCCTGTGGCATAGTTAAAGCTACGATTACATAAAACTTTCAAAAATCTGTCAGCGAAAAATTATGGCTACGCTGGAAATTTGCACCAGACAGAGGCACAATTGTCTGGTAAGAGCGTCTGATAAGATAATTGTGTGTTGCACGGTACGGTTGGCTGTTAAGCATTCTAAAGTGAAATATGCCGTCAGCAATACATAGTACTAACGGTGTGTAATTTCGACGGGTAGTATTTTTGAAATGTACATTCGCTCCCTGCGGAGCGTAATTTTTGGTTGGCTGCATAAAAAAATATGAAAATTCATTAAGTGTTTTTATAGCGTTATAAACATTCTCCTGACATTTTTAATCAATAGAAAATTAGCATCACTTTATGACATCGGTAGTTGCATCTTGCGTTCGCTTCGTCATCCAGCAAGTAAGGGACTATTCAAATTTCCAAAGTTAGGTTTTAGATTTTCCAGGTTTATGGTTTCGGTTAGTCACGTGAGCTGTATTTGGTTTGATCCGAATCTTGACCGATTACCTCGGGGGATTGCATAATTATAAACCGCTTAGGAATCACTAAAAATTATGGTTAATGGGTAGTCATCTTGTTAACCCCGATACTACCGCGCATAGGTGTGGTAATAATGCTGTTCGATGTAAGATGGTTTTTGACCTCATTATTTTTTATTTCATCGGAACATCAAGTGCAGACGATTATATCCTTGTATGACAAGCTTGGCGCCGCACCGATTGTTAAGAATGGCGTTTAAAAATTGCTAAATGTAGGAATTTCGTACAGATTTACTGTCTCATTTTTTTCTGGGAAAGATCGTTTTTTGAGGTTGTGGAGCAGATGAAGGTATTACGGTATTACTGTACTTTTAAAAATGTGAACCATATACTGTAAGCTAGCATTTAAACCTTTGCACTCTATCGCACTATGGTCTTATAAAAGATTTTAGCATTGATTTTTCAAATTTTTTTGCATGGTTATTGTATCTGTAACGTACAATTATAGCACTGCTAACGGGTCCTGGTATCAGTAGCGCTGTCCGGACCGCCAAAGTTAACCTGGAAGTGCCATTGCGTGCTTGATTTTGTAAAATGAAAGTGGCAATAAATCTCGACAGGTCAGCGGTGTGTAAACCGGTCCAGCCCTATGATTGACACTGCTGAACAATTTTGTTACCAGCAAATATCGAATTGCTCAATGTAGTCTTAAGGAATTCTTAACCTCCGCTTACCGCTCATTCCTTTGACATGTAATATCTGATCAAGTTGTAATAATATGTGTTTTACCCATCGTGCATGATCAATCAACAAAAAAGAACGGTTGCGCTTGGTCGAAGACATGATCTGAAGAAATGTAAAGCGTTGATCTCGAGTTGCGGTTTGCATTGATTTGTTACCGGCGTCTGAAGATTCTTGCGGACGGAGTCAGCTGTGATGCTACAATGGCCACCGCGCTTGTCACTACGCAATTGTCTAGTTTCGTGGATACGCCGTGTACTCGTACCAGTTGTAATCTGACAGATATCCTGTAATTAAGAACAAAAAATTCTCACTCGCCAGATATGTTGGCAGTTTTTTCACCAACACTAATTGCGGGCTACATGTCTATCGCAAACAGTCACCTGCCAGCTGTACTGCGATCGTGTATAACTCGCCAAATTGACTACTAAACTAAACGGACTGCGGTTCAAGGACAGTCCTTTGACGTTTTCTGCTGGTAGTTAATAGTGGAAACAACACGGAGGGTGGAATCTGAATAAGCAACTTCCGGTTGTTAGTTTATGACTTGTAAACAAGAAAACATGATGATGCCATCATACCAGATGCAAGTGGCAAGTGTCCCCACAGGGTTTATACGAGTATATATGTAAACTCACGTTCCTGCATATTATTTAAAAAATTAAAGTAGGTGATGCTGGTGCAGTAAAAGATGCTGGGCGTACACCGCGTTGACTCTTCTATGTGCCAACATGGTAGCGTTGGTCAGAAGTATATTGGCGCTTACTGTGCATGTTGTGGAAAAATTGACTATGCAGTATGTTTAGTGCACTGTTTAGTGGTTGTAAGACCTGAAAACAAGGGTAAAATTTTGCAAAAGCTGCGAAATCAAAATACTTGGAAATCAATGTAGAAGTACCGAACCGAATTTAGGAGTTCCCTGGCCACAGTATTCCTTATGCTCAAAGTACAAAGCTTAAATAAAGCGTCAGTAATCCCATAATTCGAGACTGTATATAATATCAGATTACTATTAGCTACAGCCTACAGTAGAGTACAGAGCCTGTAGATGCGCTATTAATCGTATGTGCGTAATTGCCATTATAGGTAAATATTGCTACTTATTTTAAAAAATGTACTTGTATGATATGAACAAAGACCACTGAATAGGTAACCAGTTATAAACAATTGACGCCCGATTCTTTGCAGGCCGTGACAAGAAATAAATTTCGGTCTCCTGACTTCCTGGAATCCTTAGAGGATGGTGCTCTTCTGTGCGAGTAAGCATCTGTACTACAATACAAAGCATGGTTATGCAAAGAGGCACAGCCGGACACGTAAAACCACGGCTCACTCGACATTATGTCGAGTAAATACTATATAGTATTTATTGTACATAAAGCGATAAAACAAAGATTCATATTGGCTTGCTTGTTCTTAAAGTAATGTGGTTATTAATATTAATTAAAGCGGACATTATGGTATATGCTCATCCTTAAAAGTTAACATGAAGTAATTTTGCCTCCCCATGGGCGTCCGCAGGTTGTTGGAGACGATTTGGCCGTGTTATCTTCGGCTGGACGACGGAAGTGACGTCTTATACACCAGATTATATGGGCAGGTACGACGGTAGACAATTAATAAACAGACTTGGTCCTCGGAGTGTTTTTCTTGGCAGTACGATTAAATATCCGAGTCGGCTTATATCTCAATGTACATAATGATTAGCGGCGTGGAATAGATTTTGGCGACTTAAATGCAGTTGGGTTTTAATCGTAGCGGTTTTAATAGTAATCAAGTGACAAGGCTAAGGCGTTCATAACGCCGACATGAACAAATAGCCGACGAACTGATAAATACTTAGCACTTAGAAGTGCGAGCTTCCTTATATTTTTCCCAACTTTTTAAAACTATATCTGATCACTTTTTTAAATTTCAGAACATTCTGTTTCGGGTGAGTTATCTTTTGAGCAGTTCCGCTGCAAACTGATGCATTGATTTCTTAATATTTCTCGCCTAAGTTCGATTCAAAAGGCATAATTCACTTTCTGTCTGCTTTTACGTCAGCCTCGCATGAGGGATTGTTGTTGAAAAGCAAAGTTGACCTTGGCTTTTTGAAGAATTTCTGGGGTGAATTCGCTTTTTAAGCGCATTCTATCAGATCGATAAAACTGCACAGGCGGTACTACCGTACCTGTTAAGCCAAAGCCGGTTAAGATAAGAATGTTTCCTTTTCTGTAATATTTGCCTTTATATGATATTTTGCTAGCTGTTTGTACACAATGCAAAGCAAAATGATCGTAAGGGGCGGACTCGGAATGTGGTCAGTGGTGTGGGCTGGCATAAACCGTATTGCAGTGGATGTGAATCGCCGATTTCTGGCAAGGTGTCTGCAAGGTCTACTTCTCCACCTGATTTACCTTTCGACTGAACTTCCTCTCTCTGCCATCCGTAAACTGGACGGACGACTTTCTCGTATAACGTCGATGATAAATAGCTTTCTGCAGCAGCGTTCCTTTAACGTGAACAATGCAAGTCAGCCTGAGCTAGTTTGGTATTTACAATGAAAAATGCATGCCTATCCTTTATGCAGTCTAATAAGTAGTTGAAAGCGGTTCCATATTTACCCTTGTACCAGCGTGGATTTTATTCCCTACCATCTTTAAAACGTAATCCAGTTTTGATGCCTGAGTTGTCGTTACTCTCGTCATCGGATTTATATCGCCATCCAGAATTTTGAGCGGTATGTTGTTGGATCTTTTTTGGGGACAATCAGTGCACGGCGTCGACATTTTGGTAGAACGCAGTGAATACCTGCAGTAGGATTTAGGAATATCTGTACCTTGGTACTTGGCAGCCATCGGCGATTGTTAGGTGCGAAGCCATGTTTGTCCAGTTCGACCTTGCGATATCTTGAGAACCAGAGAAAAACTTAGGGCGCAAGTCTGGTGTCATAGCTAATTTGTTTCAGTTGATATCGTCATAAAAGTTGTAATCGCGAAATGTTGATTTCTCTTATTAGACGCTAGATTTCGCCGCGGGCAGTTTGTACTATGCGTTTTCATACGTTTCGTCTCAGAACTTAATTATAGGATGCCGTATTTTTTTATGGCTGCTTCTTCTCACCGTGTACATTATACATCTGTGTGGGTAGCACTTTTCGCACTTGTTAATAAATATGGCTTGTCTCAAGGGTGCTGCTACACTGATAATGTCTGTTGTAGCACTCAGGAGTGATAAGGTCGCAGTTTAATTACTATCAAGTACAGTCCAGAATGATGTAGTGGTATCCTTCAGTTATGACACAGTTTGTCTATCGGATGCGTTGAGCGGTGTATGAGAATATAATTTGCTATTACGTTTTCGTAATATGTTGTGTGAGGATGCTTTAAATGTTTGCATAGGATCACCTCTACGGCTTTTCACTTTGAATAATGAGATTGAATATTTATTTTGTTTTCTTCAGTACAACCTCGAGGCCTTTCGAGCGGCTGCAGAAAAGATTGGAATTGATCGCGACTCAATTTTTTTGCCTATACATATCCACGCACCGGAACGATACATCTGGTATGTGTTACTGATATTACACGGGAATAAATATTGCGAATAAATGTTATATACATAAATTTCATTTTGTTTGCGTAAATTAGTCTGTATTCGTTCTGAAGAGATCGCTAACTATGTAGAGCCCTATCAAAATATAAACATGACCACTGATCAGTAAGCATTACTTTGGTTTCCGTATCCGAGGTGGAATAGCATTTCTAAAGACTTCATTTTTTACGACTGCAACATTTACTGTGCTTATGTGTAATTGTTACAACATAGAAAAAGGACAATAACTCGCATCAGGCTGTGTTTGCTATGTGGAAAAGTTTGATTGCTTCTTATCTGCCATTATCGAATTATCGAGCAAATTGCTCGACTACATTCGTTTTCTATGTTTATCCCGGTATTGTGTTATTTTAAACAAACAGGGCATAAACCGTAAAATGGAGCAACGTCGCAGGGATTTAGGTTAACATTCTGAGAGTCATATTATTGACAGCAAGCAGGATAATTTGCAATCATTACGTTTTAATCAGTTGGGCGAATGTAAACGTACTGCGCAGTGCGCACACTGTGACCACAAGTTTCCATGCATTCGCTATACTACACATTGCGCGGTTCGCGGGAAGGTTGTGGTCAGTTAAAATCAGACAGCGCGAACAACCGGAAGGCCAGGCAGCGTTAACGCTTATATTGTAGCCGGGCCACAGATATTAAGGCTTATATTATATTCACTTGCTCATCATAGTTGAAATCGGTTGCGGATCGTATTTCGCGGCTGGAATTTTAATTCTGACTACTGACTCTTGATGGTCATTACAGCCCCATCGTCTCATTAGGCAGAGGCTATTAATATTGTTGGTCTCGGTTGCGATCGGAATAATAAACATTGGGTATTTTGATGGACAACGGACAAGAGGCCGGTTGAGTACATCTTCTCTTCAAAGCTATGCGTAAACCGGAAACGAACGTTGCATCAGCTGACGAAACTGAACCGGAAAAATAGGCTGATATCGTAGAGTAGTAGTGCGCTCATGTTTATGTTCGGACCAGCGTTTTTACGATTGTTTTATTGTGGCTGAAAAGATATTTCGGGAATATTTATTTATTTTCCTTTACAAAACACTTTTGAGATTTTGCTTTATGATGCGGTTATCAATCACGGAAAGCATATTTTTGGACGTAAATGCAGCGGATAGGGATTGATGGTTGTGGTTTATTTTCCGGCGGAACTGTCGTTAGTTAGCAAGAAATCTCTTTCCCATTTTGGACTTTTACTTGAAAAAAATAGGCTTGCCGGAAGCAGAATGCATGTGCATAAACTCTCAGATGCTATTAGAAATGACTTCTTCCTCATTGTTTTAGCTCCGCTGATGCGCAAGATGCCATTCAAGAAGCACTAATCAGAGTAAGTTGCTGACACGTGTTACCTGGTGTTGCACGGCGGTAGGCTTGTGATATTACATGTAAAATCACAGTGGCAGACGGCCACTACGTTCGCCTGTCCTGCCGAGTGTTGTGACAAGTGCGTTGAAGTTTTTTTTCCTAACTGGCATTTATATTCAATGGATGCGTTTACTCGTGTGTTGATTTGGCCCAGGTAACCGTAACCATTTACCTTCTCGGCTGGCGTGCTAAAGAGACACCCACCTATACCGGACCACAACTTGATCTCTCGGCCTTTACACAGCTCTATCAGCATTATTTATATCGACTGCACAACAACGCGGACACTTTATGCAATCAGGTTAATAAAACCTTTGAGGAAACCACAGCGGCACATACGGATGAAAATAGAGCACCGGCACATGATGAGCGGTCGCTTGGTAGTCAAGGAGTAAGCGAGGATATGCCGGGACAGTCGACGCTTGATCGTCGCAATGAGATGGATGATCCGCTGCATTTGGATTCAACGAAAAATATGCATGACACGGAATTATATCGGAGATATTACGCTGATAGTGTAGGATCGTGTGATAGTGCGTGTGGCTCATCCTCGCCGTCCATGGCCGAACCGATTCGAGGACTTCGGGATATGAACCAGAATTCTGATGAGGTGAGCCATTATAAACGAATTGTGCTTGGCTTATCCGTATATGTGTTTGTCCACAGTGTTTCAGTTATGCAGTGTGCGCATTTACCGAATGTCCTTTGTGCATTGAGTGATTTGTATCTCATGTCTTTGCTTTGTGCCGGTTAGTAAATTCTGGAGCGAAAATTGAGCCCGAAATTAATTTGTATTGATTCTACACGCATGAGCACTGACATTCATACTGCAGAATTTTTAAAAATTTTGTAAAATTAATTGATCTGATCACCATATGTTCAAATGATTATTTTGTAATTTTACAAAAGTCTTTTATGTATTACGTCAGCAGCGCAAAATTTCCTTCGTTTTGGTTGAACGTTTTGAATCATTATACTTAATTGTGTTGGTTTGAGTTAATTGAAATTGGTATTGATCGTTAATAGCGTATAGTCAAATGTGTGCCAAACTGCCAACCTTTATTTGACCAGTTGCTCGTTGTAGCGTTTGAACTGGTTCTTTTGTGTGCTGCTGTTATTTTTACGGATACTTTGCACAACAAAGAAAAGTATTGTCCCGTAGCTAGCAAGACGAGTGTGAAAATACTGTGCTTGCGCGGTATATTATTGTATTGTCATGATATTATACTTTGCGGGCTCCGGATGAATAGAACAGAAACACATTTCAATAACCTTCCGTCAATTGTTATGCAATGCTAATGTGGTGATCTGGTTAAGAGATCTGGTTTTTTGTGGTGTGCGTCCGATACGGCACTGCTCTGTGTGTATGCACTAACTCTGTATTGGGTAATTCGACATGCATTTCACGGTCGAAATGTTATTTGACCAGCTCCTGACCGGTGGTGCTACACGCTTGCCCAAGCAGCATTCAGCGCCGTGTTGTATCAATGATCCATTACAGTTCGTCAAGATAAAGCATCCCAGTGGACACACAGCGGTCTCTGTCATTGACAGCTACATGGAAGTGGATAAAATGAAGCAACGATTAAAGGAAGACGAAGCCGAATGGCAGCTGGTAGGACGACTGTTTATAGCTGCCTGTCTGTATGGAAAGGTCATTCGCACCGGTCCGTCTTTTCTGTTGGCAGAATCTGGACAGCTGGAAAAGTAAGCGGAAGAGCAATCTGCTTAGCCATGATAGTGATGACAATAGTGAACCAAAGGAGAACAACAAGCGCGATGTGAAGACGTTCCCCGAGATGATTGAGCGCCTGAAACGGCAGGGTGGGATCCTGGCTAGTTACTTGGATGATTCGATCAATGGTAAGTCAACGCACAAGTAGGACGATCCCGCTCCTTTCAAAGGGATTTTAATTCTGTAATCAGGAAAAAACATACCAGCTGATTTGGCGGCTGGGAATACGATAGCTAATGGGATTTTGTTCGCGCCATGTGAATTTGTTGTTCATTATCGGTTTTTGTCTGCACAGCTGGTTGGCAGGCAGTGAAGCGTTATGGTGCGGAAAAGAAATTGCATTCTTCTGACGAAATAGGCTTTGTACTTTCAATTTCTTGTGCAAGCGCCTATAGTGTGCTAATCGATACAAAAACCCGCCGCATCGGATCACAGATCTACCCTTAGGGCTGATTTTGCAGTTCACTGAGAATTGTAGTTGGTCAGATGTTCGTACGGTCTTTAAGCATGATTGCCGTATGAAAAAATCTCCAGTCGCTGCATTAATCAGTGAACGAACATTTCAGTTTGTCAAGGAAGAATTTGGCATGGCGAATGTTTTCTTATTAACGCCATCATAAGTAACTTTCGACGTTAAAATCAAGACATTTTGTGGTTATAGAAGATTTATCCGTTTCGCTTCACGACAAGCAAAATATGCCGCCATCCGATGAGCAGTTCACATCGCATATCAGCGATAACAGTGAAAAAGACTCCTCTTCCGGCATCAGTTCACCTCGGGTTCGTGAGTAACACTTTTCTTAATACACAGTGTCGAATTCAGGGTTGCTGATTCTGGATAATTTTCGTGGGTTTAATCATTTTATCTGAATATTCAGATAATCTTGTATTTCGTTAGCGATAGTACGTTCTTGTTGTAAATTGTGTTTTTGATTTCCCGGTGTTTTTTAATGCAGTCTTCGCGATCGCTGACCAGCACGTCCCCTCCGCCATCGTTGGCCGTTAAACAACTGGTGTCCAGCTTAAACGCCGCCAGTGCATATCAATCTTCTAGCCCAGCCAAACTATCTGCTCAGCCGGAAACTGTTACGGAATTAACCTCGAAACGGGTAGTTTATCTTAAACCTGTTGACGCCGCCAACAGTCAAGCGCCCGGAATAGGTTTGAAGAGCATAAATAATGTTATGGATCAAGATAAATCGTCACAGCTGGATAATTCACCAAAAAACCCAAATATCGAAACGACATATAAACCATTTGGTGAGAAACTGGCCATGTTTCGCAGTGCGCAGGTTGAAGACACTCCACTGCAAATTGATCCCGAAAAATGCAGGTATTATGTCAATGCTTTAAAAACTTTAGACATGAATTACAAACAGCGAATTCTAGTGAACCGAAGACAACAACGAAATTTGCATCGGGCAGTGCTCTCCGGTCATCATTTTGGCATGTCTTGTTAAACTATACGAATCACGTAAACAATCTTTTTAATTGGAGTAACCTTATATTTTTGATTGAGTTTTTAATTTTTAACTCGAGTTCTTAAGAATCAGTTTTTCTGCATGGCTGCTTTTACCGTTACGAACTCAAAAACATACCAAACATGTAAACATGTCTTGTAAATATTTATCGAATTATCATGACTGTTTATGAAATTTTTAGTGTAGCGGCAAATGATACGTCAAATACCGGATAACTGTGTCTTGTTTTAATACGTCGCGGAATGTTACATGTAATTTTCAGTGCTCGTAGACGAAGATGTCTGCGCAGCATGGGCCAGAGTTTTATTTAGTCGTCTCAACATGCCATCGGGTCGTATATTAATTTCTAATTTGTCGTATTCCTTTGTCACGCATAATTGTAAAACATCATCTTGCCGGTCCGGGTAAAGTGAATAAAAAATGTTCACCGTGGCTTTTTTCGCGCAGTTATAAAGAACTGGTCAAGCCGGAGCTATCGTTGAAAGACAAGTTGTCAGTGTTTGAACGACCACTTGATGGTCAGGCTGCCAGTACAAGAATAGGTGCACAGCCACAAGCTGTCAAAGTGAAAACCATGCGCAATGTCTTCGAGACGGCATCCGCTGTGCCACCGACCATTGTAACCACGAGCGTTCCATCACCACCGCCAAAACCCATACCGTCAAGTGGCGGCGGCAGTGGCGGTTTGAGCCGCTTACTGTCCAAAGATCTTCAGAATATTCAGCACCCGTCAAGCGTATCTAGTGTACCGCCGCCGCCGGAATTCGATACCAGTTTACCGGAACAGTATCTGCAGGAGATCGATGGAATTCTGGGGCGAAATGGAACTAGTGTTGTGAAGTCGCCGGAGAATATTGTGGATGATGGTGAATTTCCGCCACCTCCGCTGCCGGCCATCTCTCCGTCGTTGCCGGACCCGTCGAATCCCGCGAAAGAGCATGAGGGAGAATTGGAATTTCCTTCTCCACCACCACCTTTGGAACAGGAAACGGAACCTAAAACCATCGACGGCAATTCGGTTTCTGAGGTCAGTTAATTATGTTGGACATTGGAAAACGCCTGTCGATATCATTGTGCAAAAAATGCTGCATGTTTGATATTAGAGAAGAAATTACGTTGCATATTTGTATGTTATTCCTAGTACAAAATACTCACAACACTAGAGTTATCGACCTGTTCAGCTAATTTTTTTGAAAGATTTATAATTTGCATCGTTGTGTAGGAAGTTCCACTGCGCCGTATGGATTCTACTAGACGGATCAAAAGCGAGATTTCGAAACGTCGGTCCGACTTTTTTGGAATCAAGAGCGACGCGAACGGCATCGATGTATTTGAAACTGAAAATGTCCGACCTAAGAGCGTACATGAAATGTTCCAATCAAAGCCAGCGCCACCAGATGAAAATATCTCTAAAACGGTCAAATTTGTTTCTTCAAATGTGACATCTGAACCGAGTAGTCCTGGCCGCTGCATTGATACTGAAAGTACGCCGGTTTCTATACCAAGCAACGAAGCTTTGATTTCAAAATCGTTAGCGAGTACCACCAAGAAATCCAAAAAGAAGAATATGAAAGTCTGGTTAGAAAGGAACCAGTTGGTATTCTAAAGACCAGCAAACCGGTATGCGCTTTTTTGCAATTGTTTTACAAAGTTATTTTCGGTGATTTCGTATTTCGGTGATTTCGTATTTTCGGTGATTTTTCGGTTCGTGCGGTTAAATTTGCTTGTACGTAGCACTAAAGGTTAGACGACAACTTCGAAGTGATGCGTTTCGAAATTTAAAGGGAATCTTGGTTTGTAGGTCATGCAAACAACATTATCCACGGAAAATAGTTTAAAAGAGCACAATATACCAATAGAGTTGATTCCTGAAACGCTTGTGCCCTCTGGAGCAAAACTCTCCGATAAGGTCATCATACTTGATAAAGTGGAAAAGGTGACGGAGGAAACGCGAATTACAGGAAGTTTCGAGGTAATGATCAAGGGTACATTGAAGGGAATATTTGCTAAAATGATTCTTGTTTGTAGACTACCTCACGAGAAGAAATGCGCTCTCTGGATTACATGACAGTTAGTGGTCGTGCACCGGTTCAGGCGGTTATCCCCACACCGATTCATCATCCCGAACCAGTTTTGAACGGTATTATCCCACTTCATCATTATCGTGATTACAGCGATGGAGGTTATTCAAGTGGACGGAGCGATCCTGGTAATGCGGTCAAACTGTCGAAGCCGAACGCTCCTTTGCGCAGTTACGCAGAGGTTGAATCTATCAGCCCGAGAAGTTCGGAATTTCATCCACCTCGACCGCCCCTCCCATCCGAATTCAAACCACCGCCGTTCGCTGGATATTTCGAAGAAAATGTTCCGGCTGCGGGCTATACACCACAGTACATCCCGAAGGCTCCGTCCGTTTCACCGCCCGCCCGAATGCAGCCAAAAGCTGAGGCTGTTCAACGGAGACCGGCTGTCAATGGAAATGTGCAGCAACACTGGGTTGTGCAGGAAGCCGAAATGCGGAGGATATCAGAACAGGAGGCCAGGATGCGACAGGCCGTCAATCCGCAGCCGGTGCCGATGCAGATCCATAGACCGCCTCCCGCGGCTCCGGTTACCCACATCGATGCCGCGCATCCGAGAGTTCCCTTGCGAGAAGTGCCGACAAATTATCAGCGGCGCGTGGTGGAGTTAGGCGCTAAACACGATGGTAAATGGAAATTTAATTTGAACATGTATCTACGTATAAAGTAATTTGAGAAATCCACAGCAAAGTCATTGTTTTGTTGAAATCGATCGGAAGTGCGCTTTCATGCTCTGGTTGTTGCAGGTTCACAACAACAGTACGTCCAGCAGCTCCCCACGAGGACGTCGACTATGATCCCTGTGGCAGTGGAGTCTAAACGAATGCCGCCCCGATCTCATCCTCAACCTAGTGTGGCGATAGGTATTAGCGCCACAGTGCCGCCGCGTTATCCCGAAGTGCATTATCCAAAAAATGGCAGCATATCGCCTCAGGCTGCCGGTTTGATGCACAAGCAGCCATCGCCAACTAAGCAGCAGTATATCAGTCATCCCTTCTACCCTCCTTCAGTGGCTGGTTCGCAGCTATCTTTATCACAACCAAAAGATAACTATGTCCCCGGCAGCAGTCGGGATTATTCGGCAAATATCAACGCTGTCGGTGTTTCATCAAAACGGCGATGCGCACATTGTGGCGAAGCATTGGGTAGGTGATTTGTCAATCGCATCATCGAGAACAGTTTTAATGAAAGTTTTGCATTTTACGGCTTAAAAGTTGTGTAGGAAATACGATTATACAGTGCATTACGGTGCAGAGGCCAACAATTAACAAAAAATACACTCGTTCTCCTCTGTTATTTATTACTGCGCTTCATTTGGCCAATTATAGGAGATCGCTTAATTGCCTAGCTAAATTATATCACCATGATTTATTGATATTGATGGCTTGTAATGAGCCCAGTAATTTTATGGATGTTACTATACCACGACTTGTCCCTAATTTTTTGTTCTCTGATGAGTTTGTTTTCATTTTGAAGGTCGTGGAGCCGCAATGATTGTGGAAAATTTGCAACTTTATTATCATGTAGCCTGCTTTAAATGCTACGTTTGTGGTCAAATGCTGGGCAGTGGTCGGGAAGGAACGGATGTGCGTGTGCGCAACACGAAATTGCACTGTGCACTGTGCTACAGTGACGAAGAAGGTGAGTCGTTTCTATCCCAGTTTGGCGGTACAGTATTTGTGATTTATTGTTCTGTCTTCTTTTATCTGTTATAACTTTATAAGTAATTTGTGGACTGTTATAGGTTTACAGTTGAGTCAGTTATGATGTGTTGATGGCGTCAATCTCCGATCCTGAATGCCGTTTCGTGCACGGTGCCTAGCTAAATTTTATTTTTTGTATCATATATCCAGTTTAAAGTTTTATGCCAAAATGGTGAAGCATGTTGCTGTAGTGTGCATAAAATGGGGGCAGTATCGTGGCCACAGTGGATGGCTTCTTTTTAAAACTTCGTTCTGCCTAAAATTTGTTGTGATCTTTTTCTTGCTGTACTGCGAACATGCGCTTTTGTATGATAATTTCTTGACATTTGCTTCTAAAATTGTACAACAATGCAAAGTGAAGGAACAAAAATCAGAATTGCCTTTTGCATGGCAGACCTTTAGGTAAGATAGGTACTTACTTACTAGCTGGTGCTAACTAGTTGCCAGCTTTAAAAAAAAACCGCATAGGAAACTGCAAACGGTACCCGACCAAGAGCAGATGATGTTGACTGGGTGAATCGTGAATGTTTCGAAATAGTTCAACGAAATAAAACCTTTAAATATTTTTTTCTGGACAGTCGAGTAAGTACTAGTACATAAATTTTTGGACGGTGAATACAGTATTCAGAAACACCGAGGCTCCCGGCCTTTCAGTGATAAAAAATACCGGAGAAATTTAAAACATGAGCACGTACAAACATAAGTAAGTTCTGTAATCATGATAAAAGATGCTGATTAATATTATAATAATTATGGGAATTGCGTACGTAATATATATATCGACAAATTATTACTTATAAAATATATCTATATGCAGCATTTTTGTACTCGTATTACTTCAATTGCGCACCTCGGGCACACACACACGTTCAGCACCCAGGTACACTGAGTATTGTACATACGTATGCCTGGTGGCTGTGTGCTCGTGTGAATGGGCTGTGCCCAGTACGTACGTACGCCTTACAGGCAGGTTAACCCGGATTGGCAGAAGAGGAAGCCAGACTGCAGAACTTCTTGGTCATCGAACCTGCTGCACCTCACAGATCTCGAAATCAAAATTACGGGGGCACGTCTGATTTTCGCTGACTTGGACACCCACCGTCTGGCCGTCAAAGACACCCCATTTTGGAATTTTTGCAGTTTTTGTTTTATATTTAAAGGTCGGAAAAATTTTGGGAGCTTCGAGAATAACGAAGAACCTCATTCAGTTCATGATCAGCCACACTAACTTTTAGTAGCTCCTGTTTTGTAATCACAACCAGAAAATGGCTTGGCATTGTGGATGTTGCACTCTCAAGTCAGGATGCCGTTTCGGCGCATTGTGGACCATGGTGCGATTACATGGATAAGCTGACTTTTGATGTCTGGAATATCCTGTTGATGTTGTCCGTTTTTGCAGATCGAGACAATAGTCGGAATTGGTTTGTTGGTAGCATCCGATCTTATCGCGCATGGAAATAGTAGGTGACCTTGTATTGCTGCTGAATTATTATTGCTCTTGTAATTTAATGGTCTTCCTTGTACGTTTACCGAAAAAAACTTAATATTTGAAATTTAATCTGATGTTGCAAAACAAGGTGTTGTCTCTCCCTGAAGCGCTGCAAATATGATTCGCAAGTGGGTGGGTTTCATTCACTACAGGTGTTCTTTCAGTTCTGGCCATTGCCGCGACCTGTTACTTCGTGGTTGTGTTTTGCCTGGCCTGGGTGCTGTTGGCTGGAATATTCCGGGAATCCGCCGCCGTTCTCTTCACATGGGTTCCTTTCTATATCATCTTCATTCTCATCCGCCTGATATTTCTTGGATTTATCGTAACTGCTTATGTTCAGCATGCTAACGACAAGGTGAGCAAAGTAATCTGCGGAAGGAAGCAGAATCCGGTGATTACTATATAATTTAACGAAGTAGAAGTACATTTATGATTTACTCATGGTGTCATGATGCAGTTCCATCGTTTACGATAAGCTTAATCTGTGCACACGTAATAACCCTTTGTAATTTCCCAACAGTTTTGTACTACCTGTGACCTGCTCAGAAGACGCTTAAATGCATGTTATTATAGATATTATATTATATTTATTATTATTGTTTCGTAGCCTGTGACCTTTGAGATTGTGTACCTGGCTGATGGCCGAGCTCTGTCCGCCCAGCGCTTTGATTCGAACGTATACTTGCATGTGGTTGTGAGCATCCTGGCCACCATGGGCATCTCCATCGTTATCAGTGCGTGGATCGTGATTAGTGTCATTCTCCTGGGCGTCAGTCTGCGCCGGACAATGTGGCGACGAATTCGCACGGTGGAATATCGTTGATGCGGGACCCGCGAACGGGATGGTCTTTTCGTATATTAGACCACTGGACTTGTGTGCACGTATGCAAACCGGTAATATTGCGGTCCGGATGGAATTTTATTCGATTTTGCTGTACCGGGTGTTTTAGTGTTTAATGCGAGTTTTTGAGTTCTTCGGAATTTTATCGTTTTATACATGTAAATAAGTGTGAGTTCAAAACACTTACGTTTTTTATATGATTTTAATCTGACTGTCTTCGTTTGTAACGGACAGTATAGCGTTCTGTAAATGTTGTACCACGATTTCTGAAGTAAAACAACATTCTGAAATCGCGCCACGGAATCGCACCGTAATGTAAATTACGGTGTTCCTTTTAGTCGGCTGATAGGCGTTACAATCACGGCGAACTTATACTGGCCTTCGAATAATTGCGGATTGAAATTTTTTATTCGTGAAAAAAATAAATACGGTAACCAACATTTGTGTTTTATGACAAATCACGTGGTTCCGTCTCTGATTACAACATCCGGCACTGGCAGTATTTTATGATACTCACGGTACATACACCAGTGACTTACAAAACAGCGGTAATTTGCAATACAGGGAACCACTGTCACATACTGCAGCTTTTGTACAAATTCCGCAAGGAAAGGAATGTAGTCTGAGCTTCTGAGGCGAGCTTCCTACTGAATCTGGATGAATGAACGCTAAAAATAGATCGCAATTGGGTCGATTGGTAATATGGCGGTGATCCATAATTTCATCCTGTTGGCCGAATTGATTAGGCGAAGAGACAGTTAGACTCGTATATCGCTTCTGCCTGGCTATAGTGTTTTCGGACCAGGTAGAGCTACGCCAGCATCGATTTTCCTTCGTGGAATTTACAGGCATGTTTTACGCTACGCTTGATGATGGGCATAATTACGTTTCGGAAGTGAAGCGCGATCAGCCGCGTAGAGAAATTCAATACAATCCGGATAAAACCTTTGTTTTGGCTTTTTCTGCCACGCTTACACAAGACATACCATCCCGGCTAATCAAGTTATTACGCCGCTACGTATCCTCGACGTGTTTAGCCGTTGGTGACGGTGGAGCATGGAACTGATCCCGGTGATATTTATGGGACTATTTGTGGGCGGTACAGGTCTAGTTGGACTGCTGAACAGTCTCAACTGGATCAAACGTGACTGCAGGAAGCAGTTCAACGGGCGTTTTCTGATTAATTCATTAGCGACGGTCTCCGGCGCCGTAGCCGTGGGGATTTTTTGCACACTGCTGTTGATGGGCTTCCTGGAAAATATTGTACTTTTATCGGGGTTCGGCTTTGATTTGTCCGTGTACGGCGAGCGAGCCGATCGCGAATTCTCCGTGTGGTTCATTGTGGCGTTCAGTCTGAAAGCTGTCCACATGGTGTGGTTGACATATTTACAATGCGTAATGGATATCTTTATTGTTGACCAAGAAGAGGGCCGCAGTTTACATCCTAAGATAAATCGGCCAACAGATAATGCGGCCGGCTTTACGGGATGTATTTGGCGAACGTATTTCGTCGCGAATGAACTAGTAAAACTTCAGAGCGCACGGAAACTGCCGGCGATTGTTGTGTTTACGTGTGCATATTTGTTCTTGGCATTGCTGCCGGGATTGCCTTCCATAAACACTCCGAATGGGGTTACTGATCTGCCGTCCATTAATGTGTCTTCCGCCTCGACAGTGCTTCCGCACACGGGACCGTATTACTTTTTTACCGTATCAGCGCTAACGATTATGGTGACGGCGGGTCTTGTGTACTTTGTGGTCATTCTGCGCGAGAGATTCTTTGGCAGTCCCATTGGTGAGCTGGTGGATGTTTGCACTTGGCTGAATTGTAGTATCTTTATCCGCACACATAGGTACTTTGCCTACTACATCCATGGACGCTCTGTTCATCCTACTGCCGAATTTGGCTTCCGGCAGTTGGTCGATATGGTGCATAATGAAGAGGTACGGGAAAAGGACGCGGCCAGCGTTATTTTCTGTCCCACTAGTGCTGGGGAAATGCGCTGTTCAGCTAATGCAATTGTCTGGCATTGATGAACGACGAACGACGAGCAGCATCCTTAGTTGTATTTCAAAGAGGAATAGTCAGGCGGTATTGGCAGAAAAAAGGATACTAAAAGGATAAAAATTTGCTGACTCATGTTAAACGAACGCATTGGTTGTCCATTATCTGTAATACCGGCAATCCGGCATATTAAATTAACAGAAAATTCTGTGTTAGTTTACTTAACGGACCGGTGGGTATTGCTGAACAAAATGATCAAATGAACATTTTCAGCATGTTTTCTAACAAAACCCGAAAATGTCTAAAACGTTTTCTATGTTGAAGTCCATGAAGCAAATGGGAGCAACTTCATTGTATTCAGCCGGATAATACTCGTATTAGTCGTATAACGAAATTGTCGGCAATAAGCTGGTTGTTAGGATGTGCTGTTTCGTAACTGTTGGCTACTTTGCATTAACTGTTACTCAAAAAGCGCATAATGATTTACAAAAACGTTTACGTCTCTGTAATTTACTATGGCTAAACTGTTGAAGCGTCCGAAGTAATGTAAATCGATAATATTTTAGTTGTTCTTATCCGTTTTCCTCGTCTTATTAATCGTTTATCGTGTTTACCGTTTGGTTTGTACATTTTTTCATGATAGTGTATGTCATGGTGCAAAGGGAAAAAATTACGGCTACAACTGAGCTACGATTTAACTCGTCGTCATCATGACCTTATTATTACAATGGAAAAGTTTAACGCTGCATTGTACACACATATGTCCTTTAGGTACCGCCAGTGCACAAATACTAAGTATACCCATTATCTGCATCGCAGTATATATATTTACTTAATGTATACTTCATATTTTAATGCTGAAGAATTTTTGTTTCAGACAAATCTGGTCAGCCGTCGCGGATTTCAGGCTGACGGTGATCCCCAAACGTTTTCCCTGGCGCTGCCGGACATGTTCGCTACCCTGTATGACCAGATGTTGGAGGAGGCACAGTCCGATTCGCACACAGCTGCACGATCAGATACTGATGCTAAAAAGGAGCCGGAAGTCAACGGCGCAGCCGCCGTGATCACCGCATCAACCAACGTCCCACTACGAATACCCACTGAGTCGGTATTACGTAACCGAAAGGACGGCGCGGCCTCGCCGTCGTTAGGCAAATTGAAACAAAGAGCCAATATTCACGACCGGGTCAATCGATTTTTGCGGGATTTTCTCGATCATAAATTCCACGAAGCTGATTATGTTTTCAAATGGCGAAATATTCTGGAGAGTTTTCTGGACATTGAACTGGGACCGGTGCGAAAAGTCGGAGTAATGTATTATGATCCGAAAGGGAATTACACTGACTATTTCTACATAGGGCGCACATTTGATCTGCTGATCTTCGAAGCGCTGCTTTTCTGCGTAGTAACGGTATATACCACCAATTATTCTCTTGGGCTCGTTTCCGTTCTGTTGGTTGGTTTTTTGTTAAATGGAATCCGGCACATATTCGGCAAAGTTAATCTGGCTAGGAAAGCATTTATCTATGGACGGTTCTTAATGTAAATATTGTGTTTATTGTGCGAAGTGCGCATCAACGTGTGCATTAGTCCATGATGTAACGCTCAACGTAAAAATGTTTGACCAAATCAGATGAATTTTCCACTGTGACAACTTCCCATGCTTGGCAGATCGTAGTATTCTGAAATTAAAAAATGTTTCACCTGCGGTTGTTGTATCTGTTCTGTGCCTTATGCCAGATTTAATTATTTCATACGTAGCAGTTTAGTGCGCTAAAATAGGGGTGCAATTAATTCTTAGTGCTGTTATGATAACGTTAAATTAAGGGTTGTTGTAAACATTCGTAGAATGTACCAGTATATAGATATAATCATTTGCAGACTTAAGAGTGATTTTATAACTACACTTTCATGTGAGGAACTTGTTGCAAGTAAACTGAAACTTTTTCTGCTTTTCTGTTATTAAGCTTTTCTGCTTTTCTGTTATGTTAGCATAGCTAAAAGTTAGCAGTTTATAAAATTGTGTTGGTCACATCAACATGGCAAGCCAACGTTTTGATTCAACAATTTTTTCAAGTTTAACTGTATGCGAGAATAATAACTGTAATGCAAAGATGCGGCAAGCCTAAAATGCGACTCAGTCATGCGAGCAAATCTGTATCAAATTGCCTGGCTAAAGAAAACCGTGAATTATGAATATGGCACAGGAAGATTGATAGTGTGACAATGACTATGTGACGTTAAGGGAGCAGAAATAAAACCCGTAAAAGCATCCTATTTAGGTAATTCGATAAGATTGCTTGCTGCTGTTGTTCAAGCGCTTAAACCGGGAGAAAGTGCAGCTGAAAGAAAGTCATTTCCAGAGATCGTGTAACCAGATGCTTCATGCAAATGAATTGCTTGATCACTAGTTTATAATTCAGCCTCAATTGAATTAAGTATAGCAATAAAAATGGTAAACCCCGAGTTCGAATATCAATAGTGACTTCCAAAAGGACTCCTCTCGTTCCCTACCGGCAGCGTGACACCAGAGAAAGAGCCGGGAAAATGACTTTTTGCCAGCCATATCATTTGTGCTTTAAGATCCCCAGTAGAGTGCTCCACACTCATATAACCGCCATAACCGGCACAATAAAACAAGCCCAAAAAATTGTTGTAGAGCGGATAAATTACAATTACACGGACCGGCGCCCCTCTCCTCCCGATTCCCGACACATTTCTCGAGTTTCCTCTTATCCTCGGGTGATTTGTTAAGTTATTGATCAGAACTGCATGTGTCGCGGCAGCTACAAATATACACATATACCGCATGCTGTGTACGTATATATATTGTATTGTATATAGATCTGCGTTCATCCTTTTTATGGTCGGGTGGATTTTTTCTGACCGACGACGATTATTTTCATTCCTGGTTTGTGGGCGATTAAAAGGGCGGGATCACATGCCGTAAAACGGGAGAATACCGTTTTACTGGTTTTTTATATGACGCATTTCCGTTTGTCCGAGTTGCAACCAGCCGGCATTCTTGGGAACGGAGTTGCCGTGGCGAGTGGGCTGCATGCCGCGCTGACGTCTTTTAGCTGCCGACTGGGATATCAGTGGGTCTTTTATGTTGATCCCGAAATTCGGCATTACCAGCAGTGACTGATAATTAATTGTCAACGTTGTTGAAGTTTCGATATCCGTTTCGTATTTGCAGACATTTGATTTCCGTTTTCAACCATCCTTCCGGTGCATTGTACATTTATCGTTGTATTCGTTAAGGGGAATAATAATGTGCCTGTTTCCTTGCAACTGGAATGCAAGCAGATGGCAAAATATTCCTGCCAAACGTCCACAAAAGTTATAATGCTTTTCGGTCTTATACAGAAAATGCTGCATTATATTTCGATAATACATCGAACTGTGCCGAATTGCCGATTAAATGTTAACTGTTTTATAATAGCGCGGTGAACTGCCTTTTGCGGCTATACCTATCTATCTGTTTTGCAGTTGACCTTTCAAAATCTCCATGCCACCCGTAGAAGTGACTGTCCAACCGCCTTTATAATGCAAAATTGTACTTTTACGATTCCTTTTGTCAGATCAACGCTAGCACTACGATGTACATACGATTTTTATAAATAAACCTATTGTGGATTTTTATCTCAAATATGCACAAGCACAAGTATTTGCAAGCACCTTTGTTCCTTTTTTTATTGTCTGTTCCGTTTGGATGCACGGCACCTGAAAGGATTCCGATAGGTTAGTCGTCTGTTGTAGCTGTATAATATTATGATACATATATATGTATATATATATATATATATATATATATATATGTTACATGCTACTTAACAGTAGCCTTACAACAACAAAAACTAAAAATGTCTATTATTTTGACTCTTTCACTAAGAAATTCAGCGCGTGCTGCGTACAGTTTTATACTTTTGCTTATTAATAAATCATCAGTAATTAACTTTCTTATTTATTCGGACTCAAATCAAGCTAGTACACCATAAGTTTACAAAATCATTAGGTGATTTGTGGGGTCAGAATCAAAATGCATCGGGCTAAGAAAATTATATTCGATGGAAAAATAAAAGGATAAAAATTAACATTGTGACTACTTCAAAAATGGCTTTTCGTAATATTGTCTTCTTCCTTTTTTATTTTTTAACATTTTAAATACTTACGATTTTTTCTGATGCCATACCTTATTTTTTCTGCATGAAGTAATCACCTACGCCGGTTAAATACACATAACTTAATTTCAGCAAATCCTATCTAACAGTCGATAAAGTACATCCTCATTCTTATTGCTCCAGATATGAATTTGAAAAGCTAGAAAAAACCATCAGTCTTACTCTGTGTTTGTCGGTTTTTGTGGTAATGTTGTCGATTAGGGTTGAAAACATTAACGGGTTAGTAAAAGCACAAGCAATCTTCGCCGTACAAAAGAGTCACTTCCTGTTTGTCCCAGTCTCTCGTGTGACGCTATACAGACTGCAAGCCACATGCCGGCATCTGACTGCAGCTACGCTTACGTGTGTACTACACCCCCGATTAGAGTGGCAGTAATTTACAGTTCTGCAAGCTTGTGTACTTACTACTCCTTGAGTATTGTCGAATCATTACAAAAAACAATAAGCATCATAATGAGAAATTTTTCTGAATTTCTTAGGAAGACTTTAACAGCTTATTAACGTAACTTTTTTTGTACATACACAGCAAATGCATCCGCTATGATTAACAATCACTTAAACGATGGACTAAAGTAGTTTTATCGTTAATTCGTATGATCCTTACTATTGTTAGAGTGTGTGCTCAACATTTAGATTCACTTTTTTGTTGTTAGACACTTCATTTCATAGTTTACAGTAAAACCTTATCGGTTGCGCTGCATCCTGCATGCTGTAAATGTACTTGTACTAATAGATCAAAAGGTTTACATTATTGGGCAAAGCCATCAGTATAACAAAAAATGCATCCGCGAAATACTACATAAAATGAATTTTGAAAAATCGTCAGAAGTGTAGTCACCACAAGCTTAAAACTGAGTACGTGTGCGTCTGTTTTCGCACACACACAACTGATATAAAGCCACCGCATTTGCACTAAACAATGCCAATCGTTAAGTATTAGTTATTACGCATTCTTTTGGCAGGATTTGTCGTTAAACAACCGGCACAATCCATTTTAACGGCTTTTCGTTATGCAATAAGCCAACACAATAGTAACCAAAATCCTATGGGATTCAAGCTGGATCCCAGAATCGACATTTTGGACACCGACGATGTACTAAGCGTTGGACGTGTTGGTAAGAAGCGAGATCAATAATGTCACATCTTGTTTTTTTAATGAACATTTGCTACTTGATTATCCGGATAAGCCGGTACGATTCCGTCATTTTGACTGGGTAATGCGAGATTAGCACCAGCCAAACGCGTAAGTAATCACATAGTTTATACGCCGACTTTGACAGTATTAAAGTCACAGCTAAGAGTTGACAAAAAAGGAAAGGGCTGTGGTCAGATCTGTATATGTACCCGAGTAAAACAGTTTGTAAAAAATACGTTAGCTAAACGTTAGTTAAAGGCCAAAATTCGAACATGTTCGAATTTTGGCCTTTAACTAACGTTTAGCTAACGTATTTTATACAAACTGTTTTACTCGGGTGTAAGGATAACGTAGATATAGTATTACTGCATATAAATTTTTACTGCATACAATTTTTTTGATAGAATTCACTGACTGTGCAACCCAAAAGTGTTTAGCGATGTGATACCATATTATAATCTTTGTTGTATAGTTTGTACTGATATATACAATACCATCGTAACGCGTGCAACATAATACTTACAAATGTATTTATTGGCGAGTGTGGAGTCCAAAAAACGGCATTTGGTATTCAATATATTGCTTATTGTGTTTTCTGGAATATTATTTCTGAAAATAACATGAAAAACGTTGAAAATGTACTCTTGATTTACTCTGCATATAAGTTTTGTATTCATAGGCAAGTGGTGTATAAAATGTATTGGTTTCCTTGACGTTACTTTACTGTTAAATTTTAAGCGAGACTATTCGAGCATCGACTGTTCAGTTGCTCGTAAAACCCCTGATTTGCCATAGATATATATCCCACTCCCAAGGGATATAAGTCTATTTTCTTTTATTTAAGAGGTTATTTGCTTTTTAGTATGCCAACAAATGAAGAAGGGAATATTCGCCATGATGGGATTAACACAGACCACTCTATATTCCACACTGAACAGCTACAGCCAGTCCTTCCACATGCCGTATATCAATTTAAATTTCATGCCCAACCAAACATCTTTGATGAAAGCCGCATCAATTGCCCCATCAAACAGCAATTTCCATCTTAATCTTCGCCCGTTCCATGCGGCAGCTTTGGTTGATCTTATTCGTCATTACGATTGGAAGGATCTCATTTATTTGTACGATGAAGACGAAGGTAAAAAAAATAAGGTCACTAATAATAAATTGGCTATGGCACTTTACTTCAATAAGGATCTATTCTTGTACTGAACTTTATACGCACTCCTGTAGTCGTACGTGGAAAAGAAAAACTGCAACAGCAACCAAACTCTACCCGTAACTGAATTAGAGCACTTACTTCTAGTAAAATCAAATATCTCGAAAGAGCAAGTGTTTGTGTGACTGCCTAGAAATTCGAAATTTTTATGGTTCTACAGGATCCTATTTAATGCAGTCTGTGATTCACACCTTCACTCAATCAAAAATTGATGTACGGGTGCAGCGAATTGCCAGTGCCGAGGAAGGTCATTTTTATTTAAAATCGGTGGACTTTTTGGTGCATACAATGAAGAAACATGTTATTCTTGACATGTCCGTAAGTAAAGCTCAGGCACTCATCACCCTCAACCTGGAAGACAAGGCTATGATGAGGAAGCAGTACCACTACGTAATGGCTCAATTGGTAAACCGATCTCATCATTACACGCTAAAAAATGAAGTAATTTCCATACCCTTGATAATGTTGTTTGCGTCGAATAGGGAGTTGAAGAATATAATTTCGAGCACCTGAAGTTTACCGGTGTCAACTTAACAGCTTTCACACTTATGGATTTGGAGAATGACAAGTACAAACAAATAGCTCTGGAATGGGCGCAACTTGATCCGGACGCCGGATGGCTAGGTGCTGGAGGACCGTTAACGGTCAGTTCGGAAAATAATAAGGAATGCCTATGTAGTGTGTTTTCATACCCGCCGGATGTCAGAATCTATCTGACGGATTCGCGAATTAACAATAAGACATTAAATAAGGAAAGCGGTATACCTTAATTCAGTATAATTTACACAAGCGTCCCGTTTGCTGCCGTAAATCCTATATGCACTCAACCAGTGTGCTCTCAGATGCCATCTAACGCAAAACCTACACTGTTAACTGTAGCGTAAACCTACCTCTGGGCATGCATCATGCATAATATGGAAATGCTGTCGTGGAAAAAAATAAAATACAGATGTTAACATATTTTGAACGTAGCACACGTTGAAAAAATCTTTTGCTTTGGCAGTTCCCTTCCTTGATTCCCCTCTTATACGGTAGACGCGAGTCTGTGACGAAGTGTAGCAGCAGGAGTATAGAAGTATTAAAAAACAAAATGGTTCGTCGAAGAAATGGCTTACGACAATTTGATACCATAATTTACCGAATATCTTCCGAAAAGGGTACTAATAAACCCTTCCAAAAAGGGGGTTATCAACAGTTGACCGGCGTCTATAGCTACCAAACCACTCCACCGTGACCCTTGTCAGCAAACAAGCAAACATAGAGAGCGTATTTACTGACAAAGAGCTGATTAAATATACTGGTCAAAATATTATTTGCAAAATACATATTATATTATATGTGTTATAGCTCATAGTTTTATGCCGTGTATTATTTTCTACAAGACGTGATTTCCAATTGTAGACAGACGCTGCGTTGCAGCTGGATGCCATGGCCCTTTGGGTCACTATGCTGAATAGGTTGTTCAGAGAAAAACCCAACATCTTCCAGAATAACTTCCGTCGTGGCGAGCTGTTTAATAATGGTTCAAGAGGACTTGATTGCACGAAGTACCCTTCGGAGCATTGGGAACATGGCAGACTTCTGATGCAGACGTTGAAGAGTGTGCGTGGCGGTTTGATTGCATCATTAATACAGGCTATGCTGAATTCTCTTGCTCAGGAGTAGAAGTATTCGTACAATCATATATTGTTATTTCTTACACGTTCGATTCAATATTTCGAGCACCCAAAGCCTGCAAAGGTTAAAATACAAATAGCACAAGACAGAAGTCTTTAATAGTTGAAAATGTGCCGACTCAAATTACGCTGCGAATACGACTGCAGTGTATTTGTAGACCAAGTATCGCGGTTTGACTGGGGATTTAATATTTGACGCCAGCGGCGACCGGCGGAATTACACTCTCAACTTGGTGGAAATGACCTTTAACAGAAAAGTCTTGGTAAAAAGTGTAATTATTTTTGATCCGAGACACTTTTTAGCAGTTTGTAGTAGATTGGTTTTCATGCACAATATTAATAGATTGGGACATGGAGTGAACAAGAAGGTCTGTTGGTTACAAGGAGATTCCAAACGGTCGACGTGATACTGCCTCCAAAAGGAGATGTCCTTTTAACCGTGACCAGCATTATTGTACGAATTGTCATAATGCAATATTTTGATATAAGATAGTAGTTTTATGCCATTTAAAAAATTACCTAATTGTTGCATTTACCGTACAATTACCGTACATTACCGTACCGTGTCGCATTTACCGTACAACGATTAAGTAATTAGTACAACGATTAGTACAATACGCACGTCTTGTACATAGATCAAAACAAACTATTATACGTAATTCCAACAATTATAGTATTTATAATCTTTGTGAACACTTATGGTACAATGATTAAGAAGAAGTATATTTATTGCAATACAGGAAGAACCGTATTTAATGTGGAAGAAACCGAAGGATGGCGAAGAACTGAAGGGAAACGCCCGATTCGAAGGTTTCTGTGTGGACCTTCTCGAGAAAATTGCGCGTCTGGCTAATTTCACCTATGAAATCAAACTGGTCAATGATTCCTTATACGGAAGAGTACGTGCAGGCAGCTTTGTACCAGTCAGTTTTTTTTATGAATATTACTTATTGTGAGTAAGATATTAAAAGCTTCGATGCTTAGTTAGTTATGTATTTAAGTCTCTAAATAACAGCACTTTACTAGTGTTGGGCCGGCCCGGCCCTTTTGGGAGGGCCGCGCCGGGCCGCGGCCCTCGGCCCGGGGAGAAGGGCCATGGCCCGCTGTGGACGGTAAATATGGAAAAAGACGTAGAAGAACATAAAATTTCGGTGGGATTTACTGAAATTTAGTATTTTTCGAAGAGTTTTTCTTAATTTTCGCAGCGTTAAACGTTTCTAGGCGAATGAATATCCGTCTATTTTTCATTGACAATACCTGCTGTAGCCGCTTGCATAATGACATCCGGGAATGAAATATTGCTATTACTGTGTTGCAAGACGGCCCGGGGACATGTCGGGCCGCAGCCCGGGCTGCGGGCCGACCCAACACTACACTTTACGACAAAAAAGTGGTGTGAATTATAAGTATTTTTATTTTGCAGATCGACTCCCAAGGTAAGAATTTATACTACGGAATGATGGCATCCGTATCATCAAACTTCATATGTTCGTTCGCATGCAGGAAACTGGAACGGGATGATTGGTGAACTTATCCGAAAAGTATGTGGGCATGCAGACGCTGCAGTTTTACTACAGTAGTAACACATAATTTATATTAGCGTTCTATGAAGCAGTCTTAGATTATTTATGTCTAAAATTCAAGATGATTACATTTTAATTTCAATGTACTGTAGGAGGCCGATTTAGTCGTTGCACCGCTTACCATAACTTCCCAGCGAGAAAAATACGTTGATTTTACAAAACCTTTTATGACGGTTGGGATTGGCATCATGATAAAAAAACCACTAAAAACCAAGCCTGGTAAGTGATCATTAATTCATTACTTCACGGGCTCAGTATTTTGTATATGGTCTATATACATTTTTCTGATACAGTAAGCACAACGCTCTGCTATTAGAAACTCTAATAGAATTAAAATTTTATTATTAGGTGTCTTCAGCTTTATGGAACCTTTAAGTTATGACATCTGGATTTGTGTTATTTTTGCCTATATTGGAGTGAGCGTTGTTCTCTTCCTTGTCAGCAGATTTAGCCCTTATGAATGGCATATTGAAGGTAGAAAAATAGACAGTTCACGTACACGCTTTTTCTTTTCGATTTTACGCTAACACTGGATATTTGTTTTGTTCTTAAAGAAACATTCAATGGACCAGTCGTGGTTAACGAGTTCTCAATGTACAACACATTGGTAAGTGTGCTTTCAGAAGTACACATGGTATAGGAATAATTCTCTTAAAATGCATGTTGTCCTAATGCAATGTTGACTACAAGTATGGCACAAAGCCGGCCGATAAAGGGTTAAGTTAAACTTTATACTATACAAGGTAGCCTCGCGCATCCGCGCTCGGCACTTAAGTACTGGATAGTATTGGCTTTGTTTTGCAAAGGGTCATTATAAATATATAAAGGCTGACGTTCGGACTTTCTCACGTTCTGACAATTTTACTTGTTCACGTCCTGACGCTCTGACGTTCTGACGTTCTGGCGGTCTGACGGTCTGACGGTCTGACGGTCTGACGTTCTAACGTCCTAACGTTTGACGTTCTAACGTTTTAACGTTTTAACGTTCTAACGTTCTAACGTTTTGAATTTCTGACGTTTCGACGCTCTGAAATACATATGAACTTTTACATGACGTAATATAAGTACATATTTTACCTAAAGAGCAAGTATTTTTGTGCATCTGCTATAATCTCCGTGGTTACAGTCATTATGTTAATCGTAAGTACTTTTTATTGCTGTGCAGTGAATACTTCTTCGAGTACTCTTTACGTTCCTATACTTAAGACCTGGTGAAACCATCTTCTGACCATTGGTTAATAAAAAAAAACAAAAATCTATTGGCAAATCTATGGAAAATATGGAATTTTTTAAGACCAAGCTGGACTAAAACTGACCACGCGTTGACGAGCCTATAAAAACGGCGCATAAATACGTTTTGGTCGGTAAGATTGTATGAATATAAAGAAAAGATAAAGATATATACTTTTATGAATTGTACTTTCAGTGGTTTTCCCTGGGCGCATTTATGCAGCAAGGAGGACATATCTATCCTAGGTAAATCCGTTAGGGTTTCCATGTTTTCATGCTGCTACTTGCTAATCCTTTCGCCAGAGTACGCCAAATGAGACTTTCTAACTTTCAGGAACTATGCTTTTAGATCCATTAGTGGCCGGTTAGCAGGCAGCGTATGGTGGTTTTTTACACTGATTATCATTTCCTCATACACCGCCAATTTGGGTAACGTTCAGCACACACAACTAGTGCATGTCTGAGTTTAATAACTTTTTCGATTTTCGATTATATACGAAACGCTTAATTTTTTATAATTTATTCTACAGCTGCCTTTTTGACGGTTGAACGATTATCAACGCCCATCAAGAGTGCTGATGACCTTTCCAAACAGCAGCAAATTGAATATGGAATGTATAAGGGAGGATCTACCTATTCATTTTTTAATCAGAGTCAGGTGGAAATTTACAAAAAAATGTGGGACTTCATGTCCAAAAGAGAACATGTATTTATGCCTTCCAATCAAGAAGGTTTTATACGAGTGCGCAGAATGAAAGGCAAATATGCTTTCCTGGCCGAAACTCCCGTAATTGAATATGTAAGCTGGTTCGCATAGTTACTGCGTATGTACCATGGATATACAAAAATACTGTGTAAAAATACCATGTCTTTTTCTATTGCATACATTTAGGAAAACAACCGAAAACCATGTGATACAATGAAGGTCGGCGAAGATTTAGATTCGAAAGGTATTCTGGCGCGACAACACTTTTCGTATATCCATTCGCTATTCCCATGTTCGCAACAACGCTTAGCTAAATTTATGCATATGCAACTTGTATTCATTTGTGCATGTGTCGCAATCTGCTACCGTAAAAATTTGCAGACTATATACATACTACTACAAATATAGTTTTGCTCGTTAGGTTATGGCATCGCAACCCCGACTGGATCATTGTTGACCGAACGCTTATCGCAAGCCATTCTATATTTAAAGGAAGATGGAACTTTAGCGAACATGCAGAAAGAGTGGTGGGAATTAAAGCGTGATCGGTGCCAGGCCGAAGCCGAAAGCCAGGTAATCGCCGTGCTAAACACTTATTAGAGTCGTAATTTCACAAGAGTTCACTAATTCTATTCTAACGAATCAAATTTTTAGGATACCAATGAGCTTCAGTTAAACAACGTGGCGGGATGCTTTTACATTCTTATTATCGGACTGATTCTTTCAATGATATCAGCGGTTCTTGAGTTCTTATACAAAGCCCAAAAAGATGCTCGTAAACACGCTGTAAGCCGGAAATCCACGGGCCAGAACCTGTATCATGTCTCATGACCTTTACCTTTGTTTCAAACCAGGTGCCAATAAAACGAGCTGTGAAAGCAAAGGCCAAGTTCTCGGTTCAAGGCGGTACTTTCAAAGATCCCAAACAGGTGAAGAAGATGCGATAACTTTTCATAAAAGTGACCCGTCTGTCGCTTGCATGTGCAAATCAGAAATGTTCGTCATGTTTGCAGTTATGCCTTGGCCCATGTGATCCCCATATGGTTTCGGATGGATTAAAAGAAGCTATTTTTCGCAAAAGTCATACACAAGTGTAATCGAATAACAGTTTGTTTTTTGTGCCATTCTGTGTTCAGTAGTCGGGTTTTAAACAATGTGTTCAACCTACCGACCGTCACAAAGTATGTACATACCAGTCACAATTTGCTAATTGCAACTACGAATGCATTCCATGGCCACTATTACTTTGCATGGATTTGCAACTTAACTTTTCCATGTCCGTAATAAAAATTTAGATGTTCCGAAACCTGTTGGTGTCTTGACGGCAGGTTCTCATAATTATCTACTTGCTCGTTGACGTAATGGTACAGCGACAACAGTGATACCGCACACAAAGGTTGCAGTGAACGCTAACAGAAATTTGATAAACTGTAACATGTTTGTGGGAATGCTAGTGCTCAGATTCAATACGCGCAGCGGTGCGCGCTTTTTCTTCCATCAACAAATCGGGCGCGATGACCTTTTTTCTCAATGTTATTTTGATTAAATTTTGCGTTTGGGACTTCGAATTCCGTGCAGTATGCAGAGGCAGAAATAGGTCATACAAAAAGAAATGAAGAAATTGTTTTGTAACAGGCAAGCGCGAGGAGATCACGAGTGATGCTTTATTGACAAATAAAGGGAGCAATGCTGCGTAATAGCAGGAAAGCAAGAACAAAGCACTGATGGCTAAACAAGCAAGTGGATGCTAGAAGAGCTCTTGAGCGTTCGTCAAGGCGTGAAAGAAGCAACTGGCGGCAAGCACGTGCTGTGTGCCATCAGCTGTGTGATGATGCGCAGACTGGACTCAATCCAACGCGAGCGTACGCTGAGTCATACAGCGAGAGAGGGACGAGAGAGCAAGTATGCTCAGTGTGTGCGCCGCATATATCCGCTTCAGCGGATATGAGTGCAGTGCAGCAGCACACGTACGTACAGCGAGAGAGGCGATATGGCAAGCATGAGTGCAGTACGTCCATGGTGGGCCGTATGCACCAGGCGCAGTCATGTGCCTCTGACATGCCTCTGGGCGGGAGTCCGAGCTCCTGCGAAGGATGCTCCGACTCGGTACCGCACCAGTACCGCACAACTCTCCAGTCGGACCCAATGTGGGGTCGCTGGTACGCGTCCTCTGGCAGTGGGAGTCCGGTGTCTGGTCGACCGTCCCTTCTTCACTTCCGAACCCATGAGTGGAAGCCACTCACGGCCGAAAAATCCGGAAGCCGCTCGGGTGTTTCGTTGGACCGGTAGTGCTTCTGTTGGCAGGCTTCTTGCTTCTGTTGGCGACGGAGAACAATGTGAAAAAAGTGTAATGAAAGTTGTATACAGCGCGAAAGAAAGTATGAAATAAAGTTTAATCACAATTCCAGTGAGCAAAAAGGGGTTACAAAACAGATCTGTCAAAGAGATCGAACTAGAAAGGTGCAATTCCGTTTGTTAGGAAAAATGCTAAAAAAATGCAAAAATCTGTCCGGGGGTCCTATTCCGACTAGGATGACGTCCACGGGGTCTCCTGTCCACTTTCATCCGGTAAGTTGGGTCCGGGGCATCGGTTCCCGGGTTACCCGTCGTAACCGGTTAAATTCACCGAGGTCGGATAAGCACGGTTAAACACTTCCTTCCGACTCGTATCCGTCCGTTCGGGATAGAGAGGCACTGTTGCGGTTGCAAATGCCGAGGCATCCTCTCTGAATGGGGAATAGAACCGAGGTCGGTTTGACCAAGGTCGGCCTACCGGTAAGTCGACCGGCGGCTAAGGGAATTCGGCTATGTTCCGAATTGCTAAAGTCCAGGTCGGAGAAAGCTGTAAGTGAGTTATGCGGCCTGCGTGGTCGTCATGTACAGCAGTTCCGTTCAAAAGTGGTCGGTTACAACCGTTCAATCTGCTACCACGAGCCTGGTTTGTAGTAATCCGAGTCGAACTGGCTCGAAGGTCCGGTCGGAATTCGTGAGTTTCATCGATGGAAGTGTCCAGTCGACTTCCATCCAATCTGTTCCTTTGTTATCCGACCTTCTGTCGAGGTCGGTTATCCTATCCGTCAGTGGTCGACTAGGGTTAACCTGCAATAACATGCCCATGTGGGGCTAAACAAGTTCCTTCAAGTCGAATTCGTCCCCCGCAGGTATCTGTCGTTCCTCTTCCGTCATGTTGACTGAGTTGCCGACTTCCGACATGTGGTCGGTTATAATCGACTTCGGAAGGTCGGATGAACTATGTTTCCATCCGTCCGAAGGTCGGATTTTTCCGTTAGGAGGTCGGTTCTCGACTTCTGAATGTCTTTGCCGACTTGTTGTCGTACCCTACCGACTTGTGTACGGTCACTTCCGACTTCGGCTTAAGGTCGGATATCCATATCCAAGTTCGGAGGTCGGCTATTTTCCGACTTCCTCAAGTCGGAAAAACTTTGTGTTTTATCCGACGAGAGGCTAAATTCTTCCACTAGGAGGTCGATTTCATACTTCTGGTTGATTTTCCGACTTGTTGTCGCTTACTTCCGACCTCCATCTGGTGGTTGTCAACTTCATTTTTGGGAGCTCTGTGCGTTCGGCTACAGTTGGCCGGGTCTTCGTTGTTTGGACATCCTTCGGTCAGTTTTAACTGGCAGAGGGATGTTCAGCAGCACAACTCCGTTCCTTCTGTAATCTCTGACGTGAACTCCAGGTCGAATCCGAGCTACTGTTGAGGTCGGTCAATCCGTATAACTTGCTACTGAGTCGCCGAGCCTTGCGAGGTAGGGGTTCCTTGGCATCCGTTGGCCGGTTGACTGGCGTTTCATCATGCACTGCGCTCGCTCTCAACACTAAGGGTCTTTGTGGCCCCGGTTGCCGAGCCGAGCTCTTTGGTTTAAACTTCATGCACATGCAAGTCCCTGGGGTCGTCAGATCCGATTCTTCCATTTTGTTTTGTCGCGAACCTGTGACGCCTAGCCGCTTCTGTTGGGGGTAGACGACTCATGTCCACGGGAAAATTTTTCTTTGCCGGTAACGCTGGCCAACTGGCCGTTACTGTTGCGGGCAGATGGTCATCGCTACCGGGGGAGTTCGGTATGCCGGTGACGAAGGCCGACTGACCGTTACTGTTGCGGGCAGGCGGTCGTCGTCATCGGGGTCCGTTGGGGGTGCAGGTCGGATGTTCTAATCCGGTCTGCCTAGGATGTTCCATTTGAGACATGGGGAAGCTGAGGTCCTCAATGGAGCTCTCGTCGGAGAGTTCCATTGAGGACAAAGGGAAGCAGGTCGCGGCGGAGTCGTTGGTACACCAGTATCCAAATCACCGTCGCTGTTCCTCTTCAGGGAATGGCAGCACGTTCAAAGACGCGCGTAGTCGTGGTCACCGGTGAATCGGCTGGTTTACCCGATGTCGTCCGGGGGAGACTCGATTGGATGCCAGGTACAGAGCCTGTAGGTCTGGGTTCAACGGAGAATCCGGTTAGACTGCCACATAAATACTGCTGGCTTCCGTCCATTCTTCATGGGCGACTTCTGTTGGCCGTTATAGTCGACCTCTGTGGTCGGCTGCCATGTACCTAGTCGATCTATGTGATCGGCTAGGGTGGCTAAACGTGGTTCGACGATCTGCTTCGTTGCAGTTCCGACTTTGTGATCGGCTTGCACAACCGACCTTTGTGGTCGGTTAGTGCGACAATATCTTTTACGTCTATGAATCAAGGGAAAGTACGAAGTCGACCTTTGTGGTCGGCTCGAATACTTATAGTCAGATCCGAGTCTTCCTGTGCTGTTGGCGGCTCGGCCGAGGGATTTCCGCTATTTACAATGGTGAAAGCTGCTCGGCTACCCGGTTCCGAGGTTGGCCACGGGTGCTTGGCAAACATGGTGCTGAGCACGCAGCGACGTATTCAGCGCCACGTTAGCGTAATCCTCTCGGTCTATGCTCCGGAGTCGGTTGGCCGGAGTAATCTTCATAGCCGGTCGCGGTTAATGGCGTGGTGTGTACCATGTAACTCTCGGTCGGCTCCATGTAACGCGGATTGGGGCTTCTGTTGGCTCCGATGGTCGCAGAACGTGGTTGACGATCTGCCAGTGCCATGCTGGGGAACTGAGGTCGGTTGCTCAGTTCTATCCAGGGGATTCCTCGGAAGACGTACCGGAACGGTGGAAAAGGCCGGCTTGTCAGGTCTAACCACTCGTGTCCGGGTCAAACCGAAGAATCCGGCCAACTTGTGTAGTCGGCACTCTGGCAAAAGTCACGTTGACGTCCGCCGTATACATGGTTAGTCGGTTTCTGTAAAAAGAACTAAAGAAAAATGTCCATTCCGAAGTCGTTTTTCGGCGATGCTGTTTCTCCGTCAGGTCGATTCTCGACCGTGCCGGTTCTCGGCGTTGAGTCCCCTTAGTTGTTCGAAGTGGGGGGATGATCGAGTTCCGATGTGGGAACTCGATCTTAACTGAGTAGGACTTCGACGGGTTTGTCGCCGCCGAAGTAATCTTCTTCGTCTTCGTCGTCCAAGCGGGGTCGGTGGTGTGGCCGAATGTTCGAGTCCTTGGGTTTACAAGTCGCCGGGCCACTCCGTTGAGACATCTCGTCGGTCTCATCCGTCTCCTGGCCGGGGCGATCCGCTCTGCCCTTCTTCGATTCCCTGGCCGCCTGTTTCCGGAGCCGCAGCGCATACGGTCGTGCGCAGGGTGCTAGGTCGTCCGACATCCAAGGTTCGTAGAGCGATGAGTTGAATCCGCTAGGCAAAGTCTTCTTTTGGCGGTACCAGCTGATGAATCGAGTTGCATCGTCGCTGGGATCTACGTGATCCTCACGAAAGGCATACTTTGTCGCATACCGTTCGTGGGTATACAGCAAGTCGCGCATCCAGACGGCGAGGATTACACTTCTCATTGGTGTGCCAAGTTGGGCTACGAGGGTTTCCAAGGCCGCTGGTATCATTTCGTTCTGGTACAGTCCGTACAGGGTGTAATGGCAAAAGTAATTGCCAAGCCGAGCTGCGAAAATGAATCGCAGGAATGCCGTGACTCCGTCTTGGGCCATGTCGACTTCCCCTTCGGGAAGATGCTGGGTTAAGTCCAGTGCTGCCCGGGCCGCGGTAATTATGAAGGCTGGGTGGGCGTCCGTGATGACGAACTGGGCAATACTTTCTAACTCGTCATGGGAGTATTCCC